ACTATTCTTTTAGATCGTCTTATCCACAAACCCTCCGTTTTTCTCTTGGATTCTTTCCCTTCCCTTCTTCTTCTTCCTCCCCGCCTGCTCGCTATCGCGTTCTCGCTTTCCATTCCTTCCCCCGCAAAGCCTGAAATGGTTCACTCAACCGGTAACGAACGCGCTGTACACCTGACAAGGGAGGCTATTGAATTGGTTGATGCCGGCCATCGCGAGGTAGGTCCTTTTTTTTTTTTTGGTTTCCTTCGTATACATGTGACTCCCTTTCACGCCACGTCCCTTTCGTTTCTTTTTATCTTTCTCTTTCTGTGATCTTTTTTTTTCTCTCTTCTTTCTGAAGAGAATCGTTCTTTCTTCTCTTTGTTCATGACCGATCTAACGATTCTCCGCTTGTCGGAGGTCATGCACAGGCCGCTTCGCGAAATCTCCGAGAAGCTCTGTCTCTCGCCCCGGAAAACCCGACCGTCAAAGATGCATTCCTGAAAATCCAACAAGAGGAGGAAACCGGTCACCACTTGCTCGACCTCTGCCGTCGTTACGTCACCCGCGGCGAGGATGATGCCGGCAAGGACGCCGCCCTGTATCTTCGCACCGACGGTCTGAAGCCCCCCGAGGGCGTTGCGCTGGAATGTGCCAAACTCTTACTGGCCCAGCGCGCGCATGCCTTATCTTCGCGGCAGGATGAGATCATCGCCGGCCTGGTGCGTCAGAGCGCCACCGTGCGCCAATACTTCTCCGACCAGCTGCAGGTCTCGGTGACGACGTTTTTCGACGAAATCTACGATCGGGGCGATAATGCGGCGGTGTGTCTGGATACGGTGGTTTTGGACCACGGCGTCTGGCCGTCGGAGGAGACTCGGTTGCACTGCGAGCGGGAGCTCTTCCAGCTGTTCATCGCCAAGCTGATGGAGTCGGGACACGATCTCGACGGTCGGTCGCTTAAGGGCATCGCGCGATTGCTGGCTGTCGACGCAGAGAAACTGCAGGATCTGGTGGATGAAGAGGGCCTGGAGGTGATTCTGTCGTCGCTGGACAGTCGCCTACCGCTGGAGCTCCGAAGTCAAGCGACGCTAGCCACCGTGAAGTATCTGGAAGCTGCTGGGGAGACTGGAGAGAAGAGCTTCTCGCAGCTCATCTCCGCCAAAGTCAGCAAAGCCCGGAATGATGACATCGTCATCGCCTTCTCCGCCACAGCCGCCGTGTTCCCCGTCGTCCCCAACGTCGCCGCGTCTCTCTTCCTATCCGAAGGTTTCATGCCTGCCTTGACGCCCGCGGTCGCCCGGGAGGCTAAGCGTCGGAAATTGGAGGTCCCGCTGCTGGAACTGCTGAATACTGCGTGCATCAACAAATCGTGCCGGGAAGCCATTGCGAAGAATCTCTCGGACTGGCTCTCCCATACCTTGACGAATGGCGATGACCAGACTTCCGAGTTGGCGGCGGTGGTGTTGGCTAAGATCCGGACGTCCGACAAGGATGGGTCGGAGGCAAACGGTAAGGTCCAGGAGGAAGAAAGCACGGTTTTGGGGCTGGTTGATCGATTCAAGGGACTGATGTCGAGACACAAGGGTGAAAACATACAGAACGTGGTTGAGGGGTTGGCATACTCGTCCGTCAAACCTGACGTCAAGGAGCAACTGGCCTCAGACCCGGCTTTCCTGCGAGATCTCATCAGCACTCTGCAGAAGAACTTGTCCGATTCGTCGGTGCTATATGGAGGCCTGATGATTATCGTGAATCTCACGCAGTTCCTTCCGAACCTCTCCGAAGATCAGAAGAAGATGTCCCAGCTGAAGTCATACGCGGAGGCTTCTCCCAAAGTCCGGTCGGGCCCGGATCCGCTGGAAAGCGACGAGCACGTCGTGGCTCGCTGCAACGCCGTCGTCACCGCGGGCATCATGCCTCTTCTAGTGGACTGTGGAAAAACCGCGCTGCCCTCGATCCAGGGGCTGGTCAGCAAAATCCTGCTTTCCTTATCCCGGGACCGCAAGTCGCGAGGGACCCTAGCTCAGAGAGGAGCCATCAAGTTGTTACTTCAACTAGGAGCGCCCCGGCAAGGAAGCACCGGCGCCATCTCCAGCGAGGCCCTGGAGAACGGATCGCACGCACTGGCACGAATCCTGATCTCGGTCAACCCTTCTCACGTTTTCCCCTCCTCCGGCTTCCCTCAGGTGACCTCGGCTATTCGCCCGTTAGCATCCCTGCTGGTGTCGCCCGAATCCACCAGTCTCACAGCCGAGCAACCCCGCGATCTCCTGCCCGTGTTTGAGAGTCTGCTCGCCCTCACCAATCTGGCCTCGTACCCTGACGAAGCCGTGCCCGATGCCATTGTCCGCCAAGCGTGGCCGGTCGTGGAGGATCTGCTGCTCTCGAACAGCCCGCCCATCCAGCGCGCCGCCTGCGAACTGGTGTGCAATCTCATGACCTGCGAGGCTGGCATCGTCAAGTTCGCCGACGGTTCCAAGCGAGCGGCACAGCGTCTGCATATTCTCCTGGCTCTTACCGATGCCGACGACGCCGCGACTCGACGGGCCGCCGGGGGTGGACTCGCCATGTTGACCGAGTTCGACGCGGCCATCGCAGGCGTGGTCGACCGACCGCGGGGAGTTGAGCTGCTGCTGGGACTGTGTCAAGAAGACGACGAGAGCCTGGTGCATCGCGGCGTCGCCTGCTTGCGCAACCTGACCTGCATCGCCTCGGGCGACATCGGGCGGCGGGCCAAAGAGGCCGTGAAGAGCGCTGGCGCCGTAGAGACGCTCACAAACGTGCTTAAGAAGACCTCGAACACCACGATCCTGCAGACGGGTGTGGAAGCCTTGAAGCCGTTGGTCGAGTAGGGGATGATGGCTTTTCTTCCTTTCTTTTTTATATTATTCCCTTTGCTCTTCCCGATCTATTAGCGTTGTTTGAACTTTTTGGGACCCAGGATGGGATTCGTTCAGCCGGTGTTTATTGCTGTCTTCTGCTTCTTTTTATTTGCTTCTTTCTCTCGGCGTCTTTTCTATCGCTCAGATCGCTTACACTTTTTGTTTTCTATTCTACGATGGCGTCGTCGTATTGTTGAATTTGTTTATTCCGGATATTTTTTCCCTTTCTTCATTCTTAGGGGGTATACGATACAAGGGATACACGGGCTCATCTGCATAGAACATGACTAGCTACTAGTGTTGGATGAATAATATTGACGATGAATGAGATGCACATTTTCAATGGCCAATTCCGGGTGCAAAGTGAGGGGACGTCGACGTCAGAGGAAGCGGGGATGTTCGCCACCGGGATGCTCGGGTTGATCGATGGTCGACGATGGTTGGGGGAGCAGTAGCTGTGGCTTGACGGGGTGACATTATTTTATCTATATTATCTATGATCTGTACAGATGTACGAAATAGTCAACGGAGGTGCAGCACGCCTTGCAGTGGCCCCCGTCAGGTGACAGGGTCCCCCGTCCTCAGGCATTTCCCCGACATTCGTCCTCCCTACTCCGTCATACTCCGTACTTCCCACTATCTTGTACTCCACTACGCCGTACTGAGTACCCCGTATGTATAAAGTACAGGGTAGTGTTGTACGACGCACTCCACCGCTCTCCTTGAGAAGAGCCTCTCCAGACGCAAAGCGGTCGAGCATCCAATGATCTCCGCCGTGTAACCTCCGCCATCTCCTCCGTCCTGCATCTGGGCTAGACTTAACCCCCAACCGATCTAGATTGCTCGACTCCTCGACTCAACCGCGAAGGAAAAGGGAAAGGATTGACCGTTGCATGCGAGACCAGTCGAGTCGGAGCAGGACCTGAGTATCCGAGCCAACAATGCAGGCAGGATGACTCTACTGTCAGTCCAGAGTACCTTAGCGCCCACTCAGCTCGCACCCTTGGAGGGAGTGGACCAATCCCGCCGTGGAGTCCGTGATGATGAAGCCGAGTGGGATTAGAGTCGGGGGAGCTTGTGACCTCACGGATTGGGATTCTTATCTGGCTGAGTTTTTCCTCTCGATTCGTCTTATTCCCCCGCCCCCCCCCCTCCTTCTCTTCTTCAGTTTTATTGTTTGTTTTCTTTTTTCTTTTTTCTTTCCTCCTTCTACTCCTGGAACGATCGACCGCGGAATCCGCCCAGGTCGCGGACAAATCAGAGGGCGTCCGCCGTCCACGCCGAGCAGCGACTCGCCACCGGTCGGTCTCTCCCAACCAGTCACGAAATCCCCGGTGCAAAGGTGCATGGAAGATTGGAATGTGGAAACTGGAAGGTCTGTCGCCCTTCCTGCCTCTGTGGGCTCCACTCCAAACCTTCGTCAAAGTTCTACGGAGCACTCCGTACGGTCTACTTAGCTTCCTCCGTCTGCCTCCGCTACCTACCTTTGCTTTTTCTCCTGTCTTCTGTTCTTTTTTTGAGATTCCTTCTATCTGCACCTCTATCCCTTTCCCCTGCAGGTCCGATGACCCCCTTTCCCTTTTGGAGATCGTGATTCTCACCGCAATTTGCTCTTCCTTGTCCGTCGATCCTCGGGCTGCCACGTGCTGACGCTTTCCATTATTCTCTAGTTCTAGTTCCGAACTAAATTCCTCCCATTCCGCCCGTCCCCCGGTCACGGAGTAGTTTACATCACTGAACGCCCTACGATTCTCTTTTAGTGTCCTTTGCGCCACATTGGGGTGATTTTGAAATCCGAAACCAGAAAGAAAAATAGACCACCGTCGAACCGAGCACCCTTTGTTCTTGACCTCTGTCCCCTTCAATCAACACATGGCGCTGCTTTATTCGACTCTGCAATTGTCCGTTTCCTCTTCCGTCCCTCCAATTCGCCTACGCTCTTCCATTTAAATATTTCCTTCATCTATACTCTGTTCATAAATCGTCGCCGTGGTCACTGGAGACAATACGTTGCGACTCGCCGTACAATTCGAGAGAATCTTTCCCGTGATAAGGAAGCTGATACAGAGAAACGTCAACAAATACCCCATTAAAGTCGATCCTTTCCTGCAGATAAAGATTACTTGAGCCGTCAAGATGAAATTCGGCCGCAATTTACCCCGGAATGTCGTGCCCGAGTGGAGCGCGTCCTACATCAAGTACAAGGCCCTGAAAAAAGTTATCAAATCAGCGGCGGAGAATGTGAAGGCTGGTCATGATGCAGACCTCGCCGGTGAGCCTTGACTTTTGTTTTTGTTTTTCTGCGTGTCCGGCCCTAGGGCCTTCTTCCTGACTTGGTTTTCTTCTTTTCCCAGGATTCTTTCACTCCCTCGATCGAAATCTCGAGGATGTGGATTACTTCTACAATAAGAAATATTCGGATTTTGCGCGCCGTCTGAAGCTGTTGGATGAGCGGTATGGCCATTCTCTGGAAGTCGGCCACCGCCTGGACGCTGAGGAGGTGGAGGACCTGTTGGCTGCCTTGCTGGAGCTGCGCGGACAGCTGCGTAAATTACAGTGGTACGGCGAGGTCAACCGTCGGGGGTTCATCAAGATCACCAAGAAACTGGACAAGAAGGTGGGCTCTCATGCGCAGCAGACCTATATCGAGACCAAGGTGGACCCCGCCCCCTTTGCCTCAAATGCTCGGGTCTCCGAGTCTTTGAAGCGAATTAACGACTGGCTATCCGTGCTGGGTGAGCAAAAGATCAACGACGATGCCAGCTCCACCCACTCTTCGCTGTCTCTGAAGAGAGGTCCCGCTCGTCCCAATCTGAACCTGCCGGCCAGCTTACTGGTTGCGGTCGACGACGCCCTCCGCAAGGACGACACGCACGTGATGCTAGAATTGCTGGAGACGCTCAAGTCGGCTGCGGACGACAGCGGAGAGGGTATCTTCCCTAAAGTCCTCAAAAATCTCCTGCAGCGGTCTATCTACTACCGCGCTAGGTCCTGTATCTCGAACCTCCTGGGTCGGATTGACAGCCTTGCCGAGGAAGACGATATCAACAAGCGCAATTGCATTCACCGACTAGTGATCTCGATCGGTCGGGCGCAATCCACCACCGACTCGGAGCAGTCTGCTTCGATGGTGCTTGACTTCCCCTTGGAGACATCTAACTACATCACTCCCGCTGCCCTGCCGACCCTTCAACCCCCGCGCTCCGTGGTGAAGGAGGCGGATTTCCCGCAGCATCTCGAGCGCTCTGATCCGTCTGTGTCGCTTTTGCAGCATCTGCTGGATCAGCTCCAAAGCTCGCAGCGATCCGCTCTCCTGGCGAAGGACCTCGCTGGCCGAACGCCATTGCATTACGCCGCCCAGTACGGGTTCAAGATTGTCTGCGAGGTCATCATTGAGCACCTGCAAGATTGGGGTATGTTCGATGCCAGTGGAGGTATTGACGGGCCCTCGTGGCAAGATAATGACGGCTGGGCGCCTCTTCATTTGAGTGTAGTGGGCGGCCACCCCCTCACGACCCGGGCCCTCCTGGATGCCGAAAACCTGCCAGGACAGAAGGAGAAGAAGATCACAATCCGCAAGCGGGTGTCCCGATCAAGCGCGGTGCTTGCCCTGGCCACCAAGGCGAACTTTGTCGATATCGTCCAACTGTTGGTGGATGCCGGTGTGGATATCAACTACCAGGACGAACAGGGCGAAACCGCACTCCATGTGGCAGCCCGCTTCGGCCACCATGAGTGTGCCAAGATTCTATTGGATGGCAACCACGAGCAGAAGGCCAATACTGAACTCGCGGAACACACGTATTCCTGGACCCCGCTGTTCATTGCTTGCGTCGACGACGCGCTCGCAGTGGTGAACTTGCTGATTGAAGCCGGTGCCGAGTTGGAGAAACCCGATTCCTCTGGGTGGACAGCCAAGGAACATGCCGCGCTGCGAGGTCACCTTGCCGTCGCTCGGCGTCTTGCAGAAGTTACGCCTGAGCCGGAAGTCAACGAGGCCGAGCCGGTGATCCCCGTTCCCACGCGTTCTACCTCGCCGTCATCCTCTCACTCTCCCCCGCCATCCTCCCTGGCGGACCGGAGATCCAACATGCAGACCCCCGCCGGGAGTTCTAGTTCGCGAGGTTCTGAGCCTATTAAGTCTTTTGGACACCGGTATCTCACCGATGAAGCCATGATCCTGGTTAGTCTGGGGACGATGGATACCCGTAACCCCATTGCATCCGTCAATCTGGACCGTATTCCCATGGAAAATGCGCATTCGACGCAGCTGGACACAGCGCTGTCCCTCGTGGTTTCGGCCAGTGGAGCCCACGGAGAGCCCGAGGTTATTGATCTCCCTGTGCAAGACAACATTTCCACCGAACCCATGGTTTTCCACGCCGCAGACGCAGCCAAGGTTAGGCTGGTATTTGATCTGATTCCTACCTACGCTGGCTCGAAAGAGAAGGTCGTGGGACGTGGCGTTGCATTGCTGTCCAGTATCAAACCCACTGTTGGATCCCATCGCATCAACCTGAAGGGTGACTCGACGGTCCCTATCATCGCCGCCAACACGTTGGAAATCATCGGCACCGTCACCTTCAACTTCCTTATCATCACCCCTTTCCAGCACCCCAACATGTCCATTACTGGGGACCAAACGTATTGGAAGAGTATGAGCTCAACCATGGTAATCGGTCACCGCGGGCTGGGTAAGAACTTTGCCAACCATAACTCACTACAACTCGGAGAGAATACGATCCAGTCGTTCATTGCCGCGGCTAATCTGGGCGCATCCTACGTGGAATTCGATGTGCAACTGACCAAGGATCACGTCCCTGTGATCTACCATGATTTCCTCGTCAGCGAAACTGGAATAGATGCTCCCGTGCATACTTTGACTTTGGAACAATTCCTTCAGCTGGGTGACAGGGGGCAACCGGCCGACGTTTTGGGGAAGGACGTGAACACTCGCCAGCGCTCCATGTCCGTCGGCGGCTCCGAATACGACCCCTCGGAGTTGAACGAGAAGATCAAGCACACGCGTGACTTCAAGAAGAAGGGTTTCAAGGGGAATACCCGCGGTAATCACATTCAGGCGCCATTTGCCACGCTGGAGGAGCTATTTAAGAAGCTGCCCAAGTCCGTTGGGTTCAACATTGAATTGAGTGAGTTTCCACTACCCCCATAAAGGACGGTTACAAGACGATCTGACTGGGATCGCCAGAGTACCCCATGCTCTTTGAGAGCGAGGACGAAGAGATGGACACTTATGCGGTGGAATTGAATTCGTTTGTCGACACGGTTCTCCGCCTGGTTTACGATCTGGGACACGGCCGCAACATGATCTTCTCGAGTTTCAACCCGGATATTTGTCTTTTGCTGTCTTTCAAGCAGCCCTCCATCCCTGTCCTGTTCCTGACGGACTCCGGATCCACGCCGGCCGGTGATATTCGGGCCAGTAGCCTCCAAGAAGCCGTTCGGTTCGCCTCTCGATGGAACCTGCTTGGCGTTGTGACTCAAGCTGAGGCCTTGGTCCTCTGCCCTCGATTGGTGCGAGTGGTGAAGGAATCCGGTCTGGTTTGTGTTTCGTACGGAGCGATCAACAACAAACCTGCCAACGTCAAGGTATGTATTATTAATGCTGTGCTGCGTGTTGGTCCAAGCGATGCTAACAGTGCAAATAGCTCCAAGTTGCCGAGGGCATTGATGCCGTCATCGTGGACTCCGTTCTAGCCATTCGAAAGGGACTCACGGAGCATCAGAACAAGGATACCCCGGCCGTTACTCCTCAACCCAGTCCGCTCGCCCAGCCCACTTCCGATCCTATAAACCAGGCCTTGAAAATCCCAGTTCTAAATCAGGCTGATGTGCAGGATAACCACCTAAACATCAAATAGGAATAGATTTTGTAGAGATGGTATCATGTATCCTGAGACCTTCAACATTGGATCTCGCGACAGTGGGTACTTTTGTTGATTCATTGCAACACCCGACGTTCCTTTGTTTTGCTTGGCTTATGGTTATTTATTGATCACGTCTTTTGCTTGCGCACATGATATTCTAGCTACACTGGAGGATAGGTTTGAGTTTAGCTGATAGAGGCTGGTTTTAACAACTGGCAATGCTGTATAATGCAGATAATTGAATTGGTATCATCCATGGCGGTTCATCGTTTGAATTATAGATGACCATGTCGAGGACGGACGGTAAGATTCGAGTATAGCTCTGCCAGACTGCCGGAGAATCGAGACATTCACCGTGATGAGTTGGTTGATCGGGATTCTTGACTCCTCGGAAACCCGTAGGGCGTCATTTGGCGGACAGTTTCTGCCTGATTGCCCAGGCTGTAATCACGTGCACGGACGATCGTCAGTATAGCTTGCTCAAGCTTCACTCATCTTTTTCTTTCATGCCACATTATCCAGCCTCAGGATAAGCCACGAACGCAGCTGACTAGCTCTGGAAGCTAATCAAGTTCTCACGCAATCCCCTTTTCTATTCTCTCTCCACCCCCCAATTCCTGACCATGCAATGACATAACCAAGCTCTTGAATATTCCTCTCCGCATTCCGCATTCCGCATTCCGCCCTTCTTTATCTCCTTCCCTCCACCTCTTTTTGGATACATTCTCAAACTAGTCTACGATTTCCTCCTGTACCATTGATATAAATCTGGAGCAACAAGCAAGAGATAAACAAAAATGAACTCCGTCGACGCCACAGAGCACTACGGAACTAGTGCTCAAGGCAAGTCCCCCCTCCTCTCAAACATCTCTCTGTATACCAGAGACCCGAACCACCGACTAACACACTCTCCACCAGAACCCGCCCCCTCCCTCCTCACCGTGATCTTCGACACAAACCCGCACGCCTGGGCCCTACTCGAAAACGAACTCCCCCTCTCCAAAGCCATCGCCAACGTCCTCGTCTTCCTAAACGCCCACCTAGCATGCAACTACGCCAACGAAGTCGCCGTGGTCGCATCCCACAGCCAAAAAGCAACATGGCTCTATCCCCGCGAGAACCCGTCCTCCTCTAAGGACAAAGACGGGGACATCAGCATGGACAAAAACGGCAGCGACAGCAAGAAGAACGGAACCTCCGCCGGCCAAGTCAATAAATACCGACCTTTCCGCATCGTCGAAGAACAAGTCACCCGGAACCTACACGACTTGATGACTTCCACCTCCACTGCCGACATCAAATCCACCTCCGCGACCATGATGGCTGGCGCACTCACCCTGGCCCTCAGCCACATCAACCGCCGCAGCATCGCCTGGTCCGAAGCCCACGGCGGAGACACCTCGACCGCGGGGGATCCAAACAGCGGCAGCAGTACCACCGGGAACACAACAACCGACTCCTCAGAAGGGGGCCTCCAATCCCGTATCCTGATCATATCCGTCAGCGGGGCCTCCGACTCAGCGCACCAATACATTCCCATCATGAACGGGATCTTCGCGTGCCAACGACTACACATCCCCATCGACGTCTGCAAATTACGCGGCGACGCCGTGTTCCTACAACAAGCGTCCGACGCGACGCGGGGCGCATACATGTCCCTGACCTCCCCGCAAGGATTACTCCAGTACCTGATGATGGCGTTCCTGCCCGACCAGCGCTCGCGACGACATCTGGTTTTGCCGAGTCGAGTAGACGTGGACTTCCGGGCAGCGTGTTTCTGTCACCGGAAGGTCGTGGACGTCGGGTTCGTGTGCTCGATCTGTTTGAGTATTTTCTGTGAGCCGCCGGAGGGCGGCGCGTGTTTGACGTGTGGGACGCAGTTGGAGATGGGCGAGTATGGGAATAAGCCGGCGTTGATTGCGAGGAAGAAGGCGAAGAAGAAGAAGGTGAGAGGCGCGAATGCGCCGTCCGGATCTGCGACGGGGACGCCGACACCGACACCGACGCCGGGACCTTGATCTTGGGACTTGGACCTGGACCTGGACCTTGGCCCTTGCTTGGGTGGCTAAGGAAAGCTATCCAGCCGTACATACAAGGAAGCTATAGCACGGGGGGTGATCATGGTACATCATCTTTGATGTCAGACGGCTATCCGCCTATACGCCTTATTTGAGGGAAAGTCGCAACATCGTCGTTGGGACTCAGCAGGCCAAACGCTTCTACACGATTACGGAAGGAGTATATCGACTCAAGGAGACTTATCTATTGGTATCCTAGGTTCATAAAACGATGTGGACCGGGCCACTAACTACCGCCTTGACCTCTCCCAAGTCACTATTGACATCCCATTTTGTACATCCACCTCTTATCTGATTCGGAGAGAGACCGGACCCATCTGAGGAAGCGATGCAACTCAGCCATATTGATTGTCAAAGGCTGGTTGCGCTGAATAGACGTGATTTCGTGAATCGTCCTCGATCCCTGGCACAGAGACAATTAGAATCGGACTGCCCATTGAGAAGTTGGTCATAGGGTACTTTTAGCTGTTGGTTAGGAAGTCAGATATTAGCGAACATATATAAACAAAGGACATTGGACGCTTGAAGGCCTGTTTCGACATACGTCAACTCGACTGTTTACTTCGATGATTCAGCCACTTTGTATCTATGAACCGTGGTAATCAGTACTGCCAGCTTTCATCAGGGAAAGCTGTGATTCTACCTTTTCCAGCGATACGCACGACCACCTTGGGCGATGCTGCCATTGCCATTACTACGAGACATAACGGAGGTTGGCTTCTTGTCATCGCTACACATGGATGCAAGGGCCTGGAAAACGGTTTTAGTTACCAAGTCAGGAAGGGGGGAGGAAGGCCACTCACGAAAGAGTCGGTGTTATGACCAAAGTAGAGGAACGCGCCGTCAGTCGTCTTTTTTACCGCCATCACCCCAATGGCACCCTGGCAATGACTGCCTTTTACGCCGGGGTGGTCTGAACAAATGTAGTTAGTGAGCAACCGTCGCTCATTCACAGCCAGGAAGAAAAGCCACATACCCATAAAGTCGGATATTATCATCCCCCTCACAGCTTCCTCCTCAGTTACTTCTTCAAAGTCGCCATCATCGCATTTTCGTTGACTGTAGTAGACGCGCGATGCACAGGTACTAGCGGCCATAGTGGTGGCAATATGCTCTCCGGTTCCCGATGTAACAACGGCAACAGTGGTTTTATCGGGATCGCTGGGATCCACTGGGATAACAGCGGTGCCTATGCCTACCAGCGCTGCAGGTCCGATTCGACCCCGATGCTTCATCGCTATGCCACCAGATGATGAGCCTGCTGCAATATTGCCATGGCTGTCAATTGCTACCGCGCCGACAGTGTCATTAATCCGGTCCATGGCAGGATCGAGCGTGATCGAGGTGCGTTTATTAGGGTCCACATTTGTGTCAGGGGTTTGCGACGTCGGGTCTACTTCCATAGTTGACTCCGTCCCAGGTTCGGAGAATGCCTCTGCTGGTACATAAGCTTGCTCGGATCGTGAGCACATGCCATCTATATACTCGCCATCCCTGGTCCGAGACGAGTCAGAAGAGGGCGTATTTGAATCTGCTGGCGGAGTGACACCAAAGCCTCTGAATCTGGAGTTTGTGAAGTTTGGAAGGCTAGGCTCATTGTTGATGTCAGGACTTGACGAATGTGGGTGTGTACTATTATGAGACGAAAGCAGCTGGGCTGGGTGAAAGTGAACTGGCCGACGAATCCATGACTTGAAGCGATCGTTCTGGTGGTGGTGACCATGGTGTTGCCTGTCCACTCCTTCGGTTGAAGATAAATCCTGTTGCCAGCGAAGCCATCTCTCTCGTGCCGCTGGAGATATCAGGCCGTCATCGGGAAGGACAACCAGCCGGTTTTCAAAAGCAAAATCAGTGGCGCCTTGGCCAACAAGGAAGTTAGGAGGTACTCGCTGCAATGACAACGGTTTTGATGAAGCGTCCAAGATAACCCGAGCAAGCGAGATGGGATTTTTGACATCTTTCGTAGTATTAATTAGCCTTGCAAGATCCGCGGAAGGGAAGACGAGGAGGGAGAACGAGTAGGGAGAGAGCTCACTAGGAACTGCGCCAGCAGCGCCGCTGCTTCCGTGGTGATTTACAATGGTAGCATCACACTCGACGGCGCCATCGATGGTCAGATTGCTCCCATATCCAGAATTCGTGATCTCCGCATCTTCAAGCATCATGATCGCGATCTCCACAGCGTCCACAGCAGAGCCACCATTCCTTAAGATGGTCATTGCTACATTAGATGCACTTTGTGAGGTTAGTTGAGGAGAGTGATGGAATGTTGCCAAAGAGGTCATTGTAGATATGCTGTGCTGGCGACAGAAAACTCACTTCTCACATGTTTCAAGATGGGCTTTCTCATTATGCAGGCTATGGAAGCCAGCTCCAGCATGGACGAAAATGGCAGACGTGTTGCCGTACTTCTGAGGGCGACTCATCATGTTTGGGCGGACGGTCGACGAAGCCGCAGAGTCGGCGCGCGGGGTTCAAGTAGCTGCGGAAGTTGAAAGGAGCTGGGGTCTGTCTTCGACACTGCTCGTACACTGGAACACTAAAGATTGCGGAGGTCAAACCGCTGTAGTCATTCACTCAAATTATTCGGTTGACATAGCGACAACAAGACAGGAAGCCTAGAGTACGTATGGATAGCAAGTTTCAAGGGAACGACAGAGGCAGTAAAAGAGCGCACGCCGGGAGCACAGGAGAAGAATGTCCTAGGGAGCAGGAGTCGGATGGATAGAATAACTGATATTTTCGTAGGTGAAGAGAGAATGTGCAGATGAAGCCAAGTGAATGAATGGATACAGTAGTAGCGGTTGACTTGACTGTGAGACCTGCACCTTCCCACGCATCGGTCAGATGACAGGGCTGCCTCTCTGGGCCACGATCTTCATATTAACCAATTGTCCGAGAAAGAAGGAACGATGGGAAGAGCTGATGGACGACCACGAAGAAGATGGATTTACTTCGCTGCGGCTACTCGATTGGGCGCTGCTCAGGTGACCGCACGTGAAGCTAGTCTTGGCTTCGATGTCATATCTGCACAACACCATTCCTCTTTCAGCCTAGCTCCGTATTGTGATACGCTCAGCATAGCCGCAGTCTGGTACGGTACGGTAACTGCCGCGTACGGGTACGGGTACGGGGCTCATGGGCAACTCCCATCATCATCCCGACTGCCTGCCCGCCGTCTCCCCTCCTCCTCCGCCATTCCTCTTTCTCCTATTCCTTTCTTCCCCAGGGGTTCCTACTAATAAGCTCCGGACTACCCTATCTTGGTCCAATTACTCTCCCCCCTACAGCTCCTAGTTTCTCGATCTCTCCCACTTGCGAAGATAGGGGAAGTGTGTGCGTGTGCGCTCCAGCTCATTCGTCATGGCGTCTCAAACCCCGGCCGTTGTCATGGACAAGTACGTGCGACCTGTATATCCTCAGCTGATAGTTATTCCTCATTCTTTCTCCCTTGCTAACATGGATCTTTCTTCTCAGCGGAACTGGTTATTCCAAGCTCGGTGAGCCTCAGTTGACACCCCCCGACGCTCGTTCCAACTCGCCCGAATCGCTCTAGGCTGACAACCCAACCCCAGGTTTCGCCGGTAACGACTCGCCCTCGTTCGTCTTCCCCACGGCAATTGCTAGCAAGGGTGGTGCCGGTGCCTCCGGAGGCGCGACCAGACCGGCTGTCGGAAATAAGCCCTCGTTCTTGGCCGGAGGTGGTGGAGCCGGCTCACACCTGTCCTCAAAGCGTGGCACGGAAGACCTGGATTTCTTCATCGGTGACGAAGCTCTGGCTGCCGCCAATGGGCCCGGCTATGGCATCAACTACCCCATCCGACACGGTCAGATCGAGAACTGGGATTCGATGGAGCGGTTCTGGTCGAACTCGATCTTCAAGTACTTGCGCGTCGAGCCCGAGGATCACTACTTCCTTCTCACCGAACCGGTAAGATCGCGCTTGCATTCCTTTCCCCTCACACAGTTTGGCAGGAGATAAAATAAAAGATGGGTACTAACGCACATCAACCGGACTAGCCCCTGAATCCCCCCGAGAACCGTGAGAATACTGCGGAGATCATGTTCGAGTCGTTCAACTGCGCCGGTCTTTACATTGCCGTCCAAGCTGTGCTTGCGCTCGCCGCCTCGTGGACCTCCTCCAAGGTGACCGACCGATCCCTCACCGGAACCGTCATCGATTCCGGTGACGGTGTCACCCACGTTATCCCCGTCGCCGAAGGCTACGTCATCGGGTCTTCCATCAAAAGCATACCGATTGCCGGTCGAGACATCACCTATTTCGTACAGAGCCTGCTGCGTGACCGGGGCGAGCCCGACAGCAGCTTGAAGACGGCCGAGAAGGTGAAAGAGGAATACTGCTACGTCTGCCCTGACATCGTCAAGGAATTCGCCCGGTACGACCGCGAGCCGGACCGTCTCCTCAAGCACACCGTGACCTCGCCCAACGGCCGCAGCGTGAACATCGACGTCGGCTACGAGCGATTCCTGGCCCCCGAGATCTTCTTCAACCCCGAAATCTACTCCTCTGACTTCCTGACCCCCTTGCCGACCGTTGTCGACGGCGTCATCCAGTCCTCCCCCATCGACGTCCGGAGAGGGCTGTATAAAAACATCGTCCTGTCCGGAGGATCCACGCTATACAAGGACTTTGGCCGACGCTTACAGCGTGACATCCGGCACCTGGTGGACGCACGGATCCGGGCCTCGGAGGCACGCAGCGGTGGAGCGCGAAGCGGTGGATTGGACGTGGCCGTTGTGACGCACAAGAGACAGAGACACGGTCCGTGGTTCGGAGGAAGCTTGCTGGGACAGACGCCCGAATTCCGAAGCTACTGCCACACCAAGGCCGAATACGACGAAATAGGCCCCAGCATTGTCCGGAGATTCGCTCTCCTCGGTGGCCCGGGCAGTTCGTAAAAACCCTGCAAGTTCTCAAGATAAGAAATCCGTTTTTGTCCAAGAAATATCTGTCTTCTCATATCTTCGCTAGCTACCCTTTTTTTGCCCCCCTCCTTAGTCCGTGTCCATAGTATACTTGTTCCTTTAAAATTTCTTTTAATGGGTCGAGAAACAAACCTCGCTTAGATTGATATCATGGGGTTAGTGTCTACATAGAATGGAAGGAGAACCGGGGATTTGATAACGTATGCTTTTTCATTCTCAATCTTGACCCCTGCTCATATGCCAGAAAAAAGAAGCCGGCCTAGTAGACCAGTGTTATTGAAATTGAAAGTATAGATTAACCGGTCTGTAGCTAAACCAATGCATTCATGCTAGAACTAAGCAAGTATAATATGCCAATATATGCGTATATACCAAAAAATGGTACCGATTACTTTTCGTCTAACCAGCTCCGTAAATGCCCATATATTTTACATATCCACCTTATTCAAAATAGCCACACCCTCGACGTGGCCCGTCTGCGGGAAGAAGTCAAATCCGCGGATACTCTCGATCTCGTAGCGGACCTTCTTCGCGTCGTCGCCCTGCACCATGACCGCGACATCGCGAGCCTGGGTGTGCACGTTACAACTAACGTAGACGACGCGCCGGGGGCCGAAGGCGAGGAACTGGCGCAGGAAGTCCTCACTGCAGCCCTTGCGCGGGGGGTCGATGACAAGGAGGGTCTGGTCGGGCGGGTAGGGAACTTCTTTGAAGAGGGTGGCGGCGTCGGCGGCGGCGAAGCCGGTGTTGGGGAGGTTGTTGGCGCGGGCGTTATCGCGGGCAGAGGCGATAGAGTCGCCGGCAACGTCGACGCCCAGGCTAGATTTGAAGATAGTAGAGAGGGTGATAGTGAAGAGGCCGGAGCCGGAGTAAGCGTCGAGGAGGTATTTGAGGGGTTTGGAGGCGTCTTGGGTGTGAGGGGGCAGGGATTGTTGGCGGATGTAGTCGGTGAAGCCGGAGAGGATGGAGTTGTTATTTTGGAAGAAGGCGCCGGCTTTGTTGGTGAACATGTAGTCGTCGACGTATTCGATCGAGGTCGCGTTATTGTCTGTCACGCAGCGCTTTTCCTCGATGTAGTCGTCATGCTCCACGCGAATCACGTCTCCCGAGTCTTTGTTGCTTTGGCTCTTTTCTTCCGCGCTGGGTTCGGTCGCGGTGTCGGCTTGGTCCTTAGGGGTGCGAGTGGTCGATTCGCGCATGAGGAGCGTCGCGCCTTTAGTGTAGCGTCCGATGTTGGCTGCGACCCTTTTCCTCTCGCTCTTGAGGCCCTTGCGAACGATGTCGGTTCCCAGCGGGCAATCCTCGATGTCGAGATCGAGGCGTCGGTTCTTGTAGGTGAAGCCGATCGGCGGTACTTCGGTGTGAGGTTGTCCGGGTCCTTTCTGTCTCCTCGAGTTTCCGGCGGGAGCGGCGAAATGCGGCGTAAGCTTCGTGCGATATCCATAGCGCAGAGGAGACGGGAAAGTCTCGCCAATGGCGGGGATCAACTCCGGGATGAGGCCGGAGAAGTTGGCGTAGGCCTTTTCGACGATGCGCTTCTTGTGGGCCAGCTGGTCCTCGTACGACATCATTTGGAGTTGACAGCCGGAGCATTTGCCGAAGTATTGACATCCAATGAGGTTGTCGTCGCGCGTGGGACCCGGTTCAATGACCTTGACAAAGTCCGTCAAGCTGTAGGACTGGGACTCGAAGTGTCGCACCACCTTCACCAGTACCTTGTCGCCGGGCACAGAGAAAGGCACAACGTAGACATGGTCGGCATTCTCTGACAGGGCAAGACCGTCACCCGTAGATGACAGCTCCGCGACGGTCACTTCGATCTCGGTGAAGGCTTCTGGGAGCGTCGGTTGCGGCGTCTCCGCTACAGAGTCGGCAGCGACTTCGGTCTCCGGCTTGTTCTTGCGCAAAAGTTGATCGATATCGGTCTGGAGAACCTCGTCATGGCCATTGCTCTTGCTGTTCTTCTCCGTTCGAGGCTTTTTGTTGCGCCTTCCACCCTGGTTGGGTTTCTTGGGAGCGTGCGGCATTATGTTCGCGGGGAATCGTTGCGCATGTGAGGGTCGAGGAGAGGGAGCGCTGGCGTGAGAGAGACGGCGAATCTGAGGGGAGAATCGAGACCAATTGGTTTTACAGACGAAGAGGAAGGGCTTCCAGAACATAAAGAAACGAGGAGGGAGAGGGGCGCAAGCCGAGAGTCGAGAGGAAGAAAGAAGGACGAGAAAGAGTGAGCGAGAGGAAAAGAAGAAAAAGATGAGTGAGAGGAAAAAGGCGGGCGGGGATTGGTCGAGCGGGCCGCCGAGAATTCATCAGGAACTTCCGACTTTCCTCTTCTTCACCTTTATCCATACTTTTTGCCCTCCCCCCTTCGTCGTTTTCGTCTTCGCCCCCCACACACCCTCTCTCTCCTCCTCTCCTTCGGTTCTGCTCTCCAGTGGCCTCTGCGGGCCAGAGAGCTTTTGCTTTTTTCTCATCATGAGCTTCGCCCGTCCGGCCAGATGCCTGTTCTGCAGCTTTTCTCGCGCTGCCGCCCCCGTCGCTCGCGTGCCTCGTCGCCAATTCCACCTCTCGCCGGCTCAATTCTCCGATCGCAAACCCGGAATCCCCAGTAATGAACCGCCTACGGAAGGAAAGACCTTGCAGGATATCAAGCGGGGACTAAAGCCCGAGGACTTCCAGCCGTACTCGGAGGAGGAAAAGAAGGCCCTATCGGAGGAGTACACCCCCGAGCAGATGGCCGCCGTGGAGGCCGGTGAAGCCGCCATTGACCCCAAGGACATGGCGGACCAGTTTGGCGTTCGTCGCGATCCCATGACGCTCCGTTACCTGGATGATCTCTCGGTCATCGAGCCCGGCGTGGACCGACATGTCCGCGCACCCAAGTCCAACTCCGACTACAACGTGGCCCTCAAGAACGACGATGACTTCGTGAAAGACTTTGCCCGCTACTTCGAAGAAATGCCCGACAATGTCAACGTGGGGGAATGGGTGCAGTTCCTGGAGACCCTCCGGGTGACCAAAGGCAAGGAGGAGAACGAATTGAACCCCCACAGTGCGCTGGTCCCCGATTTCTTCCAGCCTGGAGAGAGCTTGACGGGCGAGAAGCCCGAGGAGCGTCCAAAGATCTTTGAATTGGAAAGGCCGGGGTCCCAGAACAAGGAGTCCGATAGCATGACGGATGCTCTGAAGAACCTGGTGCTGTCCACCGGCTATTCTCCGGCGGAGATCCGGGGGTTAAAAACGAAGATTCTTGTCCAACACTCGGTCACCAACCAGACCCGTCTGGGTAAGATCCGAAGTGTCTATGTTCTCTCCGTCGCCGGTAACACCAATGGTCTCTTGGGAATTGGCGAGGCCAAGTCCGATGAAGCGAGTGACGCCCAAACCCAGTCCCAGTACCGGGCCATTCGAAACATGCAGCCCATCCCGCGGTACGAGAACCGAACTATCTTTGGTGACGTGAAGGGCAAGGTGGGAGCTACTGAGCTGCAATTGATGACTAGACCTCCGGGTGAGTTTTTGTCCTTCCCCAAATTGAAGCATACGTGACTAACCCTTATCTATCAAGGCTTCGGTCTCCGCTGCCAACATCTGATCTTCGAAATGTGCCGCGTCGCCGGTATCCAGGATATGGCCGCGCGTGTCGGTCGCTCGCGAAACCCCATGAACACGGTGAAGGCTGCCTACCAGGCTCTGATGAGCCAGCGCGATCCGGAAGAGATTGCCCGGGCCCGCGGAAAGAAGCTGGTGGACGTGCGTAAGGTCTACTACTCCGGACATGCCTGATCTGATCGGGTTATGTCAATTTAGTGAATTGGACGGTCATCCTCACGCACAGAATCGACTGACTGACTGACTGACTGTACGACTACGAAGGCACAGTTCAGCGACATGTGCGAATCATGTCTTTTGCGTTAGAGCTGTGTATATAATTTTGGTTCATTTTTTCTCTTCTTTTCCCTTTCTTTCTGTACCGAGATATGTATTTGTATTTGCAAAGATTCATTATCATATTATGCATCATTTGAATAGGAACAGGGCCAGCCAGGCATGGTATTCTCAACTCCAGACCAAGGGTATATGACAAGCCTTTTGGGCAAAATTATAAAACTCAAGAAATCCCCATCCATTGGAAAACAAAAGCAAAGAAAGTCAACCCCAAAACACCTCTAGCCCGTTAAACACCCTCCTCCCTGTACATACGGAGTAGTTAAACCCAATCCAGATTAAGGTCAAGTATACCTCTCCCCTTCAAAACTAACATCATCCCCCTCATACATCATCCCACCCTGATGATACTGATCGTTATATCCTCCCATATCGACGTCCCCGTTGTGATACGTCTCCTGCTCCTGCTGTTGCTGCTGTTGCTGCTCCTCACTCTCATTAAAGATCTGCTGCTGCAACACGATACTGTAAACGCTTGCTTTGAGCAACGTGCACACGGTCGCGGTTTTCCGTTCGAGATGGCGTAGACCGTCAAGTGTCAGTGAGGACGGGTCGCCCGAGAGGTCGGCGAGTTTGTCAGAGAGCTGTAAAGGTTTCAGACATTTTTCATTAGTTTGGTTCGAGTGGTCTCAATTGAGTCTTGAAAGGATTGGGTGGCGCGAGATGTTGCAATTGCTTTCATTGAATTGGAGGTGGGGATGGGATAGGAACTAAAGAGGAGAAGGGAGGACACACCTTATTCACATTCCCTAATAACCTTATATACTCGTCTAGCACCTCCTGCTCGAGATCGGAGACGTGGGGGTTCGACGCGCGGAGGAGCGGGTTTTCAGACACGGAGGAATCCCGCGGCGGCGTGGCGGTCGTTGCGGGGTTATCGGAGAGGGGGGTGGACATTGTATTGGGACTTTTGCTGGGGTGGGTTGGACTGGATTCAGATTGAGGGATGCGATGGATGCTGTGCTTGAGCGGAGTTGAGTTGGGGTGTTCGGTGGGTGTGGAGGAGAGAAGGTGGTGGAAGTGGAAGTGGTGAGGGTTGTTTATTTGGGTTGCGGCGTCTCCATCGGAGGTTCGTCCACGCTTTTCTATTCTTTGCTTCGATAGACACCATGGTTCTTCTAAGTTATCAATTTCAATCAATTAATCTATCTTTACGTATATTAATAGAAGATCAGGGTCTATCTACAATTGATTTATAAGATACTGAGAACCACAAGGTAGAGTTGTTATAGTTCCAAGTCCACAAGCACCGGGCCTGTCAACAAGACCAGGCATCCAAAGTCCCGATCTTTTCAACGACGAAACAATATCAAACAATATCCCCAAAGGAAACCCCTCATGTTGTCTTGCTTTCGTCGTCGCTGGATGGTCAACAAAAGACAGCATGACAAACAAGTCCGAAATAGCAAACGCCGTCTTCTGCAATAATGACAGTAGAGAAACAAGTGTAGTCAAAATGACAATCGAAACAGCAAGCGCACAAGTCGTTTATAGTGCTGCAATAAATCAAAACGAACCCCGAAAATTACCCCATGAGTGAAGTGGTTTTGAGGACACACTCGGCCACCTTGAACAGTCAACAACAATATAGAAAGCCAGAGCAGACATAAAAGTGACATAATCAGAGAAAAAAAAAAAGATAGAGACATAAATAGAATCAAACCCAACAAACACTCTAAGCTCCCAATACTCCAGGTGATAGCAGTAAGGATATTGTTGCTTTCGGATACAAAGATCTTCTCGCATCATCGTCGTAATTGAGCTGCATGCGATACGGAGAACGCTCGAACAGTCTCGCAAAGAAATAAAATAGATATAGTCGTCAGCTTCATGATTCAACGCATTTTACATGTCCCCGTCATGATGAAGGGTAACGCTGTTGAATTCCTCAAACGGGTCGGAGATTTCGGCGTTGGGGGTGGCAAGGCCAGAATCCATCGGAACCCCCTTCATCTTGGTGGGGTTGGTCCCTCCGATGTCAACACTGGCACTTTCCTTGACATTGCGGAAGTTGAGTGTGTCCGTTGCGCGACCCTGGTTGGGGATCATCGGCGGTTTCATGTGGCGGATGAGGGCCCATTGCGTTTGCCGGAAGAAGGGATGCGTCTTAACATCGGAGGCTCCCGCTCGGGCTCCAAGACGCTTCGTCTCGTCTTTGATCAAGAGCTTGCGAATCAAGGATTTGCAGGTGCTATTGTACGGTCAGCCATCTTGCTGTGCATGGCCGAGAAAAACAGGTGGGTTAAGACTTACTTCGATATTTGCTGAGCCCCTGCGTGTTCGGGGAATTGTACATCGTCACGCAGGATATTGCCAAATGTGCCATTCCGGTTCTTGCCCTTGAATGGCGTGGTTCCGTAAAGCATCTCGTAGATCAAGATACCAAGCGTCCACCAGTCGACAGCACTGGTATGCCCGCACCCCTTTATGACCTCGGGAGCGATATACTCTTCCGTTCCCACAAACGAATTGGTTCGGAAATCAGCAATGCAAGATTTTGTGTCAATGGTCGGCAACGATGTCGTCGAGCTGCCGCTACGTCCTGGGATCATCGTGGGCGCTCCGCCTGGACCAGACTGCTTGGAAAGATCAAAATCCGACAACATGATGTGACCCGACTGATGAAGAAGAATATCTACAGGTTGACTGTTAGCCCAGCTCCCAAACCGCATCTCTTCAGTAAGATTGACATACTCTCTGGTTTCAGATCTCGATAGATGAATCCCATTAAATGAAGATACTCGAGAGCAGCAGTAACTTCCGCAGCGTAGAATCGCGCGGCGTCTTCTGAAATGCACTTCCCCGGACGCGTTTGCAGGGCTACAAGAGAGAAATGCGGGTTAGTGGATAGTTTAGGTGTTAACTCTTCAGTGCTACACGTACCTCGGAAGAATTCGCCACCGCTGCAATATTCCATACACAGATAAAGGTAATCTTCAGACTGGAAAGAGTGATAGAGGGTGACGATGAATGGGTGATTACTTGTGGCGAGAATCTCCTGCTCGGCCAAGGCCCGCTTGATTTTGTTACGCTTTATCATCTCCTTCTTACTCAGAACTAGGCGTGTTGTCAGCAATCATCATAATTTAGAGCAAGACATCCCCATGCTGCCTAGCGTAAGAAACGTACCTTTCATGGCATATAGTCGGCTCGTCTTCTTTTCACGGACAAGGTATACTTTGCCAACATCGCCCTTACCGATCAGCTTCACCTTGTCAAAACTGCTTGGTCCGACTTCCACATTGCGGATCTTAATCGAGTTGGAACTATACGTCCTGCGGAAAGCAACTGCGTCGCGGATCTGACCGGGGGTAGGAAGCTTGCTATCAGCACCAAGTGCGGGCACAACAAGATTCAGTTCCTTGTCCCCTGGCAGGCTGACCTGCGAGTCAACAGCACCCGCCTGCTCCACTAAAGGTTCCTTTCCTAGCTCAGCGGTCTGGGGCCGCTCGGCCTCATCTCGTGCAAAAAGACCTTGCGCGTTCGGTGCAGAAGCGACGCGACGAAGTTTTCGTGCTAATTCCTCCTTGTTGGCGGTGGTAGCCTGCTCGGCAGCAGAGACGCCATCCACTTGCAATTCGGGGGTGTCCGGAGGCGAAGAGGGGTCGGAGCCTTCAACACGATGCTGCAAAGAGGGCTGTCCTTGATGAACGAAATACGGATTTGCCGTCGCGGTAGGAGAGACTCCCTCGTCCAGCGGGTTACCCTCACTCGCGACGGTGGTCGAGCGATTGCGACCAATAGTAGGCAGGAATCGGGACTGTCTGAAAGTCGATTTGGTATCGAGTTTGGCGGAGGGGGACGAACTATCGCGATCCCGCTCGCCGCTGTGGTGATGGCTTTGGTGGGACGAATTGCTGCCGGAGCTGTTGATGCGAAAGAAATTCTTTATCTTGGTCGGTAGATGGCTGGACTCGCCGGGGTGCTTCTTCGACGCCATGGAGAGACCGGAAAAGTTTCCACGTTTTTCGTTAGTCACATTGGACGGGCTCGAGGTAAAAAGCTGCGTCATGCCTGTCGATCACTGGAACTTGCACCAGAAACCGTGGAGGCCTAGGTTGGAAGTTGCGTCGATCCGGAGGAATACACGAGAATGAGAAAGACAGACAATAAACGTTAATTCGGGTTGCGGCGAGGGAAGAAATGGGGCTGGCTAGCAGCAGGGCGGACCAAAAGGCCGCGCGGGGAGGCGAGGAGGCGGTGCTGGGCTGGGATTAAAGGGACATCCGCTCGGGGACGAATGGGGGCATGGAGAGAACGAGCCGTCGGAGCCACTGCGATCAAGGACGCAAGGACAAAGAGAGAGAAGGACGTGAGAATTCACAGACCAAAGCAAACTCTCCACGCGAGACACGAGGAAGATAGCGAAGGCAAAAAGGATGAAAACGGGACGGGCAAGAGAAGGAAAAGAGAGAGAGGGAGAGGGAGAGAGAAGAGAGCGAGGAAGAAGAGCGACGGGGAGGCGAAAGTGGAGACGTGGAGGAATTCCAGGCTTAGTCAAGCGTTCCGGGCCTTGCGAGGTACCGTCTGGTATCGGGTACGCCAGTGGCCCGTCCAACGGCTAACAATGCAAGGTAGAGTGACATCCGCGCTACTTGCTCCTTCGAACCCTCCAGCAGGCCCTCTTCGATTTTTGTTCCTCGCCTCTTTCGCTCTGCCGTCGGAGATTTGATCCTGAATTCTAAACTGAATTTTAAATCTAAATCCCTCCCAGACCATGGATCGCATGACAGGTCCCCTCCTGGACCTCCTGGAATAACCCAACAAATTCCTTGTCCTGGTTATTTGTCAGCCATAGCAAATGCCTCCGTTCAACCCGCCCAGATTCGGTAGCATGATGCAGCACGGAGTACATCAAGACCACCTTGCCTGTCTAGTATTCACTTCCTGTCTGTGGGGTGACGTGGTACTCAGTTCACCTGCACGCTAGAGTGTGCCTTGAATTCTCCAAACAAAATGTACACAACTGGTACAACAGAGGCCTCTAAACTAGTGGATCTGTCGGTTCTGAAATGTGTCCTGCACGTTCGAAATACTGGCTGGCAATGGATATTGAAGATGACACTTCCAAGACTCATGTCCAATCCCCAGTGATATATACATACTACCTGCAGTATGGAGTCCTTGACTTGTGAATCGTATGATGATCTACGAGAGCGGGCCCGCGCTCCGTAGACAGTTGCTTTCGCAGTATACACGGCAGAGTAAATTAGACCGACGAGAAGTTTCAATGCTGATGCAAAGACCTGGTTACCTGGCAGTCGAAGGGTTCACCGCTTGCTGCAGCCACTCTGCAGCCACCAAGGGTCTAGTTCGTCGGTACAGCAACTTGGCGTATTCCAAATCTCATGTACGACTTCGGCTTGGACTTATGTAGAGGAATGCACCATCTCCATGAGCCTTACTGGACCAAGGAGACAAACATGCACTTACCCGCGAAGTGTTTAGAATTCGCTGAGTAAACGTAATCTAATAAATTGCAGAACTCTCACCCCTTGCAGGAGATCGAACGACAAAGTCCAGATGTGAGGCGTCACCCTCTTTCCTGTGTGATGCTCTACTGACTCTAGGAAGCGATGATGTATGTACATCTTCGACTAGGTTTTTGACGGCAACTGAATCATATTTCTAGGTCCATCGTGAACTCAAGTTACGGACTACCTATGACTGCTAATCGCCTCACCCGGCCCAATAGAAATTGAAATCATGCTGGACTTTTTAAAGTGACATTCAAAAGAAACAGGTCCACCTCCAATCGTCCTGGGCTGTGATAAATGGTCAATAAAAAACCTGTAACTCGAAGAGCGGAAGAAAACATCCTAGTGTTATGCGAAGTGCCAAGTCCCTACCAACCCAACCGCCCTATTGACCACCTCCAATTCGGTGTTCACCCGTGTCTTCCACACTGAAGTAAGTGAGCCATGTACAAAATTGGGGAAAAGGGAGGTGGAGAGAAGATAAAGAGAAGAGAAAGAGAAACGCGGACGAGCTCATAAGAGGCAAATAAAGGGAAGGATGCCAGCAAAAGAATCAAGATCTACCACCAAGATCCCGGTCCGGCCATCCGATACTCATAAACCATGTTCGCCTCCTCAGTTTCAATGCGCTTAAGGAAGTCACGCACGACTGCATAATTTGCCTTGATACGCTCTTTTTTCTGGTACCACGGCCCTTGGGCCTGCTCCCTGTTCCCTATGTCGGGTACGTCACCAGCCCCATCGAAGGGAGCCACAAAGCCTCTAGGGGCAGATGGCCTCTGAATCATTGAGACCGGCTTCACCTTCGTGCCAGTTTTCTTACTCCAGCTAGCGCCACTGCTGAGGTTAGTGTTATGGAGGCGATCCCCGGGCCCACTGTTGTGTTGAGTCAGCCAGCGTCTGCTTGGGGGATCGATTGTCTTGTTTACCTTTTCCAGATTGAATCGAGGCGTCTTCCGGGGTTCTCGCCGCTGAGTGAATCCCTGCCGAAGTAACGCTGACTGCAGTCGTTAGTGTATGGTCCCCAGATACCCATGTCTTTATTTCCCTAGTCTATTCAATGGCAAGGTAAACATACTCGCTTTTATGCACCGTGGTCCATGAATCTGTCGTGTGCGACGAAGGGGCTCTGCTATGACTCTCATCATCCGTTTCGGGAGAAGGGGCCCTGAGTTTCTTGCTGGGAATCTTGGGAGAGGGCTCTGATTCCCAGAATCTCCTGATATGCTGCATGTCACGGGATTCAGGGCCATAACTCGGGATATTCTTGGCTGGGAACCCTGCGCCAGTACTCTCGGTCAAAGAGGTCAAAGGAGCACGTCTTCCAAAGATTCGTGGTGTTGCCCCATCATCCTTCTTGCTGCCGTCGTTGATGAGTCCGGCAGTCACGACAGATAGTTCTCGAAGTAGCCCGCCAACTGGTTCACGCCGAGTGCTGGCCGCTTCTATCTTATTATAAAGCTTTTGAAGCCGCGAGGTTCCGTCTGGTTGAGCTGTTCCACGTCCGGGGCCATCAGGGAAAGCTTTGGTGGTTTGCGCACGCAGGGCCCGTTTGACAGGAGCAAAATCAGCCTGACGAATTTGCTCGTTGTAGAGAAGATTAGATTCTGTCAGTGATTCACACCCGGACGGCACACTCCTCGTCCCGATAGTGTGAGCCAAATTGTTCACATCCTTCATGTTCTGCTTCAAGAATGGCTGTTCAGAAGATACATGGGCTTGATGATTCGGGGGCACGATGAGAGGTCCAGGGGTGGTCCAACCTAGGCCAGCAGACAGTGAGCTAGACGAAGACAAGGGCAGGGTTCCAGGAGCACGATTAATTGCTAGCTTTCCCAGTCTATTTGACTTCGGTCGGGTTTGGTAAACAGGGACGTTCTCTCTTCTGTCGCTTGGCATGCCCAGATTTGAGACCCCATATATGGCATCCAGCTGCTCCCTGTACAGGCGAAGCGTGTCTAACTCTTTTACCAGAGACATGCGCTGCTGCACAAATAATTGCTTGGATTCAGGGTCAATCTCCCACGAATGCAGGGCAGTGTATCTGTCCAGGCGAGACAGTTGCCCAGAAAGAAGATCATGTCGCTTCCTGGCTTCCTCGAAAGACTTGCGACTGGGCATTTCGGCGATTGAAGGACCGGTAAGTACGGGGGTTTGACTCAGAGTGACGGGCTGGGCTGTCTTCGGTGTATCTGGATTCCACTGAGATGTCGAGCTCACATAGCGTGTATCGAGAAGAGCTGGATATTGGGAGTACTGGCCGAGTGTTGAAGGCGCTATGGAAGACTGATGATGATAACCAGCGATATAACCTGGGACTGCTGTGGCAGGGTTGTATGTCTGGATGACTGCAGGCAAAGGAGTCGCAGGACCTGGTGCGTTCATCACAGGATTCGCGTTGGGGTACCAAATAGGAGTGTCGACCCCAAATGCTCCGACCCCGTACACGTGAGGTTCTGGGAACACTGCTTGGTAACAGGGCTGAGATGGATACTCCGCTCGGTGGACAGGCATCCGAGACTGCAGGAACATACCCGGAATTGGGGTTACTGGTGGGAACACCGGGGCGTATCCTGAGTCGTATCCGGGGGGCTGGAGCTGACACTGATCATTAGTAGCATTTGCCTGCTGAGAAATGCCTGACAAATCCACAGGGGTCACATATGGTGTTTTCAATTCACCACCAGCGGCAAAGTTGGTGTGCATTGCCTGTGTGGGGGTGTTTTCAGTGCTAGTTGGCTCATCCTTTCTACCCTCAGTTTCATCAACTTGTAGCAAGTTAAAGTCTGGGACAGCAATCTGTGGCTCCATCGGCACAATGCGGCCACCAGCAGTGACGCGCTGATGCTTCGGGGAGGAATGAGCTTTCACAAACTGCTGGAACCCATCACTGCTTTGGCTCAAGATGGGTCGAAAAGACTGTAGCGGAGTATGGGGTGGGGGATGAGGTAAGGGCTGCATGCCCGAAATGGCCACCTCTGGACATGGAGAGTCAAGTATAGTCCTTGGTTGATTGACAGGCTGCTCTGAAAGGGGGTTTGTGCTTCGAGCTTGCAGGCGGACCAGATTGTCTGGGCCAGATGAAGTAAGGTCAGTACGCTGATGTTTACTCCAAGCGTTGGAGGTGGGGAGACACGCACTCTCCAGTGCTGGGCTACTGAACCTCTCCAAGGGGATCTTGCCATTTTGGGACATCCCCAGTAGAGTTGGAATATTGTACTTCATGTTTGACATTGCGTTTGGTCAACAGATGACAGGTGGGTATTGATGATAGAACAAAGGAGACCGGAAAGAGGTGAGATTGTCGGAGTCAGGGATGGGAAGAGGAAGAGGGGAAAGAGAAGAGGAGAGGTGACAGAAGGTTTAACACCTAACCCTGATCTGATCGCATCGCGCAACGATGTCGTCCCAATCCGGCAGGTGCGCACCAGTAGGTGTGCCGGCCAGTGAAGTGAAGTGTTCAATCAGCAACATAACAATGTGGGCGCTCTTCACACCGCACGCACTGAACATGTTCCCTGTAGGGCTTTGATTGGTCAGATTATGGATTCTATATGGGAGTTAATCATTGAGAAAGGTGTATTTACTGCGTCATTGGTCCTATCGCGGCCTCAGGGAGCTGATATTCGAGTCTAATGCAATCATCATCATCATCATCATCAACTATTGTATACTAGCATTGCATTTGTGTCGTGCTTGGCACTGTATTATTAGATGGAAGTGTATATAGAACAAGCAGAGAGTCGCACTCTAGTAGTTTCCACTGGCTGGTCAGGAATTTTGTAGACCGTCAAGAGGTAAACGATAGAAGAAAATGAATAGTCCTGAACACTTCGGGGCAATGAATTTAAAGCGGAGACGTGTTGTGTATTATAAAAAGGGAATGCAATTAGTGACTTAGTATAGCCTAAAAAGAACAAAATTCATCAATCATGCACAGGTTAAACAACATCATCATTCAGGGGTATTCAGACATGCTCATGAGCCGTGACTGCCTGCAAAGCACTATGGGTAAGCCATTCTTCTTCATTCTCATCGTCAAATGGGGACACCGAATCCTCGCCAGGGGCATTGCCTCCATTTTGATTTCTTAGTTCCCAGCTGCCTGAACGCTCGTGCCCTCTCACAATAGGGCCAGTAGCCCCCGGATTCTGAGAATTCTGGTCGTTGGTAGTCTTGACGTCCTCCCATGTGGGGTTTTCAAAAGCGACATCAGGATCACTTGCCATTTTGCTGTTTCCTTTGAACCCTTTCAGAGTCGATCTGCGAAACCGGTTGGTTCGGAAACCGAATATCAGGAACCCAACGATGCCGAGAATCGCCAAAGTAGCGCCGGTGACAACTGCGCCAATGACACCGGCAACGGCAGGACGCATGCCTTTACTGGTGTTCGTGGATGGTGAGTCCTGCTGCCTGTCAAGAACCCCAGAACAAAACGTGGCCTGCGAGGCACATTGAAGGCACCATTCACGAGTAGATCCCAAGGCGAACTTTTCCAACTCCGCTTGGAACTCCGTATAGGGGATGGCACTGTTACTGGGACTGTGCCCGAAAAGGGGATAAACCCTAAATTCGGGGGTGTCGATACTGTTGCGCATGAGGAACCGCACATAGAGCTGGGATTGGTCGGGATAAGTCGGGTTGGCCGCGCTTTCCAGGCTGAATAGCTCCAGGATGATTGAGCTCCCAAGATCAGGGCGGGAATAGGAGTCAGTGTTCTGGGCAAATTGCAGCCGCAACAGAGACATGAGAGCAACGATCGGTTCATAGTCACCAAAGACTAGTTTCATCTTCCCGTCGGTACCGCGATAGTGGATATTATTGTCAAAGGCATCCAAAATGTTGGCAGCCAGAGTGCGTCCGGCGATGGTCCGAATATCACTGCTCCCAATGACCGACGTAGTAGACGTGTTACCATTCATTGCGAAAACATATTGGTCTGCATATAATCGAGCAAGCTCGATATCGCTTCGGGTCAGGCTGTCTAATAAAGACTCGTTGTGGACATACTGATAGTCGAGAAACTCGGAAATCTCTTTGGCATTGGTATAGTTGACTGAAGACCGGTCAAACCACCCAGACAAGACTTGGTTGTAAAGGAAATCGTATGTTCCCTCGTAGTCGTGCGCAAACTCCTGGGCCTCGGGACTAGTTTGGTATTCAAGATCTGCTATTTGATGCATGAGACAAGAGGATTGACCATCCACCGTCAGCGATTGCGGGTCCTCATAGCTCAAGGCCTCAATCCGAGGATATTGATACCCCTTCAAAGGAGCAGTGGCCGTAGAGCCATTGGCCATTTGGAATGAAAATTCAACATATGTACCGCTGAAGGTCTCGTTGAGAGGCGGATAGAGTCCTTGCATGAAAGCCTGGGCAGAGGCGATATCAGATGGACTGGTAGTCGACAGAACTTCAACTTCGTCGACGTCGAGCACGTATGGAGATAGGTTTTCGATTCTCGTACCCGGGTTGCTCCCATTTCCCTGAACCGCAACATAGCGGTTTCGAAAAGCGGATCCTGCTGCGTATAGATTATTGGCACCATATGGGGTCAATGTTTGAGGTCGTTGCGGCATAACTGCCGGTATACTGTCTCCATGGACAGTGAAGGCGAAGATTCCCCAAACATGCTCTTTGAGATCCTGAGCCGAAGCAGCTGCAAGCAGCGCAACAGCAAAAACAAGGGTATAAACATGGGAGACTACCATGATTGTTTCCTGCCACCAAATATTTTAACGCATACAGTCAAACTGCTTGAATTGCCAGCTGCCAATCAATAAACGACGAAGACTGCTAGAAAAAAAGTAGCAACTTCTTGCCGGTAATAGCCAGCAGAACCAAGATATAAGCTAGGCGACAGAGAGGAAGACGACGTCTGCAAACGTCAAAATTAAGATTCCACCGGCGTCTAGACTCGATTTCCGTTTGGCCGGGTTGCGACGTGACGACATAACTACTATATTTTCATTGCGTTAAAACAACCGAGTACCAGGAACTAGGAAGGCAATGCTACCTACCCTCCGAGTAGCCGCCATGGTCCTGATAAAAATTGGCCCCTAATCTCAGTTAAATGGTCTTTAACATATTAGTTCAGAAAGTTACTAAAGACCAGTAGCCAAGGCCTCATGCCTTAGAATTCTGGGGAACGATGCGGTTCATCGTGAGTGGCTCGGAAAAGGGACCCGATGTTCTATCACCAGGAAAAATGATGCTTGACAGCATGAGAATTCAGCAGCACATAAGTTCCTATATTCCCTTAGAGCATGTCGGTCTACTGTAGTGTTCGCTCTATCGATAGACGGTCTATGACGTGTAGACGTGAGGGTAGGTAGCATTGCACCTGAATGCGGCCATCGAAGCAGGTATACTATTGTCAGTACTATACACACAACAGGATTTCCTAGGGTGTGGCATGGAGATAGTTTTCCCCAAGACCTTCCAGGAAGAAAGACCCGGGGCCCGTCGTCAGGATTTCGTCTCTGCAGAAGTAGGATGATGACACTTGGGTCCTCAAGCATTCATTAGTTCCTCGGGCATTCTTCCCGGCAAGATGGCGCTTTGCCTGTTCGGGTAACCCTGTAATACCTAGGTAGCTAACTTATGTGCACGTGATCTGTGTTTCGTAATCAGTGCCAGGAGAGAAGGTGGAAAGTGTCAGTTGGAAGTGGCAAATTGCCAGTAACGAAGAATATCCGGGGAATTCTAGCCATGAGATGACCTCCAGAGACATACTTGAGTTCACTGATTTTTCTTGTTCAACTCACACCGACCCCGTGCAGGCGATCACTTGGCAGCAGCAGCACGTATTGCCGTCGTATTGCCTGAGGAAGTGTCTCCAATTTTTCTCCGCCCGGCGAAAAATCTGTCACGCCGTCCTTCCGTCTCATCACCTCGCAAAGCCCTACGCCTGCGCCCTACCCCTAAGCCCTCATTTCTGCTCTTGGATGCCAACACCCTGATCATACCCTCTTGACCGTCCATAACATGGCGGACTCGGGAGTCCCAGCTCCTGTTAATGATCCAAAGGACTCTTCTGAGCTTCCGGCCTCTCCCTTTCCCCTAAAAGAGGATCCTGGTCAGTCCATGCGTGCTACGATGAGCCCGTCCGCTGCCGCCCCCTGCCACCCGACCCTAGCAGCCAGAGGAACATACGAAGACCGTTGTTGTCTTTTCTTGTCTTCTGTCTCTTGAGGCCACTGTCGTGTTCTTTGCATGGTACAAAGGCTTGTCTTACTGACTTGATTGCTTGCAGTCTCCCCGAAACTGTCGCACCCTCTCGACGACAATGACGGCTCCGTGTCTCCTCGCGCCTCCAAGAAACGGCGCCTAGAGTCCGATCAACCGGACGACCTCGTTCTTCCCCCATCACAACCCGAACTATCCGACCAGATTCCAGGGAATCAAATTGAAGAAGAATTGGCATCGGCTCTAGGACCCGGCGTGGTTGACACGGTGGAGCATCAAGATGACAAACATGGTCAGATCGACAGCTCTGCAGAAGCCGCTGTGGCACCGGAGACAAGCCAGGATATTGACACAGATATGGCAACAGTGATCTCGAACATCATGAATCATGCTGAACGGGTGGAGGAGCAATCTGTTCTCGGCCAACAGCAACTGGCCGAAAGTACTGACCAGTCAACGCCCAAGGGCATGGTAATCGTGAAAGCAAACTCGCACCTGAAGACCCAGAGTCTACCTATCCTGGACAACCTGGTAAGACGTGGCTCCAAGAACTCTTTCAAGCCTTGCTTCGTTCTAACGATACCCTCTAGTCGACCCAAATCCTATCGCTATTAGCGAAATCGACCTATCAAGACATCACATCCTTCGTCTCGGAGCCGGAGTCGGAAAATGGCCAGGCCTATGCAACCATGCGCTCCCTTTTCGATCATACAAAGAAGGTTTACTCATCGAAGAAATCATTCCTATCGGCGACCGAACTGGAACTTACGGAGTCTTCGCAAGTCGACATCATCAGGAAGGCTAATCTAGCATCGTTTGTCTCCAGCATCTTCGGCACCCAGGAAATTGGCTTCTCGGAATTGAACGACAACTTCCTTGATGTCTTCGTTCCCGAAGGAGGGCGCTTACTCAAAGTACAGGGTGCTCTCTTCCTCGAACTCAAGACGCAAGCCTTCATTGCCTCTATGAATAACGAGGAGCGATCGAGAACCGAAATCTTGTACGAGCTGTTTCCCGATGACTTGGAGCAACGTCTTCTCGACAGGCGCCCCGGCACGCGGCAGCCTGCCCCAAGTGAAACTGACTTCGTGAAGCGCGCTGGGTCGCGTCGTGATATCCTTCTCAACGATATCAACAACGAAGAGGCTATGAGGGCCCTGCCTGACAAGTACCATTGGGAGGATTTTCTCAGGGATCTGAGCTCTTACATCACCAAGAACTTTGATGCCATCAGCAACCAGCAGGTTTGTGTCTCTGTTATTTGTCCTCAGGCTTAATAACTTGTGCTAAGCCGTCGTACAGAAGATTACCAAGGGTCGACAACCATCCTCGTCTAGTGGAGATGCCCAAGAGACCTCCAGCGCACCTCTTCAAGGCCAATTCCCCGTCGCATCACAGACCCCCGATGTCCCCGTCGACCGGAATATGCATGGTGATCTCGTGGCTCGTGCGGCTCGTGCTGCACAGATTGCCTTGCAGGGTCACGGATTGAGACGATCTCAGCAGCAGAGCCAGCAGCAGAACTCGCAACCCCAGCAGCCCGCCCAAAACCAGCCGCAACAGCAATCCCAGCAGCCGCCACAAAACCCGGCTCAGCAGCCCCAACACCCGCAACCTCAGCAGCAGCCAGTGTCGCAGCACGGGTCGCACCAGGGCACGCCAGTCCCTCATGGATACTCAGCCGCGCAGCCAACGAACCAACTTCCCCCTCAGCAAGTCCCTCAACAACACCACTACCAACCGAGTCCCACACCCTCGGGATACCAGCAAGCGCCGACGCAGCTCACCTTCCAGCAAAGTCCTCTCCAGCAGAACTTCCAACATTTTACTCACCAGACTGCCCCTATGTCTGTTCCCGGACGGCCGGGCTCAGCGGCAGCCAATCATGGATATATGCCTGGCATCCCCCACTATTCTCAATCCCAGCCAACGCAGGTCCTCTACGAACGCGCCCGCATGGCAGCGTCGGCAAAGTCATCCCCAAGCAGCCGCAAATCTGGTCTCCCGAGTCAACGTCGGCCTTGGACCACCGAAGAAGAAAATGCCCTCATGGCAGGACTTGATAGAGTGAAAGGTCCTCACTGGAGTCAAATCCTCGCCATGTTCGGACCTGGCGGGACCATCAGCGAAGCTTTGAAAGATCGCAACCAAGTGCAGCTCAAGGACAAGGCCCGCAATCTAAAACTCTTTTTCCTCAAAAGTGGAATTGAGGTTCCTTACTACCTGAAGTTTGTCACTGGTGAGCTCAAGACTCGGGCGCCCGCTCAGGCTGCCAAACGCGAGGCCCGAGAACGACAGAAGAAGCAAGGCGAAGAGGACAAGGCTCATGTCGAAGGCATTAAAGGAATGATGGCACTTGCCGGAGCGCATTCCCAGCAGGTTGCAATGGGTCACGGTCACGATGCCATGTCAGCTTCGCCCGGTCTGGCTCCCGATCCTAACAGTCATCATCACCATCATCATGTTCATTCGACATTTGACCAGACCGCCGAGCAGAACCTAATGCAAACCCTCAGTCAAGAAGTTCACGGCGATCAGTTCGGACAGCATCAGCATCAGCACCATCACCATCAGGATCACATCGATCCCAGTATGCATGTCGGACAATAGTTTCCGCGGTGGTGGGGTGTTTCTTTCTTCTTTCATTCTCTTTGCTATCAATCGTCCATCTTTGTTTCGTTCATGGCGTTTTCCTTTTGCTCTTTGTGATCCCCGGGTGTTCAGGACCTGATCCTCTCTCAACAAGAAGGGATCTTTGGCCTCTGCTTGACCACCAGTCATGCAAAGGCCTTGGAGATTGGGCGCGATAATACCAATTGTTTCTGTAATATAAAGGGCTGTTGGATAATCGGTTATCTACGTGGGGCCTACAAATGTATTTTAGGGGGAAATAACTATCCTATCCAAAATATCTACGTTATCATCTACCGACTTCTGTAAGTATCTAACTCGATCGATGTATTCACGTTGGATCAGAGAACTGCATTCGCATTAAGAGATTCACGGTGTGGATTGCGTGCCATAACTAAGCAATGATACGGAGTAACTACATTCTAGGAGCAAAAGTGATGATGACGTTGATGATGATGTCCAGTAGATATTCTGGGTTATAGGAAAATTTAATTGAAAAGGGGGGTTATTTGTGTGGCCGATTTACGGATTTAACTGAGACACAAACCCCGGGAATATATAGATAGTACCAAGAACAAGGTACATAGAAATATTTTTGCAGGGAGCAATCGTAAATGTAAAAATAGAAGAAAAAAGGAAACAGAAAAACGAATCCTAATTAATCATTGTAATAATGACAGCAGATCCGGTAGATTAATTTAGCATGAGACATTTAGAAAAGGGATGATGCCGCGACCTATAGAGTATGGTACTATAGTTGTATTGGAGTTGTTCCACAAGGCTGACAGGCCCCGTCAGATTTATCTCCTTTCCTCCATCTTCTTTGCGTCAGACCTCGAACACAACCAAGTACTCTTGCTTTGTCTCTCCTTGAGTGTTTGTTTCGTTAGCTGCGTATTTAATTCTTCGCATTCTGCTTCTTTTATTTTCTGATCGAGGTCTGTTCGTCGTACTCGCCAGCTCGACCTTTCTACCTCTCCCTTTTGTCTTTATCGCGGACTCGAACGGAATGCCGTGCTAGCCTCGGCCAGTCTCACTTGGAAACGCTCAATTCTTTTTTTGACCCCCCAGAATCATGACAACGTCATCATCTAGATCGGAGAGTGCCAACCCTCCCAAGCTGGACAACGATAGCTTCGTCGCTTTCGACCATGCCGCCGCCGGACAGTAAGTTTCTTGACCTCGCCCTAGATTCCGACACCCACTCTTAGAGCTGCTCCTGATGGCAGCTTCGCAATGCAATCCGCATGCGATCCGATTCTTTCGCAGTCTACTGTTCTTGAGAATCAATCTGCCACTGTTACAAATACTGACGTGAATTTTCCTAGCGACGGCGTTCGCTGCACGCCCTCCGGCTTCCTGATTGCGAAGCCTTGTACCCCCGAAGAAGTCGCTTTCTACGAATCCAGCGCCCTCCATCCCACTTTCCGGGATTTCATGCCCACCTTCATGGGCACCCTGTCATCGACTGACCAGCAGCATCCGCTCGCCCTCGCCGCCTCCCAACAAGGTGGCGCTGTTATGCTGCCTGGATCGGATTCCTCGTCGACGACAAACACCCCTGCGACCACCGAGCCGTCAACCGCCCCCTCCGCGACTCCCTCGCACGCGGCGTCAGATCCCACAGAACAGGGAAACTCTTGGGTACCGTCTGGAGGGAAAAAACTGGACACTGGCCTCTCGATCGTGCTGGAGAATGTGGCGTCCGGGTTCGTTCGTCCGAATGTTTTGGACGTGAAGCTCGGCGCGCGATTGTGGGCGGACGATGCGCCTCCTGCGAAGCGCACTAAACTCGACGCGGTGTCCAAGGAGACAACGAGCTCTAGTCTTGGGTTCCGGATCGCCGGGATGAAGGTGTGGACTGGTGTGAATGGGGAGACTGATGCGGGGAGCAAGACGGATCCGTATGACGTGCGCCACGAGGGGTCCGAGGGTGCCAAGGGTGAGATTATTGAGAAGGATGGCTATAAACGCTACGATAAGTGGTACGGGCGATCGTTCAGCCAGGAAAACGTGAAGGAAGGTTTCGAGTCGTTCCTCGCCGGGGCGAAGGCTGGACCTATCGATCGTTCTAAATTCCTGGCCAAGCGGTTGGCTGACGAGCTGAGGCGCGTGCAGCAGGTCATCGAGGCCGAGGAAAGCCGCATGTACTCGTCGAGTGTTCTGATTGTCTACGAGGGAGATCCTACCGCGATGGAAAATGCGCTGGAAGAAGAGAAGAAAGCCCAGGAGCGGGCACCCGAGGAATCCGAATCTGAAGATGAGGAGTTCGAACTCGAACTCCAGGAAGATGAGTCTTACCAGGTTGTAGACCTACCGACTGGTCCAGGCGGTGCACCGCAGCAGGTCAATGCTATTAACATCAGCATTGATCCAGAAACCGCTCAGCTAGGCGATCTCGGGGAGGATGAGGACGAGGAAGACCCTCCCAAGGTGCATGACCTGCGCCTGATTGACTTTGCGCATGCCAGCTGGACCCCTGGCCAGGGACCAGACGAGAACGTACTCAAGGGAATCCGGAATTTGGTCAAATTATTCGACGATTTGGCAGTCGAATAGTCAATCATTGTACTACCGAATAGCATTCCTGCGGAGATTAAGTCACTTTCCCTTTCCACTTTCGGTCCGACTTGGTGCCGCTTTTTGCTCACTGACGGCCCGGAGCGTGGGATGAGCACAAATGTGCGTGTCCTGAGTGATCCCGGAGCAATCCTACGAAAGGCTCACCGCCACCCTTGAGCGCTTCTGAGCTGACGTATGCTGATCATATGACCTAACTAGTTAAATAAACTGTAAATGACTAACGCTCCGTAACGATTGGTCTCATGCCCATTGTAAAGCAGCACCAAGCAAGATGTTTCGCTACATAAGACCCATTGAAATGAAAGCAGGCAATGCCTAATTTTTTACAGACTGCTGCTATACACGTTCTATCTATGATGATATTACTGTTATACATTAGAGGGCAGCATCTTGGTGATGAGACTTAATTTTTATTGATAGCATTAACTCTGTAAGGCTTATACTACGCATTTCGGATTTCAGATAAAGGGGTTCAATGGTTTGCTCCTGACGGGCGGTGAAAGCCGAGTTTACCGTCTGTATTATGCACTCCACTGCATGGGACAATCGAATGCTCCGATATCGTCAGTCGACTGCCGGACCACCCCGGTTGCTGGCACCGAGGCGTCCGGGCCGAAATCGCAGGATATCTCCCTGCACATGACGCACAGCCAGATTGCTACCTGCATGGAGCGCTTGTCGAGCGACATGGGCCCCGCGCGGACAGACTGCAGGTCCGGGTCAGTGCACGTACCGCGAGCTACCGACGAAACTGCGTAGCGCATGCAGAGTATGCATCGAGTCCGCGATTAAGAGCACGGAGGCTTTTGACGGCATCGAAGGCCGACCGATTATAACCAATATATTTGGAACGGCGCATGCGTATGTTCGTCCCTTGTTCCGCTAGTCTGCCGACGCTAATTGTACGGCAGGCAGTTTGGTAACATACTAGTCTTATCAGCCACATACATATCCCACTTGTCCGAGCTGATTGACCGAAATGATCTCGAGCGCCTTCTGCGGCGGACGATCAATTTCCTGCTACAGAATGGCTATATATCCCCCGCTCTGCGGGCCGACGCGGAAATCCTGACCCAGATCTACACGAGGTTCTTCGAGGAGCCCGCAGGGAGCTTCACATCGCATTTTGATTAAGTTCCTTGCATCTTTGCCTGGGGAATCCATACGTATCAACAATCATCAGCTGGGCCAACGAAGCAAGAGACTCTTCCGCCATCTTAAGTTGAGTGAAGTTGTAGCAGATTTGCACTGGTGCAACAGCAGTGTGGTTGTACGATAGACTAAAAGTTATAATTCAGTAGAAGACTCTTATACGTACCACTTCGTAAGGGCGAACTTTGAGCTTCGTCAAGGCCTATGATGGTCCTCATACCTTCTTGGTTTCCTTCCTGGCGGCCTCTTTGTCCCGCGGCTGCAACACCATCTGATGCTTCTGGGAAATGGAAAAACGCCGCTCTTGATGCTAGTTTGTTCAGAGTCATCCGACCACTTCCGTCTTCTACCTGGTCCATCCTTGCCTCCCAAAATCCTCAGATATCGGCATTGCTTTACCTATGTCATGTCATAGTTTCTCTCGGAATACATCGAGCTTAGGTGGTCCACCAGGACGTGTACTACTGTCTCCTTGACATCGGATCCACATATGTTCTGCCTATACGTAGCAAGCCATGCATACGGCAAGCCCAGTCTAGGCCTACCATTGCCATTAAGCCGGGATCTCCTATCTAGTATAAAAGACCTCTCTAGACTCCGTCTGACACTTCACGTCGAAGACGAAGAAAGCATAATGACCAGAATCCTAAAATAGTGCGTTAGACTATGATCTAAATTCCGGGGAGAGTAGTGATCAAGACATCGAAGTGATGACAACCGCACATCTAGGCCCCCTTCGATAAGTTAGCCAACCACAGACTTCCGGCATATCGAGTATGTACAGATCATTACTAGGAAATCTCGCGTTATGGCGTACGACACTATTCGAGGCGTGGAAAACGACTGCAATCAGCCAGCCAAAACCTGTCCATATTTTGCCGGTGAGATCCTGTGGAGTTTGATGCTTGCAGCTGTAAATCTGAGATTGGAAGACTAAGGCGGAATACAAACTCACTAAGAAGAAGCATCAAAGCGTTTGACTCAGCGAGATTGAACAAAGACTCCTTGCTCTAAGGTCAGCAAATGGGAAATGCCTCGTGCCGGTGTACAGTATGTTCTATAACACAGCCGCAACTAGGGTCGTACGTATGCCTGCATGGATTACTCTGCATATTGTCCTGTGTCTATTGGTTATTATTGAAGTATAGATTCACTTACACAAGCTTCAAAGCTTATTCTTCTGCGTGTTTAATCTGAATGGGCAGCATATTATGTTTACTGCCTGGATGTACCTGCCCTTTAATGATATGTCTTAGCTATGCAGCATACGAGATGATCTCGGAGCATACCATGCCCCGACGGTCATTAATGCCAAGAATAATGTGTTATTTTGGCAGAAAGGAGAAAGTCAATCCGGTCGATGTTTTCTACTATAATCTGACTCACATTACAATCCCTGGTCTGCATACTGCGTAAGTGTTGTTGCAAAATTAGTGTTCCCCACATAACTAGTTCGGTAATATAACTAAATATACGGATACCTCAGAGTACTATTGCCTCTCGTTTCATCGTATATTCATGAGCATCAGCAAGTGAAATTCATAAACACCAATGGAGCGCGCTAATTATGCAATGGCACTTATGATCATATTCCAGGGATCGCAATCCACGATCATTATTGCGATACTGATTGCGTTTGGACCACTTCTAGCCAAGAGTAAAGACCAGAAATGTAAGCCCTAAGACGCCGATCCCAGTTGCCACGACGTTACATTGCAGACCTGACGACATGCTCCTTTTTCCTGTTTAATTTCCCCTCCTATTCCTGCCGAGTTAAACTGGTGAAGACCGGGCAGATGTGTCCTTCGGGTTGAAAGACATGAAAGACACGGGAATGTCTCTTTTCCCCAGGGGCCCTATCGGGCACGAACTTGGATCCGGTTTCTCCGGAGTGTTCTTCTAGTCCGCTGGAGACATCCCTCAGTATCGGACACGGGGTTGTCCCCACTATCTGGTGATGTTTGGCCCCAGTAAAGTCTGAGAATAACGAAGGTCATGCAGAGCCTAAACGCCTGGCCGGCGCCCATGAACGACTGGCCTGAAGACGATTTTCTGCCTCGCCAGGGGTGCTCTTCTGCAGTCAGACGGGACGTTGAAGGGCCAGAACCAACCTAACAAGCTCGGTAAACATATTATGGAGGCGTTCGCTTACCTTAACAAGGAGCTCGCCGGCCCCAATTTGCACTCTCCCAACTGCCAACTATCTTCCATCAACTCTAACATGCAGCGCCCCCTTCCATCTGCTCCCTATTTTCGGGCGTCTTCAAGATATCCAGTTGTGGTAGTTGATATTTCATAATTCCATGATTATCCGCCTCGTTGCACATTATCAATCCCTGTTCTTTTAAACGTTCTCTTTCTCCCCCGCCTCACCTACATACCTCAAGCCGATACACCGGGACAGGTCCCGAACCTTCAGGTCGAAGATGGCCCAACCAACCCCTGAGCAACTCGACTACTATATGGCACATGCCGACGACGATAAACGACCTAATGAAATCGCCTCTCTCGTGTGTGGATTACTTGCGGCCATCGTCGCGGTCGCTGCACGTTTCACGGCGCGGCGCATCTCCAGGATTACGCTTGGACCGGAAGACTGGACTATAATTGCGGCGATGGTACGATTCGCAACGTTTGGCGTTATGAGAAGTCAGGTCCTGACGATTGCTGCAGATGGGTGAGATCACATATGCCGTTGTATTTGCTAAAGCCATCGACAACGGCCAAGGGCGACATATTATCTTTGTCAAGGACGCGGTCTCTTTTAGCAAGGTTGTCTCTCTATCTAGGCAAAAGTCACAGCGCTTGGGTCCCACTGACTGATCGAAACAGGGATACGTTGCTGCCATCGTCAGCTACTCCTTTACGGTAATGGTGACAAAAATCTCGGTCCTGCTTTTTTATTGTCGACTGTTCGGATCGAAATGGATCTACACATCTTCCTGGATTGTCGGCACTATTGTTGTTCTATACAACCTGGCGGTCATCCTGATCGCCGGGCTGCAGTGTATTCCACTGTCGGATCTCTGGACTGGTGGGTCATCGTGTATCAACACGGAGCCTCCATTCACTGGACTGGCGTGAGTCTTTCGTCCGTCCACAATCACGCTATTGGGAGAGGCACTGACTTGTCTGTCTTCTTAGCGTTGTCAACATAGTCACCGATGTGCTCATTCTGGCCCTCCCCGTGAAACCGGTGATGAACCTGAACATGAAATCGGCTCGGAAGGTGCAGGTGCTGGGAATATTCCTACTGGGAGGAGTGTAAGTCGTCCTTCGCATTGGGAAGAATCCAAATATCCACCAAACGGAGCTGATATGTATTTTCTTCTTTCCAGTGTCTGCGTCTTCGGGATCATCCGCGCCGTCGCAATGACGGAACTCAGTCTTTTCGATCCCACTTGTGAGTATCCTCTGCCGTCTTCCGTATCGCGCCATTCAACTAACCTCATACAGGGACGGCGGTCGGTGCTGCGATGTGGTCCTTCGTTGAGATCTCCGTAGGCATTGTCGCAGCATGCCTGCCCATGCTAGGACCTCTGGTTAGAGGAAAATCAGGTACAAGTGCCAACCCGTCCGGCGGTAGTGGCTACGTACGATCCGGCAAGTTCAGCGCTACGGTCTCGAGCAAGTCTGGGTATATTCAGCAGGACGACATTCCTCTGACGGATGACTGGAGGCAGAATGCAGAAGGGTCCTCATCGAATCAGGGTCGAACGTATCAGGTGCAGGGCGGGCCCCCTGTATCGCCGTCGCCGTCGAAACACAATGCCAAGCAGATATCGGTCCAGCATGATATCCAGTCTACGACGACGTTCGTTTGATGGGAGGGGCAAAGGCATATCTTGTATTTTAGATTGTTGTTGTTGTTATTTGTTTGTCTCGCTTGTTCTTAGACGATATAGACCTGTGTATAGGTAGAGCAATCTGAGTGTATATCTGTGATTTGCATTCAATCATCCAAGATGCTTAGAATTGGTCGAGAATCCACTATCGATCGATTGACAATCTCGGTTAATGATCATGCCACCCGCAGATCCTGCCAATTTAAGCCAGATGGCAGTAGGCCGTGATGAATCCTTTGCATTCCCACACCCCAAGCACGGAGCATTAAACGTGGATCCTTTCCAAGCCACCCGTGAACGCCGAGTGAACAGTGCAAGCCATGACGATCATCAGTCCGACAGGCCCAGAGCTCAGAAGACGGCCGGCTGTCCCGAAGAAAGCACAACTTCCTCTGATTCTCACCTCAGGAGGGGTTTCTTATGGGGTATTCTCGGTGGGGGCTAAAAAAGGGCTGCTGCCGCGATTGGCATTATAGGGCCCCCACGTACCAGAGTATATTAGTGTATATTAGTGTATTATTATCATTGCGCCACTGCTGGGACTATCCGGGCCGAGCGATAACGCCTACGGTGAGGCTCGGAGCAGTGTGCGGAGAGCGACACTTTCTATGGGTCTGCAGCTATCGAGAGTATAACCCCTCACCAACTATGAACGTGTGATGAATGCTGCATGACCACTGGGTGCCTTCTGTATACTTGGCACGGATAGACCGAAAACCCCCGCTGTTCAAGGACAATTCAGGTAGTATACCTCTTGATATGGGTCAGCAGCGAGCACTATAAGAAGGCAGTTGGTTCCTAGATATTCCTTGTCCCTTCTCAACCATCCACCTCCGTCCACAACCATCAATCTATCTTCCACCCTCCAAGCTCAGAAGCTACCAATTCCAAAATGCAGTTCAAGGCTATTGTTTCCTTCATCGTCCTCGGCCTGGCCTCCGTTGCCATTGCCTCTCCCTCCACCAACGGTAAGAAATCTCCTATGTTGTACAAGACAGAGACGCTAACTCAGTCGCGTAGAGCAGCGCGGTGCTGAGAAGGCCGACTTCGAGAAGGTCGGCGACGCCTACTAAGATGTGTTATGAAGGGGCTCTGGTTCAGAATGGGTCTATGGGACTTGACTCTCTACTTCTCAGACGGTCTTCGTGTTAGGGCAAAGGAATCCACTCATGCTTCTGTACTTAGCCAGAAATGTCATCCAATGAATTATGCTTTACATAAATACTATCAATAAATGGTCCACGTATCACTCACCACATTTCTCAAGAAACCGAGGGAATTAGCGATTCTACAATCGGGCTGTCTCTCTTGTAGCACACCTAATGCAGCTTATATGATAGAGACGGTTCATAGAGAATGTGGAAATATGGCATATGCATACTAGCTTGCACTTCGATCGGTGAAGCCCCTACGAAGCCCATTGCTTCAATACCGTTGAGATAGGCTCTACTAAGTTAGAAGACTTTTGATTGATGGATTGATTGATAAATAATTCTCTATACACATCCTGTTAATCCCCAACCAGGTAGGGTACACACTCTATCCAACTAAAACGGAAGAAACGTCCCTTCTATATCCCAAACCCGAAATTCTTCCGCCCAGGCCTTGATCTCCTCGAGATCCCTACATTGCTTATCAAACCCCCAGGACGGATCCTCGAAAAGGTGCTTGTCCGCAGGTTCGATAGTCGGGTCGACCGTGCAGCTGAGACTCTGGCGGAGGTAATCGAAACAGTGTCCTACATGCGGCTCGCGCTCAAGGCCCAGGTCCAGGACGTCGTTCGTGGAATTGGGGTCATAGTATGCGCGGCGGATGGTATACTATAAGACCATTAGCCCAGACGAACACAGGATAATTGAAAGAGAGACGATTAATACATACCAGACAGTGTAGAGAGTGAAAGACACCTAGGATAGAGCGATTGGCAGCTAAATCTGGATGGCTGACGTATCCCAAACCTTTCGGTAGGAGGTTATCCCAGATGGCTTCCCGCGTGGCTCCTTCCGGTGGCGGAGCTTCAAAGCTGTGGTTGCGCTGTACGTGATTGATAGTCCATTGTTGGAGGGGAACTGATTCATTACAATGTTGCTTAGTGTTGTTCTTTTTCCTGGGTGACTGAACGTGCATACCTCGAGGCAGCGCGCCCTGTAGGATAGGAGATTGTGCCGAGAACCGTAGATGACTGTACGGAATCACAACCAAGACACCGACAAACAGTCCACATAACCAGGACAGCAGAAACCCAGTCCACATTCGCGTTCTTGTGGGCTCCTGCTTCTCCTCCTTAGGCAACATTGACTGTTCCGCCTCGACTTCGGAATCGGAGTCCGCATCTTTCGCGGAACTATCATACTGCCGTCCTCTTAGAAGCGTATTCATTGTTATGCAGACATCTATTACACCTCCCAAGAGCTCAGGATAAATGAATTGAGGGGTGAGGGGCTAGGAATAGCCAGCGATAACCCCTCACGATCACCAAGTGGATACCAACTCCATATTCTGGCCCCAGCATACACTAGTGCCACAGCCAGGCAACTACGTCTTACATGCATATTTAGCACACTTGGCAGGCCGTCTCATGCGAGAAAACATCCTCCAGAGTCCAGAATACCTCTTAGAGCCCCTCCCTCAACCAACAGACCAACGTACATTGCATACTCCGAGTAAGAGCCCCCGCCAAGAATCAACCTAACTAACCAATCCAATCTAACCATCCAATGTCCTCTCCAAGCCATCCACTTTAGCGCTGTCACAGAAACCAAAATGATCCTTGAGCGGTATCCCATGCACACTGTCGCGATAGCAAGCGGAATGCTCCGTCGCGTAGTCGTGCAATTCGCCCCAGTCGCGACACCGGTGGAGCTGGCCGTCTCCGGCCTGGAACTCGCCAAAGGTATACAGGGGTGTGTTGTCAGCGTTACATTGCACAATCTGTCGCAAATATCAGTCTAGATTCTTCGCTTTGGCAACGGCATCTTTCAGGCTTACTTGGCGCAGGTAGTCGAAACAGTGCTCCATGTGTTTCGACGGTTGGTGGGTATACGGCCGCCCTTCAACCGCTTCCCAGAAGGTTAGGCGGATCATTTGCTGTGGGGTGTTAGATGGGTCAGTGATCATTCATGACTGGGGACAGGGGGAGAGGAGGGGAGAGGAGAGGGGGGAGGGGCCACGTACAAGGCAGTGCAGTTGGTGGTAGGCCTCTAGCAAGTAGACGCTCTTTGTTTCGTCGTCAGGCATGGGCATCGAGTTTGGCCAGTGGTTCTCTTCTGCCCATTTGCGGTCCACAGAGATGATCCCGTGGGCTGGGTTGATGGCCGCCCAGAGCGAGTCGGCTTCGCTGTGGTTTTGAGGACTGTATTCCGTGTTCCATGTGAATGGCTTCCACACGGTGCGGAAAGTGTCGACTTGGGCTGGACATGACTCAGGTCGTCACTTTGTGATGTAGGTATGTGGGGGATCAAACGAGCTTACCGTATTCTTTGGGTGCTCGCTCTGAGAAGGCATGCTTCGCGGTAAATATGAATGGATAGATATAAAGAAGTCCGCCGAGTGCCAGGAGGGAGTATTTCCAGGCCCCATTCCAGCGAGGCGGCTTGTTGAGAGGTAGTTGCTGGGAGCTTTCTGCCGACCCCAGCTGTGTATACCGCGAGTCTGCCATGGCCCTGAAATTGTTTATGGGGTGTAGATTTGGGGATGAGCGAAGGATTGACATATTATGGAGAGGCTGAGCTTTAAATGCTTTCTCTCGCTTACTGGCTGCTCGCATGCGCTAATTCGGGCGTCTTCCGCACGCCGCATTTATGGATTGCAAGATAGTAAGTCAGTGCTCTTCTCCATTCTGTCTACGTAGACGATAAAATCAAACATCGCTTATACTCACAAACATCATCTCTACCGAACAGACTCGTTAAATACATGAAATCTAACCCGAAATCAGATCCGCCGCTTTCTCAGCCATTGCATACAAAATGGCCTGGTAATGCGCTGCAAGAGGCACTGGCAACACACTGGCATCCGCGACTCGCAAGCCCTTTACGCCCTTAACCCACAATTGAGTATCAACCACCTTGCCCATCGATGCCGATCCACCTGGGTGGAAGAAGGTGATGCCTCCGCGGCGAACATTCCCATCGATTTCCTCGTCGGTTGAATCGAGCTTTGTAGGCACATTCTCTGGTCGGGTCACCTCGTGCTCCACCATATCTTGACCCTCAGGGGTATCCAGAAGAAGCTTAGCCACTCTTCGAACTCCATCTCTCACAATTGCTCGGTCCACTTCCTTTCCAAGGTAATTCGGATCAATCACAGGAGCAGTTGCCGGGTCCGCATTGGCGAGCGTAATCTGACCGCGCGCCGTAGGGGCCATCAATAGAACAGCCGTGCTAATATGCGTGCCATCCATTGGGGTCTCAAACCCGGCGACAGCCTGGCTCATCGGTGCATAAATGACCAGAACTTCGGTGTGAGCGAAATTGGGATCTAAATACGGATGGTCCCTGGGAGCCTCGCCATTGTCAGCCTGCAATGCCCGTGTCAACTCCTCCGAGGGGGTTTGCAAGGTGACATTCCAATCATACGGCACTCCCATTCCATACGCCGGACTGGTCCACAGAGGCGTGCCCATCGAGAGGCCTCGCTCAGGGTGACGCAGCTTCCACCACTGCGGGACACAGAAGTGGTCGTGGAAATTGCGGCCCACGTCCGGCGCATCCACTAGCTGTGGGATATTGTGTTTGGCCAGCTCTTCCGCCGGTCCGATTCCAGAGAGCATGAGAACCTGCGGAGTCCGGTATGCACCGGCGGAGATGATCACCTCTTTCGAGGCGTGGTATTCCTGGCCGTTGACCACTTTGACTCCCGTCGCGACCTTCTGCCCGTCTTGCTCTTTGAGAATCACCTTCTCAACCAACGTGTCAGTAATAACGGTGACGCCTTGACGCTTCGAGAGCCCGTATGCCTCGCTGGCAAGCTGACGCTGTCCTTCGCGCCAGTTCTCTCCAAAGTGCGCTAGCCCCAGGGGGTTTCCGGCGTTGGCGTCTGGATTGAATTTCACGCCGAGCCGGTCCCATGCCGAGCGAACTGGTTCCTTCAGGGGAAATAGGCGCTCGGGGCTGGTGAGTTCAACTATGGTGTTGTGGATTGGGCCGCTGGTACCGTGAACAGCTGGGTCGGCATTGCGATCGTAGTGCGTCTCCGTGCGTTTGAAGTAGGGGAGAAGACCTTCGTAGCTCCAACTCGAGTCTCCGACCAGCTTAGCCCAGAGGTTATAGTCTGCGGCATTTCCCCGGGTCCAGGTGCCGTAGTTGATTGCGGTGCCTCCCCCCAATGCCTTGCCTGCACTGTTATAGCATTCGCGGTCGTTGAGGTTTTTCTGCGGGACAGTGGTGTAGTCCCAGTCCAACGGCGAATGATGAGAGGCGAAGCACGCCAATGGGGTGCTGGTCAGAGGATGATCAACCACGTTGGGGCCGGCCTCGATGATCAGGATGCGGAGTGACTCGTCTTTCTCGGCCAGTCGACTCCCCAGAGCACAGCCGGTCAGGCCTCCGCCGACAATGATATGATCGTACGTCTCAGACATCGTGGACGTGGGGGGGGCAGTAGAAAGGCAAAAACAATCAAGTAGATTAAGGTAGCGGGTGTAGATCCTTTTGCGACTGGAAGATGGGCAGATCGAAGTATTTGGCTACCTCGCCCCCGACCAACTCAGCCAACACACTGGAATATGAGCCAGGATCAGAACACTCGCTAGGCAGGAATGGTGTTCATGGTTCCTCCTATGACCTTTGGACGCTGTATCAGCAATAGGAGAGAGGATTGGCTCTCTGCTGTGGTGAATCCCCACCAGCAGGGATCAACAAACAAAGAAAGTAAGACGGCAGCCCGGCCTTAATGTAACCCAAGGAGATCCACTCTTCGAAAGGCTCCACGTCGGCGTAAGCGGCACCAAGGAAGACTCCGGTGGGGGCCATGTCTATAGTGCTTTCATCACTATACAATCGAGCGTTGGATATGCGGATGGACTGTCCATTGATTGGATATTTATACCTCACATGCCTGCATCGTATGATAACATACAGGTTTCTTTAGTCAATACTACTCGGAACAAAACGTGCCATGCAGTCAGAAATTGGGCGACTCGCCTCGATCATCTCTCGTGCGACCGCCACACTCGATGCGTCAGAGTCTGCATACAGTGCCTCGCTACAGTCCTTCAAGGCCGAATCCACCCAGAGCCGTCCTCAGTCGACAGAAGAGGAAGTCAAAGCAAAGCATGACGCCATTAACGCGTGTATGGAACTGCTGGATCGACTCCAGGGGCCGGTAGCAGGCCTGCTACCTTTGGTGCGTCGGAGAATTCCCATTTGCTTAAAAAGCGCCAGCTAATCATGGAATCGGCGATTTATTCAATCAGTGGAATGGCGCGGCTATACAAGCTATTTCGCGGCATCGCATCGCCAACCACGTCCCGCTGAACGGGGAGATCTCCTATCAAGATCTTTCCCAGGCTTCAGGCGTCCACGTCCATGATCTGAAGCAGTACATTCGATTTGCGATCGCCTATCACCGAGTCTTTTTTGAGAAACGCAAGGGCTACGTCTCTCATTCCGCTGCGTCGCGCGCCATCGCCGAAAGTCCTATTGCCGCCGCTGGCGTGGCGCAAATCGGGGAGTGGTACGATTGCTTTGCAAAAGTGTGTTCATCATACATCCATGTCGTTTATAGACGTTTCTTAACGTTGCGCTGTTTAGACCGTCGACGCGATGGATCAGTTCCCGGGACATAAGCCCGACGAGTCGGTACGAGAAATCTATATATTCCCTAAGCTGAGCTGACCAGCTTGTCATAGGGATACGCCCTTACGCATAATAACCAAGGTATCTTCGACTACCTCAGCACGCGACCGGACAAAGGGCGACAATTCGCCCAAGCCATGGAGTTTTTCTCCGTCGGCGTCCCTGAAGCATCACCCAAATACTTCGTCGACCGGTATCCTTGGTCCGATCTCCCCGCGGGAGCCACGGTGGTCGACATCGGAGGCAGCAACGGCCACGTTGGGCGCTTGATCGCGCAGGCAAACCAGCGCATCAACGTGGTGGTTCAGGATCTACCCTTCGCGGCAGAAGATTTCAAGGCGGCGACTCAAGGGGAAGGGGGAGATCTAGACAATATTCGCTTCGACGCGCACGACTTCTTCACGCCGCAGACGGTGGCGGCGGACGTTTATATCTTCCGCTGGACACTCATGAATTGGCCTGACGAGTCGGTTGTGTCGATCCTGCAGCAGCTGGTTTCTGTTATGCGTCCGGGCGTTAAGGTCCTGGTCAACGAGAATCTATGTCCGGAAAGTGGCTCGCTGCCGTTGGCTGCAGAACGGTACATTCGGTGGATGGATATGCTGATGCTGGGAGTGTACAAGTCCCGTATCAGGGATGAAGATGAGTGGGTCTCATTGTTTAAACAAGTCGACAAGAGGTTTTCCTCCGTTCGGTGCTCGACGGTTCCGGGTTCAGCGTTGGGGATTGTGGAGGCAACATGGGAGGGAGGTCAGGAATAAGTGTTGTGAATCGAGGCTCGACGAAGTAGATAATAGAGCTTCGTATACGGAATAAATTCCGTATTGAATCTCCAATCAATCTGATATCCATCTTGTATATAACCCCTCATCTTTTTCAGATGTGAATAGTATAACGAACCTTCCTCTGAATCACAACAGGTTATGAGCCCGGGAGCAAACTCTCGGGTGATATCTCTAGTTACTCAGAGACTTTGAACTCATATACCTCCATCCAAACTCCACAGTTATTATCGTTCCTCGTGAAGCCCCACCATGAATTCCCTATTCAGTTCATCCTCAATCTCATCCTCCGACAGGGTCGCAGGCACTTTCGGGAAGCAGTAATTATGCCTTCTGGAAGCGGATCATGACCTCCTACTTGACTGCAAGACAAGTATGGCCTGTCGTCTCGGGCGAATTGGCATGCCCTGACTGTCAATTCAGATACCGCCGACCCATCGCGGCTGGAATTCGGGGTTCAAGCGTACGACTGCTACCAGGATTGGTGCCGACGCGAGGCAGAGGCATACCATACTATTATTAAGTATCTCTCGCCTACAGTTAGTGCACAGGTGGCCGGCATTGGGACGTCTTGAGAACTCTAGAACGATCTCGAGGAACGATACCAACAAACCGAACTGGCTACCTATTGCGAATTATTCGCACAGTTACGAGAGACCACTGGCAACCGCTGCAGAAATGCACGAGATTTTGTGGACCGAATCCGTCTACTGGTAAATCGCCTGAATGCCATCACGCCAGGTTCGATCGGGGACAGGACTCATATCGCGATACTATTGACCCAGATCGGGTCAGAATACGCATTCATTATTGATGCCATCCAGAATGGCAAGGAGCCGGGTACGCCAGCGGCCGTCGGAAATCGGCTCGCTAATGCGGAACGGGTCGTGCGAGGAAAGGATCCGGCGTCGTCGGCCGCCTCGATCCATGTGATCACGCCCGTCAAGAAGTGCAAGTATTGCAAAAGGAAAGGTCATGATCAATCACGATGCTGGAAGAAATTCCCGCATCTCAGACCGCAGAAGGGCCGGTTGGCCCACGCAGACCGGAGTGATTCGAGCGCACCCAGCGATTCAAGCTACATATCCAGCCAGACGGAAGACCGGCAGGGCCCGCCTTCCAAGAGAGTGAATATCGTGAGGGCGAAGGTGACGACCTTCTATACCCACGCGCCAGACCCACGGTGGATCGTGGACTCCGCCGCAACTAGCCACGTCTGCTGGGACCGGGAGTGCTTTACCAGTCTCCGGCAGCACCGTGAGATGCTCTTAACGGCAGGAGATCCCGTTGAAGCCGAAGGGATAGGCACTGTGAAGCTCAGCATCAGGGGCAAGCCTCATCGGACAGTGGTCCTCAAGAATGTGTACTACGCTCCGCGGGTCGGGGTCAACCTGATCAGTGTGCCCAAACTCCTGAGAGACCACTATTCGGTGGTGGCGCACCCGCGAGGCATCGCCCTGCAACGCAGAGGACGGCCCGTGGGGAGCATCCAACATACTAGAGACGATTTGTTCGTCCTTCACTGCCCAGCGAGCTACAGGCCTCGAGTCCAAGTACATCTAGCCAGGAATGCCACAGTCAGCGTCGCATCTCGAGAACCTTCAGATGTCGTCATGGCTGATGGGGATCCTCTGGAGTCAAGTGGCGCACAAAGTGTGGCGACCACCTCTGAACTCCGCAGTGGTGACGCATTAGCGAACCTCGAAGAAGATGCGAGCATAGGAGTAGACCAGGAGACTCCCGAAGAGCTATGGCACGCTCGAAATGGGCCATTTGAATCGGGGAGACTTGCGGCTGGTCCTCCGACAGTCCGGCACTCCGTACCGCCCTCTGACCAGCCAGGAGCTGCAGGCAACGCCGCGGTGTCCGGCATGCATGGCGGGGAAGCAGCATCAGAAGAGGCACTCTCGGCGTAGAAAACCATCTATTCGATCCTCAGCGATCTTTGAGCTAGTGCATTCAGATCTAATGGAAATACCTCAAGGCAAGGATGGCTCCAGGTACGTGGTTACCTTTACTGATGATTATTCACGCGGCTCGTGGAGCTACGCAATGAAATGGAAGTCCGAAGCACTGCAGAAATTTCAGCTCTTTGAAGCATGGCTACGCCGACAATTCGGGATTCGAATCAAGCGTTTTCTCTGCGACAACGGAAGAGAATATTTAGCCATCGGCGCGTACCTATCTCGAGTCCCAGGGCATTGAGTTTGACACATCCGCTCCTTACTGCAAAGGTCAGAACGGCCTGGCGGAGCGTACGAATCGCACTATCCGGGAGTGAATCAACACGCTCCTGTTTGATGCGAAACTTCCTCTACCCTTTTGGACCGAGATCCTTGACACTGTTGTCTACTTAAAACTGCGAGCGCTGGTGTTCTGCCATGTATCACCGCCTGCCCTGAAGGCCATGGTATACCAATACCTGGCCCCAATCTGCGCTCAGCCCGTAACAGGAACAAAGCAAAAAGGTAGTAACTACTAGTAGGTAGTAGGCAGTATGGAAGATTTTTACGTTTCTATATAGACTGACGATAGCTTGTATTGTACTGTATAGTTTTAACTATCTAGCTAGGTAAAACATCTATAATAACAGACCGTAGGAAATCAGGTATTGCCTGCTCTCAACTTTCAATGCGTCCGATTTCCGAAGCAGCGAAACATCTTGACGTCTAGCAGAGCATGCAGAGTACATACCAACCGCCATAAGCCTGTAGGGCTTGCGTATTATTCTGCGATGTAATTTAGCCATGTATGATAATAGTATTAGGCTATAGCCAAATAAGTCGCCGAGGTAACTGAGACGAACAATTCGTTTAGCTTGGGGCTGCTTTACAAGGATGGGGTTAGGGATATGGGAGCGATGTTTTTAGAGGGCTAAGGTAATATCTAACAGATTGGCGACGCTAAGGGTTGGTTGTTTACAGTTTATTCGGGTCACATGATCTGCATGCGCCCACTCAGAATCGCTCAGGCTGGCGGTGAGCTTTTCCAAGGATCGCTCGGGGATTGCTCAAGGATTGCTCAGGACACGCACATTTGTGCTCATCCCACGCTCCGGACCGCTCAGTGAGCAAAAAGCGGCGCCAAGTCGGACCTAAAGCGGAAAGGGAAAGTGACTTGATTTCCGCAGGAATGCTATTCGGTAGTCTACTACTACTTATCTTTCCAACAAGTCGCTGGCGACTGCGGTACATTTGTCATTTCATATAGCATGGGCATATCTTTCTCTATTTGGAGCTTTCTTAGCCGCAATCTATTTCTTATTTTCAAGTCACAAATCAGTACACAGTGTTTGTTTTATCTCGCAGTTGCGTCTTCCATACCATCAACATCGCCGATGTCTCAAATACCCGCTTAGTCATCCGGTCTTCCGTCCCGACACAATTTGGCCGAACATCATCGCAACCAGAGCACCCGTTCGTCGAAGCTGCAGCGCAACCCGTCAAAATGATTCCTACTCTTGCCCGGCTCGGCCGTTCCGTCTGGAAGGGTAAGTCTTCTGAATATATCCAACTTAATGCGCCTTGAAAGCTAACATGAATTCCTTCCAGGCCCGAACATTGTTCCGTACGTCTATCTATTCCATCCCGACATGAAGATCCAATCCCCCGACGACAATAAACCCATGACATGACCCACTCAATCTCGAACGAAGAATCATAACAATAAGAAAACAAAACTGACATTCAAATTCCTGGGCACTCTAGTCTCCCCCTCCCTGCCAAACTGCCCCCTCCCCCGGGCACGCCGCCAATCCGGACTCAGAAACGCGCCGCCACCATCTTGCCCAACTTCGTGGGGTTGAAGTTCGCAGTCCATAATGGCAAGAATTACCAGGATGTTTTCATCACGGAGGAAATGGTCGGTCGGAAATTGGGTGAATATGCGCCGTATGTGTGATCCTTTTCCTTTGATTTTGGTTTTGAGTCTTGATGCCTTGAGAGGTGTGGTTTCGTCTTCCTCTTTCTTCTTTCTTTTTTTGGTGCCCTGGGCAGAGGGAGAGAGAAAAACAATCGGGAAGACAGAGAGAGGGACAGAGGGAGAGAGGATGGATGGTGAATTAGAATATTGGCTAACCCGCGAGGTATCTAGGACTCGCAAGCGTTTCACCTACAAGTTGACGAAGAACAAATAATTACGTGCGTTTACGTCGATTTGCGTTCGGGCTTTGGTGTCTGTCTGTCTGTCTGTCTCTCTATGGGTCCCCAGGCTACTACTACCTGTCTGCCAGTCGACGACATGTCTACACGCACCGAAGGGCACTGCATCCGGGGGGGGGGTTTTTTTTTTTTTTTTGACGCATGGAAAAAGAGATCAGTCAGGGTAAGAGAGGGCTTGTAGATTGGGAGTCTAGAAATTCCGTGATCTCGACTCGACTTGTTGCTTTTTCGAATGTCTCCACTGGCGTTTCCTTATTTTATATCATATTTTTGTGTATATCTACCTTTTGGTCCTGTTGCATATGTAAGATTATTTTATCGCGGAGTTTATATTTATTGGTATCTCTATTTTTAACGTTTATTGTATTAAAAATCATCAATCATAGTTGATTCTTCGGACTGAGACTTGACTCTTGAGAACATCCGGTTGGCAGACACCTGAAAAATCGGGCCGACCACGGACTCGGTCGAGGTACAACGGCGGTACAACTACGGCGCTCGCTCTCTACCTCCGTCCAACTGCACCCCGAGGCCACAAAGGACCCTTGATTGCCAACTCACCCATTGTCCAACCCGGCTTTTTTTACCTTTTTGCAATAATTTGCTTTTGTCCTTTTCCTAATTCGGTCGCTTGGTCCTCCCCTCCCTTGCTTTGTTCTCCTCTCACAACCAACCATGTCTGATCCATCGTCATCACAACCTCCTGTGCCATCCTCGTCGCAACCTCCACCTGTTGCATCGCAGACTGCATCGCAAGAACCCCCCTCTTCATCCACCACGGCAGCTGCAGGACAATCGGGAACCAACTCAGAAGCGACGGTCGTGCCCAAGCAAGAACCCGACGAGAGCACCGCCTTGGATGCCTCCATCGACCAAGATATCGAACTCGGCGGAGTAGCTAAGAATACGGCGGACAATAATATCAACATGGCCAACGCACCCGACGGAGATGAGGATATCCCGCTGGGAAATCCAGTTCAGACTGTCGAAACAGTTGATGCCCTTGCCGCGACGACGCCTGGCAAAAAAGAGACCAGCCTACGCGAATTCCTAGGCAAGATGGATGAATATGCGCCGATCGTAAGATTACCCTTTTTTCCGTTGAAACTCTTCGTTCCCTTTCTCTTGGCTCTTCTCTCGCATTATACTAAATCCCAAACAGATTCCCGACGCCGTAACAGCTCACTACCTCACCCTCGCCGGCCTCCCACCACCAGGCAACGGTCCCAACCAAACCCCTCCTCACCTCGCTCGTCTTCTCGCCCTTGCCACCCAAAAGTTCATCGCCGACATCGCCGCCGACTCGTACCAATACGCGCGTATCCGCGCCTCCAACAGCTCCTCCGCCAGCAACCCCATGGGCAGTCTCAACGCCGCGTCGGGACTTGGCATGCCCGCAGGCGCCGCCGGCGCCGGCGCACCTGCGGCGGGCGTTTCTGCCGAAGCCAAAGGCAAAGCCGGTACACATCTGGGCATCCAGCGACCTGGTTTCGGAGGTGGCGGGTCAGGTGGCTCGGGCCAAGGGCGGACGGTGCTCACAATGGAAGATCTGGGGATGGCAGTTTCTGAATACGGCGTGAGTGTTAAGAGGGGGGAGTTCTACCGGTAAAACTCATCTACATGCCATTCCCATCATGCCATAATGACGTTACCCTTCTTTCGAATCGTCTTTTTTTTTCCTAGAGAAAGATGGATATACCCGTCTTTGGAGGTTCTTTCTTATTGCTACGCCGCTCGTGACGACAGGCCGAGAGGAAGGCGGCGTTCACTACTTTGTTTTCCCGTTTTATCCTTTTGTTTTAATAGGCACTATCTCTAGGCGTAAACACGGGGTTGAGGACAAATGATATCCTACAGTTGGGTCTTAGAACCATCTGGTTTTCGATGCAAATGCTGTCAAAATATCAACGAAACTCAGTAGATTGTAACTCCTGGTTGGAGGGAAGATCAAACTATTATGAAAGCATGAGGACTCTCACCTCGAAGCTCGAGTGTAAAAAAAAAAAAGTGCCTCGACCCGCATCGTCATGTGATTCCCATGCAGAGAGAGCGGACTACTACGGTGTAGGTAACCTGTAAGTACTAGAAGTCTTTCATCCCTTGAATTTCAACTCGCGCATCCCGATTGCTTCACTGTGCTGCTACCACAACCATGACCCGACTTTCCCAATTCACCCGGATCATAACGCCCTCCTTCCGGGAGAGCTTGTTGGATTTCTGGTTCCATCGCCAAAAGTCCGCGGCAAGCCCGGTTCTGCCGGGACAAAACGACATGGCCCGCTGGTTCAGCAGAGACGCGGAATTCGATAAGTTGTGCACGTATGTTCAATTCAATTCGCTCCCCAATACCAATGATCCCAGACCCAACTCTGACCAAATTCTAGACGGCAATTCCTTCCAGCCCTCGAGGCCATTCGGGAAGCAAATGTGACCGCAACAGAGCTTCGAACGGCTCTCAATCTCTCGTCCCCTCTGGACTGGCTCAGTACTCTGTTATTACTAGACCAGATGTCTCGAAATTGCTATCGAGACTTGCAGTCAGCCGTGGTATTCACTCAATTTGACCCGTTGGCATCAGAACTTGCCCTGCAAGCTATCAAGAATGGGGTTCCGGACTCGCGGCCGATCAAATACCAATTGGCCTATCGACTCTGGTTCTACTTGCCCTTGATGCATACCGAGAACCTGGAAACGCATAAGATAGCCCTACGTCAGTATGAGAAGATGTCGAACGACGCAGAGGAGTTGATCCGAAATGGGAAAGACTCTTCAATGGATCCCGAGACTGAGGATTGTTACCGGGTCTTCTCCGAGCAGCCAGACACGATACGCGATTATATCAAAAGATGTACCGATGAAGAAGTGAAGCATACTGCCTTGATCGAACGGTTTGGTCGTTACCCGCATCGCAATCCGCCATTAGGCAGGACACCCACACAGGCTGAGATTGCCTATCTGAAGAATGGCGGGGAGACGTTTGGGGCAAAAGCTGATTATGACAATTAGACGACTCCTAACGATTGAGGGGAGCTTGTTGGAGACGGATTAAATTTCAGGGGACCAACGAATTCTCTAAACAATCGCTCTACTTGTGATAGCTGTCCTTCTATGTGAGACTAGAGGAGAAATTACACATGATAGAAACTTCTGCAATATATACCGGTTTAGATATCAAATCCAGACGGTCCAACAGATAAGGACCAATGTGTACCAATTCAGATGTAAACAAGGAGAAAAAGTTCTTGATTACTGATTACAAAGCCACCATCCATCAGTCACATCCTGGCTTTGCATGTTCATATGGTTAATCAATCTGTGGCTGCAGAGTGCAAACGCAACGATGCAACAATCAAACGAAGCCTCCCCCCTCTCAGTAACGTGACACCCGGTGAAGGCCAACCCTGGCCAGGCACTCTTCACTCCATTCATCCACTCTTGATTCACTTTCTCCAAACAATAAGACATTCTTCATTGATTACAGCACCGACTGTATCTCATCCTGCTTCTTCCTACCATCATACCATCACCAATCATTCAAACCTCAGCCATGGAGCCCCCAGACAGCTCTAAAGATCTTCCCGGCTGTCCTGCACCCATCACAGATTGCAAAGAGTCTGGACCGGCATCCTCAGTCTCTCCGGATCAAACTCTCAAGCCTGATGACATCGCGACAAACGATGGAAATGAAGACGGCCAGATGACCACCATCGTGGATTTGATGGAACCAAAGAAGAAAAAGAAGAATAAGAAAAAGCCCAAGAGCAAACGCGGACTAGTAGGTTCTCATTAAATTGAATTGTCCAGCCTCAATTCTGGTTAACACCCTGTAGAATAAGCCTACTGGGTTCGAAGAATACTCTGCCGACAAGCCTATGACACCGGAAGAATTCGAAGAAGCGAAGAGTCTCTATGATGTGTGAGTAAATATTCAACCTGACTGTATGAAGAACCGTCATCTAACCAAGTTTGCCGAAGCTCGCGACCACTCATCCAGTAAGTCGGATGTCTTTCTCAAAGCGTAACTTATACTGCTGCCGCTTGCTAATACAGCCTACCTAGTCGAATCGAAGATGCTCTCCTCCGCTACACGAAGAACCGCCGCATTGACAGTGAGCGACGCCATGTCTTTTTCAAGTATTTGACATATGGTGGCGTGGAGGTTGGGCCCAAGATGTTTGCCGGCGTGGATGAAAAGGACATGAAAGAAATGGACAACGAGCAGATCCTGATCGCCAGGGCTCAAACGAGCATCGATCACGACAAGCAGAACTTGCCTGTTGATTTTGATGCCGTGGCCAGAGGCTACTTGTAAGACCGACCGTCTCAACCAGTTCGATAGAATCCATCAACTAATAACCAATCAACCTATGTAGGACTTCCTACTTCCCATACTTCTTCAACCCCGAAACCGAAGAAATGGTAAAACTGGCAACAGTCACGATCCGCAACTTCTTGTCTTACCTCCTCTACCATGACGTTTGCCCGGAATACAATGGAAGCATTGATGCGGCCAGGAAGTCGTGTGATATTGCCTCCAAGGAGCTTTGGGAGAACCAGCAATTCACGGCCAAGGCACCCGGTGACTTCAACGCGGCCTGCTCCACTCTCTTCGGAGGGTTTCTCTATGATCTATACGTCGAAGGTGATGAGTGGAAGAACCCAAGAGACAAAAGCGTGCGGATGACCAAAGACATTGCCCGTAAAGTGGTCAAGTTCGCCCTGGCTGGTGCTGGCTCCAACGAACAAGCGCAGCGATTCCGAGACCTGGCAAACGAGAACGAACTTCGTGCACTGCTCGTCGAAGATATCCACGGGTTCGAAGTCACCGCCGTATATCCTGTTGAGCCTGACGTGAAGATATTCTACGAGGAATACGCCCCCGATCTGCATCCTGTCGGAAGATTAATTGGTAGAGCATATTTCGATCTCGCCAAACCGATGTATGATCTGAGCCCGGAGGAGCGTCTGGAATGGGATAGCGGCAACGTGCGAATGCCTGAGTTTGAGTTCTTTCTGGAGGAAAATTTGCTCAAGCACTGCTATCCTGGCATGAAAGTGATAACTTCGGTTTGGGAACTGAACTGCGGGTTGCATTTCTTCGAGGATATTCAGATCACCTACAGTTCTATCTATACGGTCCTTTGCAATGATCTCATGCTGGGATGGAAGAAACCAAAGGATTTGACGGCTGGAGAGAATGACGAGGAGGAGAATGATGATGACGAAGATGTGGGTGAGGGTGCTGGTAAATAGGCTAACGCAGGGAACAGGTGATGGGAGCTACGGCCCTGCCCTACGGTAGATGGTTTCAAGGTTGATAGCGCACAGTTTCGAGGATCAAGGTCAAATCATATTTGTCTTTTCACATGTGCCTTATAATATCATACATTTCACACTTAATCCTCTAGTCCAGGTTCTTGGGAGTGGAGCCCTTCGCCATACAGGGCCTCTACGCCCCCTATCGTGCAGACCCCTGGATATCTACACCAACAACCAGGATGCCCTCCGCAATCTGATCTTACCAGGCCTAGGTTCGGGGCACTACCTAGCCCAGGAAATAATCAACTTACTTGCCGAGCGGCGCACTACATACAAAAGGACCAGAGACATAAAATTCTACCTACTAGTTGGAAGAGAGATTCCCCCGGTCTGTCCACACCGCGCCTGTCTAGTATTCTCGCTAAACACCTCCGCTCCGCAGCTGATATCTACGGCAACAGCTCTCAGAGCTTGACTCATAGAACAAGACCCTCCAGCGGTATAACGGCTTCACGGGACCGTCCACCGCAGGGCCTACCGGTGTCAAGGGAACCTTCAGCAACCGGTCAACCTCTACACGGAGCGGAGAATGGTCTACAAAGTGCGAAGATGAAGATATATATCTGCGTGCCACGCTGCCACTGCAAGTTCCAGCGTGGCCCCGTACGGGTGCCGAAATGGAGTATAATGGAACCAATCTATCAATCAATTATAGCCCAAGTTCTTTACTCATGCTTTAACAAAAGTTTGCCTGTCGTCTTGCGACCTTCAAGATCGCGATGAGCCTGGGCCACCTGCTCCAACGGATATACCTTGTGAATCTTGACCTTGAGCTGACCGGACTTGAGTAGACTGAATAGCTCGTTCACGTAGTATTCCAGTTCCTCCCGAGTCTCGATATATCCGAACAAAGTCGGCCGCGCGATCTTGACGCACTTGGGGGAAAGTTTTCTAGATACCATTAGCCATCTTTTGTCTCCGTCAGGAGCACATAAAAACTTACGGCAGAGCAATAGGCGGCACCGGGCCACTAGCATTACCAAACCAGACAATTGTGCCCTTCCGCTTGACAGCCTCTAAGCTTCCCTCCCAAGTATCCCTTCCGACGGAATCATACACAACATCGACACCGCGTCCGCCAGTCATTTCCTTAACAATCTTCACCCAGTCCTTGCCCTCCTCGCTCCGGTAATCGATGACCACATCGGCACCCAAGCTCTTCACCAACGCCACCTTCTCCGGCCCGCCTGCGGTGCCAATGACCTTCGCGCCAACCGTCTTGAGGAGCTGCGTCATGAGGAACCCCGCGCCGCCAGCCGCGGCATGCAAAAGCACCCAGTCGTCCTTTTGCACGGCATACGTCTCCCGACTGAACGAGAGCACGGTCATACCGCTCAGAAACGACGCAATGACGTCCTCGTCGCTGATACCGTCAGGGATCCGCACCGTCCGGTCTGCAGGGACAGCCGTGTACTCTGCATACCCGCCGGTCGTGAGCCAGGCGACGCGATCGCCGACTTTGAAGTTGAAGGGATTCGGACCGGGACCGACGGCCGCGACGGTGCCGGCGCCTTCGCGACCCAGGATCTCGGGCTTGGGCGACTGGTAGAGCCCCGTGCGGAAGTAGGTGTCGATGTAGTTCACGCCGGAGATGTTGTTCTTCACGAGCAATTGGCCCTCCTTGGGCGTGGGGACGGGATGGTCCGGTTTGAATTCGAGGACTTCGGGGCCGCCGATTTTCTCCGCAATGACGGCTTTCATGGTCGAGGGGGTGGACATTTTGCGGGTTTGAGAGGGTTGGGTTAGTGGGGATGGACGAAGGTGTGAGCTGATTGCAGACAAGCGAGCAGCGCTGGGAGAAGCTGTGGCGAGAATTGATGGACGGACGAGGGAGGGCAAGTGGGATGACGAAGTTAAAATGCGATTGCGAGACATGCGGAGAGGATGGCGGGTAAGTATTATTGCCCGAGGACGTGTTGGGGTAGATGTGGACGAAGGATGTTCCTTGGATACCTGGGGGGGATTGAAGATTACTAAGGCCAGTCCGCGTGTTATCGCATTGAGTTCATCTACTGTTTTCGATCCCCGCATTCTATCCAGACAGCTGGAAACCCGACCACCTACAGGGGAACTGAGCATCGTGCATTACCAATGGTCTGCGGAGATATTCCGTGGTCTTCCCTATGGCCCAGAACACAAGGTCTTGTTCATTACTCCACCTTTCGGATCTTGAATCGGTCACTTCTCTCACTCTTGCTGTGTTCAACGCGAGGGTCCGTCGGAAATGACGCCATCATTGGCGGACATCCGATCGGAATCGGAGCATCGGAGACTCGGAGTGTCGGAGTCCAGCACAGCTGAGTCATGACCCCGCATACTCCGTAACTAGTTATGCCCGTATGATTTATGAAGCACGGGCACATGACGGGCCATTTGGTCTCCCTCGATTCGATCCAACTCATTCATTCTCTTCTTCCCCTGTCATCCTGCCGGCCATCGTTGCTTTTTCTACTGCGTTTCACAGTTGACTCATAGGTATGCCGTAATTCAGCTGGGATGTCCATTTCATGTCAGCCAACTCACTATCGTCATCATCACCTGCTGAAGCAGCTGCATCGTCGTCATAGTCGTTGCCTCCGAGGCAACCCCGGCGGACCAACTCGCCAGGATCCCATGCGCATTGAAGCGTAGGTACCTGATTCAAATATTACCCGAGGCTGAGAACATATGATATTACTCTGGTCTGGCCACGCACCTGTATCCTACAATAGCGAAAACAGAAGTTGAATGCAAACCCCCTTTGGGATGACATGTCATAGACTAAGAATGCTCTTCACACTATCCCACTATCCCCAGGCTCGTATAATGCCCCAACACGGCAAATATCTCGACAGCCCACATACATTCCAACTAACCTCGACTCGCTCGGCGGCTTATGCACACGGTCGCGTGCTGAGCACTGGTAACTTTCCGCAGACATCCCGTCCTTGCACCATACGTCTCGCCAATCGTACCCGACGGGATCGGCCACATCGGAGGGCGAATTCATGGCGAGTGTAAGGTGTTCGTACCCAGACTGCTCATTCAATTCGACCTCGAACCCAATTTCCCTCAGTTCGGGCTCCGTGACGATACTTGATAAGCCAACAATGCGCGCGTTCCGCACAAAATGAACTGTTTGACAGGTGCCAGTATTGAATTCACCTATGTTTGCTTTTCTACCCGATGCATAGACGAACACAAGCCCGATAATCGCCCGGTCTCGAAACTGGGCCATGACTTCGGCTACAGTGTCTCTACCGCCGGCTTCGTCATGCGTCTCAAAGTAGAGCTTCTGTACCTGGTCAAAAGGAGGAGGGTGATGGGGCACTAATATCAATTGGTCGCTCCGGCTTCCTTCGGTAGAAAGCACTGCTCGGACCCCATCAGAATGTACGTTGAATATCCACGAGATAGCCGCCATCTCCTCGTCGGAATCGATCTGGTACTGGTGTTGCAACTTTCGGGGTGGGAGGGGATGGAAGTCCGGGGAGCGGAATATCACGCTGCGCGAACACGTCGTCTCAAATTGTATGGCTGCGACTTGGCCTACTTCCATCCGTCGGCATTCCCTTGAGAACCCCATTGGAGTCGCCCATACAGTTAACGACTGGACTCGCTCATCTTGGGATAGTTCAAAGCTACCACTAAGCCCATCCATCCATTGTCCGATTATCCCGGGACTTGGATGGTCATAATATTCAAGCTTCAAGCCGGATATGCGGTTCGTAGATCTAGATCGGCCTTGGATGCCCACGGATGCTTGAATCTTCCGGACATTTTTCAGTGAAGCATAGGTTTGATAGTTACCGGGATTCGAACTGTCTATATAATGGGAGAATATTTCGTCGTATCGCAGCTGATCTTCGGGTATCTGATGGCATTCCCAGTCCATGGTATCCGGCACCACGGGTTGTTCGGCACACTTTTGGGACTGAACAGCGACTCTAATGAAATTGGGTTGGTTTTCCTGTGTCTAGTCAGCTGCCATTCAGATACACTCAAGATCTTACCAGTTACATACGGACTCAGAGGCAACAAATCCGGTGATTGTGTTGCCAGGAGGTGAAGTCAACATGAGACCAGTAGCTGCGTTGAACTTGGAACCAAGAGGTGCAAAAATGACAACTCGTCCATAATTTGTGGAGATCTAGGCCAAAGTTAGCATCGCACACTGATGCTGCGGTGGAATGCGTGGGGGATACCTGCAAACCAGCCAAGCCAGTTGCTGGGTCTAGGACGAATTTATCTTCCAGAATGCCGATCCGATTGATTCGCTCTCCCCCGGGGCCGTCGACAAAAAGCGAGACTCCACAGCTTCCATTAGAGCCGAAAAGGGTTGAATTCCCATTAGAGTAGAAAATCTCTATTCCAATGAGTGGGTGAGGGCGCGATGCCATATAAAACGTAAGTCTTGTCAGGGACCCGAGAAGCAGGCCTCTTGAACCACCAAAGTCAATATTAGTCAACGGTTCAAAAGTCCGGGAAGGCCGGGATGGTAAAAGATCGCTGATTATCAAGTCTTCATACGCTGGGACATGCGGAATCCACAAATGAGACTGTGCCGGGGATAAATTCGTTTTTCCTTGGGAGGAAGGCGTCAAAGAATCTCCAGGATGATCAATCAATTCGCCCAGGCCGATGGAAACAATTTTGAAACGATCTAAGCTTGCAAGCAAGCAATACTGATTGTTCCCTTCAGGAATAGTAAGCGTTCCATAAGCAATTCCGGGGCCACTGTTGTTGCCAATCCATCCTGATGGATCCGAGTTTGTAAACATAAATTTGATGCCTGTCAGTCCTTCCGAGCAGAACGATACACAAAGAGCATTCACGTACGAAGAAGACGGTATTTCTACCCACTTCTCAGAAGCGTGATTGTGGTACCCAGCTTGATGATCGACGGCAATGTTGTCCCCTGGTGGGAATAGGCTGATTCCTGATATAAAGCCCCGTGTTCCGATTTGAATGGTTGAGATACCTATTCGCTGCCGATGTCCCCGCGCCAGCGGGGACATAAATAATTGCGCCCTATCGTAAAGCACACGGCACCCATCATGCAAGGGACTGTCGGCGTCAATAGCAGCTAATTGGCCTGAAAAGGAGCAAACCTTCTCCATCGGTCGAGGTGGCTTTCCGGTATCAGCTAGTTGATAATAATTTCCTTGGGTTTTCGCCGGTTCAAAGGTAGATCCGTACGGACCATTTCGAAAAACAGCAGCTAGATCCACGAGGGCAGCTATAGGCTCCAGCAGCTGGCGGACTCTCTTTCGGTTGACCAAGGGCAGGCATCTAGCCCTTAGAGACGCCCTAGTCCCAAAGAAAAGCCGAGACCAGTCTCGTGTGTCCGAGAGATTGGGGAAAAGAAAATCAGCCTCTTGACCAAGGAGGAATCTAGTTCGCCAGTACGACTGTGGGAGCTTATCAACAGTCGCAAATAGAGCCAGATCCCGACAGACAAGTCTCATACTTAGAAGCTCGTGAAAGGATAGATATGAAAGCACCTCAAATCTTAATTCTGGCGAGAGTTTAAAGAATTCAGAGACACAGGTGGCCCCTCCACCGAGGCAATCAATGTTTGCCGCAATTGCATTTGAGGAACAAGCAACATTTCGCTTTCTCCAAAGTGAATCGTCCAGGATTTCCGTAGGAGGAATCGCACAGGGGTCAGCGTAGAGATGTGAGCTCGGGTCTATTGCCGTCGGCCGCCCAAGCGTTTTCTGTGTTTGTGCAGCTCCCTCGTAGTCGTGACCGAACTGGAAGCGGGAGGCCTCAAGGCAAGGGGTGCAATAGAGCTGGTAGAAAACCGACTCTGCAACGGCCATTTGATCCGGGAAGTGTACATTCTGTCCATGGCCAAGCCTCAGGAGAAGCAATCTCCAGCACGACTCATGAAAGCCAAAGCACCAACGAATTTCAGATGATTGGAAGAGCCTCCATTCCTCCAGCGCTTCCGTCCCCACGCCGACATAAGATGAATCACTGTCCAGTGGCGCGTTGAGATAGTTCCGGGACACTACGATTCCTAGCCCGGTTAAAGCGATGTCACTCACATCGTTAGCATTTGAGTAGATGCCTCGTATTTCTGCGTACCAAGGGCGAACGCGGGTCCGTGGAGACGCTGGGTCGTCACTATACGGATCGGGCAACAGGATGACTCCACAGAAGGGGCAGTAAACATTCGGAGACATCAAGTTCAGGTGTCGCGCATCGAACGGAATGAATTGGAAAGACCTCGTGAAAAGCAAGAGGGCAAAAAAGGGCGTATCTGCCTTGGTGGCGGAGTAGTAGTAGTAGTAGTAGTAGTAGGGGTATTCAAGGTTCGACATTGAAGGCCCCCTTACCTATTTGACCGCTCCGTGCGCCTAGCCGCTGCCAGATTCCCCCAGGTATCACAGTGGCGCCAAGGCTCGGCGACCAAGTCAAAGCCAACCCTCGCCATGACTTTACGTACAATCTCTATTGCTTATTATAATATCACTAGGTAGGGTACATTGACATATAATGACTGGTAGCCCTGCTAGCTCAGGTAGCTGGCTGAAAATGACTAATGAAGCGAGCGTATAGTTGAATACAAAAGAAACGACGAAGCACAGCTACCAAGTCGCGTCCCTAGAGGCTGATCGAAGGAATTAGGTACTATAGCTCCACTATAGTAGCAAGCACTAGCTAGCCATCTAGGAGCTGGCCCACTGCCACCCATTTGCCTTGATATAATCCATCATGCTCTCAACCTGCGCGACGCCATTTGGGTCGTCCATGTCGAAGGTACCCTGGTGCAGTTGAATGATTTCTTGGCTGGGTGTCGCTGCTCGTCCATCAAACCGATAGAATCTCACTTTCTTGCCAATGGCGACGGCTCCGAACAATCTCTGAGAATCATTCAAAGTTTGTGAAAGGTCATCATGGAGCTGGGCACTGATGGTATCATCCCAACCCCGTGGGGTGTCTCTTGATGGGCGCTTGCATTTGACCTGCAATATTTGGCGCTCAGCCCACTCGGTGGAAACCCGGGGATTCTGGACCAAGGCTCTGACCTGGATGACAGTGGCATCAGGCATGTTGTTATTGGCGAGCGTTGCAGCTTTGAATCCCCATTTGTAACCATCGCGGCCGGGAACCACTCCGTCACTATTTCCTGCCAGACGAATTCCACAGTCTCTTCAAGGCTATGCAGCTTTACCAATTGCAATGTGTTGAGGAAGCCGATGTTGTTCTGCAACGACGGGGTATGGGTGGCCATGGCTGCTGGTTGTGATAGGCAAATATGGAGTACATAGCATATTGGCGAAGAGATGATCTTATTCAGGGCAACGGTATGCTTTGAAGGAATGGTTTGAAGAGTTGATGCACAAATTACAGGCGTCTTCTAGCCTGTTTAAATAACTTTGACTCTGAGCCTTGTGACATTTGACGCCGAGGTACTTACGTAGGCAGTGCACTTCTGAAATAGCCCCGGGTCAAGGAGCAGCCAATCCTCATCAAATGATGCCCATCGAGAATTTCCCGCGGGGACCAAGCAGTAAAGATCATCCCCGCCATACTCCTGGCTGGCGATAGATGTAACTTCAGCATGCGGGGGCTCAAGGGCGTGCAGTCCAAGCTAATTGATATTATCTTGCCGCAGTACACCTGCATGTTCGAGCTACTAGGCTTGTCTTGCCGTCGTGTCAGCTTAGGTAGCGCCCATTGGGTAGATTAACCCTTCATTGGCTATAGGTGTACGCAGGGGGCCCGTGTGACACTCGCGTACTTGTTCTATCTCGAGGTAGCAATGAACAATTGTCCCTAGAAGGGGGGCCGTGAGGCTTTAGTTTTACACCCCCCTGGCGTCTTGAAGGCCGAGCATACGCGCTCGGAAAGGCCTCTACGAGATCTATACTTTTACTACGAAAATAATAGGCATGATTTGATTTCATCCACCGAATAAAGCCCAATTTGATTTCCCTACTCTCCTCATCTCGAGAGGCTTTTGGGTGGTTTTTGGGACTGGTTAACTTCCTGGCGTCTCGATCAGATATTGGTTCCTATTTTATCGCTGTTTAAGAATGTGTGTGAGATAAACGCTGGCTACGATTCGGTAGTGCTCATACGGCGTGATTTACGGGTAATGATCGAGATTCATAACTCGGCTGAGGCACACTTTTTACTTCCTTTCTTCTATTTTTTATTTGAACGCTACTTGGAAAATCTTGTCGAGTCACCTACGGCTTAAGCTCCCCGCGATGGGTAAGTTATGATTTCTTCGCTTTGTAATCACATTCGAAATACTCCGCTAACTATAGTTAGTTAGTTATTGATTGCTTACATATCGCACTTTGTTGATCTAAATTCAAGAGTACGGGGGATTTGAGAGGTTGAGAAGAGGATTGTAGATGGCGAATCTACTTTGAATAGGTTCTTACCTTCCTACATAGATATGTCCATCCGTTTTCCGACAGAGTAGAGGATTGTTACCTACCTGATTCGAATATTATTCGATGCTGAGAACATGGTATCACTCCGACCTGGCCCAGCATGGCGCTAGACGTCTGTATTCGCTAAGCTATTCTGCTGTGGTTTAGGCGAGGTGATTCAAAAACAGTTGGCCTTCAAGGCGATGCTATATTGGTGGCGTGGTAGTACATGAGTCATTTGATGCAGGACTTCTTTGATTTACATGTTTTAAACTATGTACACCGATACAATTACACGTAAACGCTGCAACGCAGGTATGATTCACTTCAGCGTGATGGAAGACCCAGCCTTGGGCGACCCAGGAGCCACTCTATTGCCACGCATTCACTTTGATATAATCCATCCACTCAATCTGTACGATATCATCTGAGTCGTCCATATCGAAGGTCTCCTGATGAAGTTGCACGACGACTTGGCCGGATGATTCTCGTCCGTCGAATCAGTAGAACCTCACTTTCTTGCCAACAGCAATTGACCCAAACAGTCTTTTGCCTTGGACATCTGTCGCGATCATGCTGTACCGGTCTTTGTTGGATGGGCCCTTGCATTTCACCCGCAAGATCTGGCGCTCGACCCACTCGCTTGGATTTTGCTAGGGTTGGACCTGGTAAACGACGACGTTGGGCATGTTACATTCAACGGGCGTGGAAGGCTTGAAGACCAATTTTTAGCCATCGCGGCCTAGAAGCCACTCCGTCACTATTCCCTGTCAGACGTATTGGACAGCTCCTTCGGGGCTGTGTGGTTTCACTGACTGCAGTGTATCGAGGAAACCGAGATTGTTTTGAAACGAAGGCATATGGGCAGCCATGGTGGTCAGACTGAGGTGAGAGGCTGGTGTCGATAATTGATAGCTAAGGGTATTTGACGGGGAGATTCGGAGACTTGCTGCTGATTCAAAGATGTCTAGGCCTTCTCGGAGCATAAAGTGTAAGCTACCAAACATCCCGCCACTCATTTTTGCATAGAACACTTACCTACAGACGGTCGATATGGTCTAGCCGCCGAGTTGAAGGGGCAACCAACGTTCACCAAGCAACGCACGTCGAGAGGTTCTTGCTGAGACAAACCCGTTCTTTCGGGCGTTTATTCGAACGTGCCGCAGCACGCGCGGGGCTCGAGAGCGTGCAGCCCATGCCAATCATTTAATTACTCTGCTGCAGCATACTTGCATTTCCGATCTTCTAGACTCATCCTATCGCCGTGTAAGATTATTTTCAATCTTTCTTGAGCTCAAAATATCTAAGTATAGTATTGATGATAATTTTAAGAAGATTGGATGGGCTGGGGAGTCGAGAAGCACCGCCGTGACCTGTACATAGACTGGTCTCGGCTACCTAGTTCTATTTTAATGGTGATTGTCGGCTGTGGATCTTATGACTGATTAGATTGAAAATAGCCTTTCATATAGCTCGGCCTTTCGCATACGAATCCTGTTTTTCCGCCCATGTTCCGACTTGGTAACTATAGCGGCCGGCTTGAGGGATCACTTAATGTTATACGGCCACTGTTGATAGCATCAAGTTGGGATCAGAGACGGGATAATGCTATTACGTATAGAATACTCATTCCTCACCATTAGACCAGTCCGTTGCTACGAATTTCATCAAGAATTGGTAAACCCTACTTTACCTATCCTAGCCAAGATCACAGCTTACCTTTGCCAAGTCAAGTTGAAGGACGCATCAGTCGACGATCGGCAGTGAATAGTCCAGATTTCACAGTCGGGATATGGCTCGACTCATCCATGTATGCCCATCATCTATACCCCGGTGAAGTATACATCGGCCTACTACTACTCAGTAAATATTTACTGCGTCTGCGTTAAACCGGGCTAGGGTTATCCCCGATGCGGTTAGCCGGTCCAGTGACCCACCGAACTGGGGACGAGAGCTTCAACTCTTCCTTCCTTCAACAAATCTACTTACAGCTCATCCCACTAATCAGCCAGATCGACATGCATGGCTGTGGACAAAATTCCTGTAGTCAAGGGAGCCCAACCACTGCAAGATGTCGACGATGGCGTTAAGAAAAAGTCGAGGCGCCTCCCCTACTCCACACAGCCTCGTCTGGCCGCCAATTCTATGCCTATAACCTTGCCGCGGACAACTGTCTCGATCCAATCCTCCATATTATCGGTGCCCCCTCTGCGCCGTCTCTCCACAGTTGTTTCTCCCCCTCTTTGGCAAACTCGCAGTATTATTTTTCGTCCGATGATCACTGGTCGAATTATCTTTTCGAAGGGACTCAGAGACATAGTGTGGATTCAGCCGATGTCTACTAGCCGACAACGTCACCAGTTGCAGGCGGCGATATTTTCTGGCCAGGATCATCACGTTTCGATTTTCTGTGCCTGTTGACTTGGCCTCCGGATAGCCATTCGTTTTCATGTTCCACGTCTGGCCATGGTCGCCGTGTTTCATCTTGCATGGCCTGATTCGTCGCCTCTTAACGCCCAACCTTTCAGGCCCCATGCCCTGATAGGGCCTCCACCATAGGGGGCGCTGCCCGACCAGGTTTTCATTGGGATTTATATACGCCTCCCCACGCTCTCGTCCTAGCTTCTCCTCTATCCCTAGCTGTATAACAGAAAAGTTCTTGTCGTTAAACCTTTTTTGGTCCATAATTAATATCTAATAGCTTTCCGAAGGACCCTGGCGGCCTTTCCACCTTTCTATTCTTGTCTCTTGCCTGACTCTTGACTACAACTGCTTGTACTCTATCTAACCTGCTCAGCCAATTGCATTCATTGTCTCTGCAGCTGGTTGTCTTTGATCTGCCATTGATTACCTCCTTGGAAACTCCCGAGTGAGTTTGACACGACGGATATAACATGCCAACAGCTACCAGGAACGTGACTCTAATTTGCCGTGCCATTGCAACAGGATAGCTGTTGTAGCAAAACATAAGAGGAACCACATCCCGTTCCCCCTTTGGACCCATTTGGACCCAAGCAGCAACCCGTTACATCTTTTCTATTTGGTTTTCCTTTCTCTTTGAAAAATACATTGTGTGATCCAGTCATGCCCTTTTGGCGTCAAAAGCCTCAGTGGCCCCCTTTGCCGTCTGTAGAAGACGAAGTTGCCTCCCTTTCCCGTGAGTGGTGCGGACTATCGAACCTTGGAGAAAACCCCGGAGTTGAAGGAGTGTGTGCCAGAGGAACCATCGATCAATACCCTGTGATCATGGACGTGTTTTGTTACTCGGAGGAGACCTTGGTCGTGGAGGAATTCGGACGGGAAGTCAGTTCATCGGACGACAGCGCAGGGCCGCCTACGCCGCCAACGGAATTCCCTCAGTTCTCGATTCCTCACCACCTTAGCAGCAAACTCAACCTGAATAACTTCCCTTTTGGTCCGTCGCCTTTCTCCGCGCCCACGTCATCTCAGAAGGCCCTGCCCCCAGGCCCTCCCCCCAGGAGAACCACGTCCCATTCAGGACATGGCCCCCAAAGCACCACCAGTACGGCATCGAGGTCTTCCTCTCGCCAACGCGACCCCATTCCCAGGAGCTCTCGGACCCCGAAGGAAGCCGTTCCCGCAAGGCCCAAGGACTCTCCTCCCACACCACAGAAGGGTCTTTCCCGGGTCAACAGCCGTAGTGGACAGCACTCTGAGCCTGCCTCTTCATCCACTCCTCGGCGATCAGACAGTGTCAAATCCATGCGGCCCTTGAGACGCTCGGCTACCGACACACCGCGACCCAGTTCTTCCTCGGGTTATGTCTCTGACTCCCACGGAGCCAAGCAAAAGACCAAGACGAAGCGTCCGGAACCTCTCCGGGCCTCCACGAACCTTAAGACTGTTGTGGACTCTCCGAACACGCCCACCCTGGCCGAAAGATTGGAGGAGAAGCTGAGGCAGCGACAGGAGCAACGCGATTCCAAAATCATGGGGCACAGCAGTGTGCAGAAGCCATCCATTCCTTTGTCGGCTGCCAAACCTGCCAAACCCACCAAGCTCATCGAACGCAAAATTGAGCTCCCTGTACAAAGAGTCCCGTCGCGTCCTGCATCGGTTTCACCGAAACCTTCCCCGAAACCTCCTCGCCCACGAAGTGCGGAGCAGGATCCCTTTTCCGCGTCATTTGCCACTGTTACGCCTGCAGTGATAAACACACCACCTCGACCACCTCGTCCCCCCTTGGCTGTCCTGGGCCAAGAACAACGATCTTACTCTACGGATGCGGTGCCATCTAGCCATGTGGCCACCAGACGCACAGTGTCCTTCTTTGAGGAAGCGCTCAAGCCTCCCTCGTGCCACCGAAAGGTCGAACCACATATTGTCCAGCAGCTGCAATCCTCTCGCAGCAACTCACCCCAAGGCAGTGTTCGCCCGCCCTCTCCCAACAAGGATGGGTCGTGTCTGCTGCCATGTCCTAGGTCCGTTCCGGTGGCCGGCTACCAGGACTGGTTCACGATCCGAGGAATGACACACCTGACCATCTGCCCTTCGTGCATGAAGCAGATGCGCAAATCCAGATTCCGCGACGCCTTCGTCCTCGGGGCCCCCCGACCCCGCAGCGACATGATCCGCTGCTCGATGAGCGAACCGTGGACCCGGCTAGCCTGGATGCAAACCATCAAGAAACAGCTGGACCATTTTGATCTCCTCCAGCAGATCACGCGCAGCCGGTCATCCGGCAGCAAACCATGCCCCGGTCGCATCGTCAGCGAACAGCACTGGTACCGTGTCGTCGACCCCGACACAGGTATCTTCCTCCCCAAATTTAACGTCTGCTCCGCATGCGTCAAAAACTTGAGGACATTGATGCCCCCGCACCGGAACACCTTCAAACGCAGCACGGGCACCCAAGCCCGCGTCTGCGATTTCGTGACCGACAGCCCGCGCTTCGTCCGCTACATCGACTACCTGGACATCGCGGCCAACCGGTCCGAGAAAGAATGGGCCTCGCAGCCCGACCTCGGCGACTTCATGGCCTACGCCCGCCGCAAGGTCGTGCTCCGCGACTGCCGTCGCGACCGCCTGGTCCTCAACACCTGGCACTACATCCCGCAGCTCCCGGAGCTGACGGTGTGCGAAGACTGCTACGACGACGTCGTCTGGCCTCTCGTCAAAGCCAACCAGCCCATTGCGCGCAAATTCTCGACCCTCACGCGCCTGCCCCCGGGCGAAGGGCCGTCCCGGTGCCGCGAAGCCAGCTGCCAGCTCTACTCGCCGCGCATGCGCACCAAGTTCCGCGACGCCGTGAAGCGCGACGACCTGATGTATCTGAAACTGGTCGCACTGCGACGGTTCGACGCGGAGCAGCGATTCCGCGAACGAGAAGAAGAACTATTGGATGACGAGGCGCGTGGCTATGAATGCGAGATGGAGTTTCGGAAGAACCTCGAAGAATGGAGAGCTTGGGAGTAGGATCACCAACCAGAGCTTGGCTGGCTGGTATTTGGATTTGAACATATGACACATGGTGAAGCTTACATACAATAGATGGATATGGCAGGAGAACAGGATGCATTATCTTCATTGTTATCTTTTTGGGCGAATAAGTTGCTGGCGACTTATTGGTGGGCATTTCCCGGTCATTGTATTTCTTCGCTTTCTTGACTTGCTTCGTTATCTTGCATTTGCATTCTTCGCTTTCATCACTTGCTACGTTTTGTTTTGCATTTGCATTCCCTGCGTTTGTTTGACTTTTGTTTTGTTTTTCTTTCTGGCATTTTTACTTTTACATCTCTTGCATTTTCATCTTTGCATTTTTTTATTTCTCTTCTCATTTCCTGTTCGGGTTTGCCTGTCTGTCTGATTTGTCTCCTGCGTTCTTGTGCTTCTCGCAATGCAAAATGTACCGGTGTACCACCAGTTGGATTGGATATAGAACTCGCTAGACGGTAGATGTATGTACAAGAAACGTTTGACAAGAAAAACAACCCAAGATCGATCATGTAGACCGACCATATCCGTAACTATAACACCGATAACAAAAAAAAAAAAAAAAAAAAAAGAAAGAAAGAAAGAAAGAAAGAAAGAAACAATCTAGTAAACCGTACCATATAGATAACACGATATATGCCACAACCCTTGTTTATAACCTAATCTCCCCTCCCCCTTCCCCTGCATCACCACCACCATAACCAGCTTCCAACAACTCACTAACAGTAACAACCTTATACCCCCTCCTCTTCAACTCCGGCAACACAACCCCCAACATGGGAATCGTCCAATCTCTCCGATCATGACAAACAACAATACTCCCCTCCCTCACCATACTCAAAATATGTCTCGCATTAACCCACGGCCAACTAATCTGCGCATCATGCGGATACACACTCCCCAGCACAATCCGAAACCCAAGTTTCCTCACAACATCCCTCATAACCTGACTAAAGAAGCCCGACCCCGGTCGAAAATACCGACCCCCGCCCGGGGGCGTTGGCTCGCGAGCCCCGACGGCCGAATACGCGGCGCGGATGGAGTCCTGGACGGTGAGGATTTGCGATTCCAGGTCGGGAGGGGAGAGGGAGCGCGAGGGTTCGTCGCGCATAGCGTGGTTGGCGAGTTCGTGGCCGGCGCGGAGGAGCTCGTGGAGGGTTTCTTCGCGCGAGGGGATTTGCGAGCCGATGAGGAAGAAGGTGGCGTGGGCGGAGTGGTGGGAGAGGAGGTCTAGGATCTCGAGGGTGTGGGGGGAGGGGGCGTCGTCGATTGTGAGGGCGATTAGTTTTTCGGGCTTGTTGGTGTTTACGTTGGTGTTGGTGTCGGGGTTCGCGTGGTCATGGTGGTGAGGAGGAGGAACGTGGAAGAGGACGTCGGGCCAGCGATGCTGGAAGTATCGGATTAGGAGGTTTGGCGGCTTGTAGATGATATAGAGGGGGGTGAGGAGGAGGAGGGTGAGGAGGAAAGGGAGGAGCATGATTAGGAGGCGGCGGAGTTTGCGGCGGGGGAGACGGAGAAGCATTGCATTGGTTTTGTTTTCCGGTGTCGTGTTGATTGATGTTTAGGTTGATTGACGAGGAGAGATGAGGAGAGAGAATTGGTATGGCATGGTGTGTTAAACTTGAACGATGGGATGGGGAATTGATAATGTGACGCGGCTAGATAGTAGAGATCCAAGAGGTTAGTTGACGTTAAGGCTTAAGTACGGAGGTAACTTCAAGATCGGCGATTGAGTTCCAGATAAATCAGTACCCACCCAGAAATCTAATCAACTCATTCTTCCGTACGGTGTACACCGTACTCTCACCACACAACAACGATATTCCCACCGCGATTATAAAACTTTGTCGGGCCTTCTCGTTGTCGCCGCAGTTCACGCTCGCGGTCTCGTACTCGTTGGCTATGCGATCGACTGAGCCGGTTCTGTCGGCGAGAAGAGTCCGAGGACCGGGAGAAGAGGTTGCGGAGCCAGGTTATTGACATTGGCAGAAATCTACCCCGGATGGAGTAGAGACTGGGGAAGTTAAGAGGAGTCCAAAGTTCAGGAGATGAGGGGAAATCACGCTGCGTCAGGTGATTAGCAGTGGTTTGTCTGGTTTGGTCTTTGTTTATTTGTTGTTTGTTTGTTGATTCAAGAATGAAATACTTCTTCAAGAAGATCGATCTATAAGTCTAACTCTACGGCCGAGGGTTCCAAGGTTTAACAGTTTACGGCTCATCGCATACTCCTTTGCCCAAGTGGCGGTGCCCATTTCGCCCGACATCCTAGTCAACTGCCAAGACGCGGCGAGTGAAACCTCGTCGGCAAGGCTGATTCGTGATGTCACGAGAATCCCTCTATGGCCTACTGAACTCTGCTCGAGTAACACTTCGTAAGGCTGGCACTCGGAATTCGGCAGACTAGATCCATCGCGTGGTCTGATTCAGACTTTCAGCACTTCTGATTGCATAACTAAACGGTAAAATATGCCCATTCCCCATAACTCCAGGATCCACTAGAAACATCTATACACGAAAGAATAGAAAAAAGAACAGCGGAGAAAAAAATAAACAATCCCCCGCCCTATCCAACCAATCCCACCACCTCCTCGGGCCATCCTTTTCCCCAGACGATCGCCCGCGGAGGTACTCGCCCTCCCACGGGTGCCAGAACCCGGATCTTGCCCTTCTCGCTGTCCACGTCCGCCACATACAGAAATCCCATGATGCTACTATCCCGAATATCCGCGGGTGTGGCCGTGGGCGGGACATGTGTAATGGCAAGAAGAGAGTTGGCCAGGGTACTCGGTGCCGGCGGCAGGGTCTTCTTCAAGGGCACCATCGTCGTCGCAGCGGACGGCTGCTGCGGCGCCGTCTCGGTGGACGAGATCACGCCCAGCAACGGCGCAGCGTTTTCGTCCTGCGGGGGCACCGTGCTGGTCTCGGCGTCGTTGCTGCCGCCGGGGAGGAAGGAATCGTTGGCGCCGAAAGAGGCCGGGTCATACTCGTCTTCGTCCTCTTCGAGGGATGCGATCGTGTAGTTGTAGATTCCCAGAGAGTCGTAGTCCAGTTGCTGTGCGTGTGGAGAGAGCGTGACGTTGGTGGTCGACGACGCCGAGACCGACAGGGCAGCCGACGCCGTCGAGGGAATGGGGTTGCCGAAGAAATAGGTTCGGACCTGGGACTCGCGGACTCCCTTCATGAAGGCAGCATCGCGGTCGACACACCCGCCGGATTTCGACAGCTTCACGACGGAAATGCGCTCGTCCGACGCAGCGGCAGAGGCGCTAGCGCTGGGTTTGTTATCGTAATTCTTCATCATGATGCTATACAGCCGTTCCGAGCCGATCACGAGAATCGTAGTGACTGTAGAGAGCAAGGACACAAAATCAGCAACCGCATCTCCTCTCAATAAAAGGGGCCAAACATACTTGCAAACTCCGTCACAATGTGGTTAATCATCTCGACACTGCCAGCCTTACTCTGACTGAACAACCCCGGCGTGTCCACAATGATGCCCGTTTCACGAGCATCCTCGTCCTCCGCCATCCTCGCGGTGACCGAGAGCGCCAACCGCGACACAATCGGCTTATAGATCGACCCCTCATCCTCCAGCGGGTTCTGCGTCGGATAGAAGTACACCAGCGGCAACTTCACCGGCACAGCACTCGGCCCGGACATGGGACTACTCCCCCAGCCCTCCTCCACATCAATCATGGTACGGAAGGCCGTGGCCGTCAAGGTCCCCGGCACACTCAGCATGCCCTCAGTCGGGTCCAGATTGACAACGATAGGCTGCCTTCCGACCTTAGTGGAATAGGCCGTCAAGATCTTCGCCAGACTGGTCTTGCCGGCGTCCTCAGGGCCCAATATCAAGACGCGCGGTCCGTCACGCCCCTCGGCCTTGGCCTCCTGGCGTAGCGTCTCCAGCGCAAAGTGCACGTTGGCATATTCCACCATCGGCGTCTCCTCCGCGACGTACTCGCTCTGGCACCCGCCCGCGCCGTGCCCGGGGGCAGTCGCACCGTTCACGCCGGCCGACGGCAGTCCGTCAAGAGACGAGATGGTATTCCCGGCGCTGACTTCAAGCGTGCAGCCGTGCCATGTGTAAATCGCGGCTTTGGTTCCGGAGAAGGTATACGTCTGCGAGGTGGCTAGTTCGGTGCCAAAGAGTTCTGCGTTACCGGCAAGGAGCTACAATCCGCCCTCCAATTCGAGATTCGAGGATACGTCAGTCATATGGTCCGGATTTTCAACAAGAGTAAGAAAGAAGAGAGGGTGTCGCGTCGCAGAGTAACTCACCTTGACCCGAACGATCGTGCCGAATGCGACTTCAAACCGCCATTCCGAGCCCTTGGACAGGCTGATCTGCGTCGGCGGGGCAGGAGCGAATTCCCTATCCACCGACGGCTGCGTAAGGTCTAATCCCGGGAGAGACATTGCATTGCTGGGGCAGAGAAGAAAGAGAATATCGAGGTAGAAGATCAAAGAGAGATTGCGGAGGGGAGCTTCGAGATGACGGTGTTTGGTTTGTTTGCACCCGAGCTTTCACTCCGCCGGACAAAGGAAATGCACACCGAGTGAAAGACCGTAGGAATACTGGGGGTACGCTGCCAAAATATGGAAAATCAACTATCTAGGGATCAAAGAAGGCCCTTTTATCTTCAGCTTCACGCGATCTCATGCAATTTCGTAGAACCCTACGCTTCGTACAAAGATCCTTGGAACTTGCCTCTAGCGAAGGTTTGACGGATGGCGTAAGGCATGTAGATCTTCTACAGAAACCCATTTACTCTGCCTACGTGCTTATAAATTCTTGCCACGAAATAATTTGACTATCCTATCATTTGAATTTTCTACCTGACCACAGCCGATTCTCCTTCCCAAAGACCCAAGCCCCTATCAACGCCGTCGTCGAAAGAAGAGCCCCAACGAGGGAATTTGAACGAGAGTTGAGAAAACGAAATGGGTCACACGATTATGAAAGACGTATATCAGGTATCCAGGATGAAAAGAAAAAAGAAAGAGGACTGCACATCAAAGGAACGGAATGAAAATCGAGGTTTTCGTTCACGATCTCCAGGATCCCTCCCCGAAACCAAAGACAAGAATTAAAAAAAAAAGGTGTAGGGATGTCAATACGATACATCAAGAATCAACATAGGGGCATCCTTTCGACAATGGGCACTCCAGAAACAAGAACTTGGCCAAGACAAGGGGTCACATAGGGGATAATAGGAATAAATAATCGGTAGGGTAAGTAGATACGGTGTACACATTTCAAATAAAAAGAAAAAAGAAAAAGGTATTCAACGTCCACTGGACTGACTGGTATAGAGGTGGAGGGGGGAAGGGGACTGGGTTCTTGGGTAAATGGTGATGGGTGATGTCTTCATGTCAGGCGGTCAGATTTAGAAAAAGTAGGGAATAGAAGCCCTAGAAAAACAGGTTAGCATCCTGAAGGGTGTCAAAAGCAGGCAAGGGAAATACTAACGCAAATGCAAAAGCAGCCGTGACGCCAACAAGAGCACGGTTCCTCACACGCTCACGCTTCAGTCTCTCTTCGAGAACCTTGGCCCTCTTTGCGCGTTGGGAAGAGGCCGCCTTGGTCTCCTCATCCTCTTCGTCTTCACTCAGGACATCAGTCTTGCGCTTCTTGGCTGCCGCCGCTTCCGACGACTCCGCGGGTTCCTGCTCTGTCGTTTGCTTGACGGCCTCCTGGACCATCTCCTTAGCTTGGGCGATCATCTTCTCGGTATCCTCCGCTGAAGGAGCCTCGGGAAGACTGATAGGCATCTCGACTGAAACGGTGGTCTGGGCGGCTTGAAATTCCTTGATGTCATCACCTACGTCGGCATTCACATCGGTGTTGGTTTTGATCTCGACCTTGACCTTCTCCTCTGCAGGTTCCTCCGTACGCCGCGAAGGCTTAGTTGAAGACTTCTTCACTCTTGGCGTGGCCATAGGCCTTTTGGAGGTGACTGCCGATTTCGCCGGGCTGAGAACCAGCTTCTCGTCGTCGATCTCAACGCTAGGCTGGATAGTTCCATTGAGTGGCTCCGGGTCCGCCGTGGCATCGAGTGACGATTGGAGACTTGCATTTGCTTCAATGGTGGCAGCTGCGGAAGCTTCCTTCATGGCCTTCGTTTGCCTAGCCTTACGCGGGGAACCAACCCTCTTGCTTGGGGAAGCAGATCGGCGGCTTCGGGTGCGAAGCGACGGGGCGGAGAGTTGGGGTGGAGTGCCAATAGGCGGCAGGTCAAATCGGGGAGGCGGCGTGATCTGTTTCTTTGCGCTGGACGGACTTTGCACAATGTCCGTGGGATCCAACAGGGCGCGAACCCAATCATACATCTGATATTCTCTGGCAAGCTCGAGGGCTGGGGAACAAACAATCAGCATCACATTCGTTGCCGCTCGACACAAGAGAAGGAGCGCTTACCAAGGATGGGCGAGATCCAAACATTTCCAGCAATTTCGTCTTCGCTCGTCTCCTCTCGGGACTTCAGATATTCGCGCTCAAGCCGTTCTTCATCCAAACGCGCCCAGGGGAAGGCGATTTTGAACATTCCCGTAGCACTGACAAAGCCATCCTTGCTCCGGCGCTATTCGACAAAAAAGAAAATCTCGTTAATTCTGGTTTCGCGCGATGCATTGGTGCAAGAAACGGAACCTTGCACAGACAAATCGACTTACCATCAGGAAATACGTCTCCGGGTGCTGCTGGGGAGTGTGCGACGGGAAGATCTCGGAGCCCTTGAGGTCCTTAGGCAAGGGAGCGCGCAAGTGGGCATATTCAAATGGCCCCAGGTTCTCGGGCTTGGTTGCATTCGACGTGCCGATTTGGGTAGGCTTTACGGCAAGGTTTGTTTTGCCCAAGCGGCGACGCACCAGAAGCTCCTCATCTGTAATCGGAAGAGCGGCAACGCGTTAGTTCGGCGCAACCATGAAGTTTCCAAGATCGGCGGTGCAATGCGCAGCTTGGGCCTCACGCGACGGGGTAAAAAGAAATGAACTTACAGGCAGGAGCCTCAGTGGCGAGGATGAGCGGGTTGTTTTTCTTTGGGAGCGATCGCACCATGGTGATTGAACGGCTGGGATGGATTAATGGGGCTAGATTATAGGAGATTGATATCGGGGATGATGATTATAAAAATCTGCTCCGGGGGGAGGTTGTAATAGGATGCGACGCCAAAACGTCGGCCACGTTGCAGGCGCGTCTGGCGGCTTTGCAGGGAAGCTTTGAGGGATGAGAGAAGAAAAGAACGTCACCACCCGAGAGAGGAGGGGAAGGTAAACGATGGGAAGGCGATTGAATGGGGGACAGTGCCTCAGGTAGACGGAGGACAGAGCCGCGACCAGAAGATAATCCAAAATCGAGTCGAGGACAATCCGACGTCTCTCTGATAAGGGAAGTACCGGGGCGGTTCGCAGGGGAGGAAAATAATAATCATAAATCCATCCATCGGAAGATGGGGTGGGCGAGCGCCCGTTACTCGTCTGTGACCATACCGTACACCAGGCGGTAACGCACTAGTCCGAGACGGTATCCGTGTGCCAGTCAGGGCGAGTCACAACGAGTCAGGACTGCGCGGGTCTCCATCGTACCTTCCTGATGTGGAATGTATCGGCGTCGCGGGGCCCGTCCCCGGTATCATCTGGGTATTGATGCCCTGGCGCCTTGGGAATCTGGCGGGAAATCCGGTTGGCCCCGTGACGGGAACTACGAAGAAGAATTGGTTGAGACTTGAGAGTTGCTACTTGATACATCCACTGTCGGAGTAGTGACACTTCACATTTTATCTGTGGCCACTATGAAGAGTGGTAGATACTATCATATGTATCTGTAATCTGTATGCCCGTCATTGCATCAACTGCAGAAATTTCGGGTACCTCTGCTGTATGATTGACAGAGTTCTATTTGTCTAACACAAGAGCATATACTCGGTGACCACCCCGTGTGTACGAGGTAGATTATCGAGTGAACAGGCCATCCCACTTCCCGATTTAACATTCATAACCCAAGGAGAATATAAGACACGGTATGTGTACTATATACGGAGTAGTTTGGATTGTTAGTTATTATTATACGAGAGGTGTCTGAAACTGAACCACCGAACCATGAGAAAGAAGAATAAAAAACACATTATCAACACAACAACTCTAAGTATATCTATACCACGTCTATCCGTTTCTATGTTATGGACTTCCAGCCAATCGGTAGGGAAGTTAGAGGTTCTTTTATATGTGGACAGCTTGAGGCCATTCATGCAGTTTCCCTCCCCCCTCTCTACTCCGTATGCAGCCACTGACCGAATGTCGGACTGCGACTCCATAGAAACTGCATCCCATACGCAGTACGCTGCACCAATGTTTTGGCCCCACTAGAACCGGGAAATCTGGTCTCGAGCTCAACGGCCTCCTGTTTGTTTAGTATACACCACCAGAACACCGACTTTCCGAGAACTTCCATTTCCCAATTCCTCATTCTACACCATATATGCCTCCTCATACCACCCTCTCGTCTACCAGTCTACCTACAATATTAATACCTAAACCAAGTATCAAGGTCCTGTTCACCGCCTGTCGCGGGACATCCCCACAAAGGCCAGCAACGGACAAATAACAGACTTTCCCCGAGCCAAAACAACCCACCCCTCTTAGTAGGTGGTGTCAGCCATTATTCTTAGGTATCGACCTGCGATTCTTCTTCCTCCTCTTCCCTCTCCTTCTCCTTCTCTTCCTTTCCTACTTCTCTCCTATTACCAATCCTTTTTGTCAAATTGACTAGCCCCTGGTAAGTGGATTGACCCTCCTGCATCCTACTGTCCTATCCCCTCGATCTCCCCCCCGTTATCACCCCTCGATCTTGGCGATCGATTTCCTACTAGTATCCCAATCCCCGGGAAAGTAAGGCACGGATAATTAAAACAACCGTTGGAAAAAAGGGCAGATCAGGTACCCCGCCAAACACCTAACTCCCTCCCCTTTTCATTCTCCCCACGAACCATCAATCACCACAATGACCGAACACGACGAGGATCTCGTGGCCTCCACCACCGAGGGGTTCAAGGTCGGCGAGAAGAAGACCATTGAGGAATATCAGAACCTTGGTATGTGAGAATGTGGATCTTCCGTCCTCCCCTCCTCCTCCTTCCCTGGCTTTGTTCATGCACATCTACCTATGTGTCATGTATCTTACCCGTCCGTGGGAGATTCCAATCTGCACCGAAGCTGGGGAGAAACCAATCCCGTGGGGTTTACTTGCTTGCTCCCCCTCTCCCCCCTTACCTCGACCCCGCAGGAACACACCCAGTACCATACACACGAGACCATCCCCAACAATCCACCATGACTAACATCTCCCCGCACCACCAGACAAGGACGACGAAGCCCTCAACCGATGGAAAGCCTCGCTGGGCCTAGCCACCGGCACGCCCATCGGTGACCCCTCAGACCCGCGGAAATGCATCATCAAGAGTCTGGCTCTGGAAGTGGAGGGACGATCGGACGTGGTGATCGAGTTGTCCGCGCCCGGCGCGCTCGAGAACCTCAAGAACCAACCCTTCACTATCAAGGAGGGCGCCACGTTCCGCATCAAGGTCGTGTTCCAGGTGCACCATGAGGTTCTGAGCGGTCTGAAGTACCTGCAGGTTGTTAAGCGGAAGGGCGTCCGGGTTAGCAAGGACGAGGAGATGCTGGTATGTGGATGTCATCATCAACAACGGTTTTCCCTAGACCCCCGTGGAGGGGGGATGAAGATCCGAGCTAACGCACACTTGTTCCAACCTACAGGGAAGTTATGCCCCCAGCACCACCGATAAGCCGGTATATGAGAAGAAATGTAAGTTGTCTTCCTATCGCTTCTGGGACGCATTGGCTAACCGAACCATCAGTCCATCCCGAAGAGGCGCCCTCGGGTATGCTGGCTCGTGGCCACTACAACGCAGTCTCGAAGTTCCTGGACGACGACGGCACCAACCACCTGCAATTCGAGTGGGCCTTTGACATCGCCAAGGACTGGTAGAGAAGAGACGACAAAGAAAAAAGAAAAACAGCTGATAATGGTCTCGGTGCTGCGTACGAACGAAACTATGAATATAATTATGAACAGCATATTCGTTTTGTGTTTCAAAATTTACAAGCGTTGGACATGATTCCTTGCAATTACATACATATATTTGAATCAATATTTTTATTTTTTATTTCTGACTCCTATCTACCTACCTACACGTTACATCCATACTACATCCATACATACATACAGCCCTTTCTCACACACAGATTCTTGAAATCCGCTATATGGAATCAAATCCAAATAAGTCAACTCAAATAACTAAGATGTGTTCATCATCGTCGTCATCATCTCAAATGTGTCTGTAACTAATGCATAAATAATACTGTATATGACCCGGCCTCTTCCATGCTGGTTGGTATAAACGGGTTCTCTGTCATCAGTGAGACAGACGTTGTCCTTCTCTTTCTCCTCGTGTAACAACCCCATCTCCATGTCATCTATAAATGCGTTCTTTACATTGACCAAACTCCAAACATTGCACGAAACCTAAATCGAAAAAAAAAAAAACAAAACAAAATGACAGAAAAAAAAAAGAAAAAGAGAAAAAAAGGGTATCACAAAAAGTAATCGATCACGGGGCTCTGACCGTCCTTGTTCTGCTGCGCCTGTTGCTCTCCCCGATGGATATCGTTCTCGGGAGCGGCGTCGAAGATATTAAAGAACCGCTCGCCCGTATCACTCACTTCCAGGACACTGGCGAGGTTACCGCATCGGTAGCAGTAGTTGGGGGCACTCCAGACGGTACTCAGCCGGTCATCGTACAGGACCTGGTACCCCTCCTGACAGAGCTGGTGGGCGCGCAAGATATGCGACATGCTGTTGACCTCGAGGAACTTGCGCACGACCTGCGCGCCGAAGGTATACCCGGCGCCTCGGGGAGAGAGGGAGAACTCATCGCGTTCAGTGTCCGGGTCGGACCAGACGAGATCGGCCATGGGGCCTTCGTGAGGGATTTCGCGGAAGCGGTCGATGATTTTGATCTGGTCGATGGAGTGGATCGAGGGGGAGAGGCCGCCGTGGACGCAGAAGATCTGGTCGTTGATGACGACGCTGAGCGTCAGGAAGTCGAACATGTCGGTGAAGTAGTGCCAGACGTTGGCGTTGCCGTATTTGCGCGCACATTCCGTGTAGAAGCCGTAGGATTGCGTGACGCCGCGGGACTCGTGGTTACCGCGGATCAGGTGCACGCGGTGCGGGTATCGGAGCTTGAGGCAGATGAGGAGGGAGATCGTTTCAACGCTGAAGAGCCCGCGATCGACGTAATCGCCTGTGTGCGAGGAACGTCAGTACTGCTATTCACTTCTCCCGACATAGAACACCCCGCCTAACTAACACACCCGCCCTGCGGGAGGAGAGATAGACGAGACAAACACGGTCGACGTACCCAGAAACAAGTAATTGGTGTTCGGACAGAATCCACCGATCTTAAAGATCTCGATCATATCGAAGAACTGGCCGTGGATATCTCCGACCACCGTGACCGGTGCCGCAATGTGGACCACATTGCTCTCTTTCATTAACAATTCCTTCGCTTTGGCACATATTGCCTCGATCACCGAGTCCGCCAGCAGCTCTTTCCTATAGAGCCTCTCGATACACTCGTCTAGGTCGATACTAGCTGCGATATGGTCAGCCCCTGGCCTGGCTAGACGATATGACCGACTCTAATTCAAGAGTCCCGGAAATGAAACAACCTACCTGGTAGCCCAGGCATTGTGGATCAAAGCCGATCTGGTAGGTACACAACGCCCCAGCGAATTCGTTTATAATTGGTACACAGGTAAGAATGAGAAGAAATAAATCGCGGATGCCGAGGATAGCGGTGTTGCTGATGCTGATGCGAATGCTGATATGCGCGCCCCCTCAAGGAATCACAATCAGTACACACGGAGAGGACGATAAAACGGGAAACTGATGCGGGTCGGTTCGAAAAGGGATATGTCTGTCTGAGAAGTTCCTGCAGTAATTCGCATCATGACCGACAAAACCACGACGGAGAAAGCAGAGTGGGCAACGCGGACGGAACCCGTGCAGCGCAAGGCCAGACTAGAATGACACGATGAACACCGGTCAGGGATGACTGAAGATGCCTCGGGGGTAAAACGTTAGTATCGGACCACGGTTCGCTGCCGATCCATGGAAGGATGAGGAGTTGAAAACACGAGCAACAGGAATACGGAGGCGTCCATCCCAAGATTCCGAGTGTCGCTTCTTTGGGCCGCGGAGGTGCCTGTTCTGCCGCGTCCGACCGCCCGTGGCATCGACAATCATCGCTTATCAAGATCTACAGTACGGTATAGTTATTTCATGCTGGATCAGGGCTGAGACAAAATTCTATTCTGGATTGGGTGTTCTAATTAAAGTTATACGCAGCAATGTGGACGTTAATACACGTCCTTCGAGGAGCCCTGAATCCGGGTATCACCTCGCTGGGTAAGGAGTCGGCCCTCCTCACCATCGTCTGAGTCGGTCTCTTCTTCCTCAGTTTCCTCCTCCTCAGTCTCCTCTTCAGAATCCGTGACTTCCTCCTCCGACCCCGTTTCCTCTTCAGTTTCCATTTCCGTTTCGGTCTCCGTTTCCTCGTCCTCTAACCATTGGTCAAGGCTCTTGTTTTTGGAGGCCGCTGGCACTGCGCCCTGTACGCGGCCGTTCGGCCCCTTGCTTGACTGGGCAGTGTTGCTTTGATGCTCCTTGAGGGCCTTGTCAAGTCGTTCGCCCGCAGTCATGGACGCTCGTTCCGCCGAATTCGGTCTCACGTCAACCGCGCGGAGGCTAGGGTCAGGCTCTTCTCCCGCTTGTACCCAGTCAGGAATATTCTCATAGCCCTTCAGACCATGGATGCCGGCATCCGGCCCGATGACTAATGTCGAGGAGCCGATCAGTAGATCTTTGCGGGTTTCCGAGGGACTCGGGACGTGGGGGACCGGCTTCGGGGCGAGGAGAAGTAGGTTAGCGAGCTGGGTCGAGGATGGCGAACCGAGGAATGCCTTGTATAACCGCGCACGGTCCCGCAGGTCGTAGGAAGTGTCATATCGAGCAAGGAGAAGAATGTATCGCCAAAGGAGAGTAATTTGGTCTTCTTCCGGCTCGGCCGGTTCCTCGGGCTGGTTGCCTTCTTCGGCCCCTTGATTGTCTGATTTTCCTTCTCCCTCCTCTTCGTCGGCTTTATCAGTCCATTCGTTGGGATATTGCGGTTGAGGCTTTGGCTGGGCTTCGGTTTCTGGTTGGGGTTCCTCTTTGGGAGGGTTACGGAGAAGATGGTGTAGATATACTCTAGCACCAAGAAGGACGAGCTGCTGCTTCACAGCCTCCTCTTCGTTGGCAAAGTTTTTCACCAAAATCCGTAGGACATCCGGTGCAATGTTCTTCTCCGGCTCAGCTCCCGCGAATTCTCCCACTAGCCACACGATCGTCGCTCTGGCGTCCGGGTTGTTGGTCAGTCCTAGATGCTTTACCAGCTGGATGACAGTTTGCTCATGCGAAGCGGGGTCTTGCTGGATCAGATGTCTGATCACAGTCAACGACTCCGAGACCAGATTGTCATCGAGGCTCGTGATCTGGTTAAGGAGGATGTGTAAACACTGATCTGCCGTACTGGGGTCGCTTTGGGCACAGCGCCCGATCGCACGGAGGCTCTCACGCACAAGGGCCGGGTCTGAACTCTGGGAGAAATGCTGTAGGTCGCTGACTATAATACCCTTGAGGTGCAGCCCGCAGTGGGGGAAAAGGATCGTGAGTATTTCTAGTTTGAGACGCCAGATATGAAGTGGATCCGTGGCACGGACCAAAAAGTGCGCAATGTATCTGGTGAAAGGCTTGGGTTGGCGCAAAGCAACAGCGACAATGTTGTATAAAGCAATATGCTGGATATCCTGAGGACTTCGCAGCAGGGCGACCAACGGTCCAACGGTGGCGGTGAGGTAGTCCGGAAGTGCTAGATAAAGGAAGCAGCGGACGACACTCACGACAACCGCAGAATTGCGGTTATGCAAGAGTAACTTGCAAGCTCGAAACAGAAGCTCTAGGTCAGGGTCAATGTATGGAACCTCATACTCCTCGCCGCCCTCTTCTGTGTCCTCATCGTCGTAGAACCCTTTCGAGACCGGCTTTTTGCCCTTTTGGACCTTCTGAGGAAAGCACTTGCGGGCATAGAACGTCAGAAGGCGCAGGGTTGCGATTTGGCTCCATTCGTCCATGTCCACCAGCTTTTTGACTAGGCTGCGGTAGTGCGGGTGGATGAGGTCAATCCTATCCGGACACACTTCCAAGAACGCAGTGACCGCGGGGCCAGCCACAAAGTATTGAGTGTCCCCTAGCAGAGTAGACACATAGCCAGTCAGCTGTGGCAGGGTGCTTGGATCCAGACGGTAGCATTTGGGAATGGCCAGCGCCGCCGCTTTGCGCACATGCGGACTCATGTCACCACAGCCTCTTTTGATCGCAAGGGAGACAATCTGACTGATTACCGGCACGCGAATCCCAGACATTGTACGAAGTGCCATTGCGCGAACCTGGGGATTCTGGTCCGTAAGCGACTTCTGGATTGTGTTGATGGACAACAGCGCAAGGTCGGGCTCGGTCTCAGCATGGTGAACCAGATAGATGTAGACCAGTTTCTTGACCTCAAAGCTTGCATTTGCCACGTTTTTGACGACTGCTGAGAAGAAGGGAAGGGAAGGCTCGGAGCGGTACATCAACTAATCCAGGAATTGAGGGATTTGTTAGAAAGCGCATTGATCTCAGTGTACCGAACTAGCGGGTTCTTACCGTGATGACCCTTCGCATACCATCCAGAACTTCCCGGTCACTGCGGCTATCGAGAAGTTTCTTAATATGAGATGAACTCAGATTTCGAGACGAATGGCCGGTACTCGGCCCTCGACTATTGGCTGCCGACTGCGCTGCTTCGAGTGTGAGTTCTCGAGCTGTTGTTCACGCATATCGTCAGCTAGTGAACACGATCACCGAAAATGCCGGGCTCTCCGGGGTGATTTTACCTGTTTCCAGCATCGAGGAGATTCGAGAGATGGTCTCCATTTTACCCCGAAGGCCCTTGGAGGGGCGCGCACACGAATTTGGGCGGAGGAAGGGGGGTCACGATTTCCTGAGGTCAGGAAGAAGGGAGCTTGGCAGATGGCGGGCAGGTGACGCGATGGGTATGGCACTGCCTGGCGAGCCTCCCCGCAGTCGATTTCTCTTCCTCAACATCCACCGCCCAGCATGTTTGCTGCTGGTCCACGGACCTCAGAGGCTTAAATGAATGCGACTGACAATGACACGTTATCTTAATCCACCATTTACAGACCACTGATTTGCTACAAATTATCGGTCATGGGCGTCGTGCCCCAAATATATCTCGAAGACCGAGTATTGGATTTTCTACAGTACATTCTCGACAACAATGCCACCACAAGCCTCCTAATTATCTGCTCGGAAAGGAATAAATTTCTTAGACGACTGCTAGCGACTGTACGCGCCCAGCCACAGGAGACCCTCCAGAGCCGCCAATTGGTCACCAAAACTCTTGGGTTGCTCTCCAGGTCCTCGCGAATTAAAGTGGCATTCTGTCCGACCCTGGAGCATCTTCGTGCTTACCTCTCTGTTCTGCACTTCAACAATGCTGCCGGACAGGATACAGCTGTTGCCGGAGAGCAACGGTCATGTCAGCCTTTAATGGCGATTCTGGACCCGTTGGCTCTACACCATCCCGCCTCTGAATTTTCTGCCCAAGGACTGTCCAGAACGCTTGCCGCTGTGGTCGAGACTTCTGCGCGGGAGGTAGTGGACCTTGTACTCTGTGAATGCCAAGATGTTACTCGTCCTAACAACAGCGGCCAGACATTATGGAATGCTCATGTGCCGCTGCTCAACAGTTCCGTGCGAACTGGGAGAGACGAAAGTACCTGGGGAGGACAGAGTGTTCCTGTGAAGCGAATAGCTCAGCGGTGGTTCGAATTCAGCGATCCGAGAAACTCGACTACAAATAGTCTGGATGTGTAAAATATCGTGACAACAACGAAATTAGAAACAAGGAAACTTTGTCATATATGAGCCTCAATCACCCGGGTATCCTAGAGCCAACCGTAAAACTCCTGAATTGTATGTACCAATGAAAACTCCAGACTCATAGACATTTCTCCATGTCGGTGATGTAAAGCTTGATATGCGATTCGAGCTTCAGATATTCATCGTGGGCGCTCTGGATTTCACTCTCGATGTTCTCCTTGAGATCGACCATCTAGATAAAGGTTAGTCACACGATTGAACAAGGAATGGCGCCGATCGTACCTTCTTCTCGATCTGTTCGATCTTGATTCTCCTTCTCTCCATGTCCCGTTGCTTTTCTGCACGTTCCTCACGGAGTTGTTTCTGGACATTTCGTAGCTCCTCCATACGGCCTTGTGCCGCATCTGCCTTTTCTTGAGCATTCTTTCGGAGAGCTTCGATCCTCTCGTTCCACCGCGCCAGCTGTCGCTGAAGCAATTTCTCTGTTTGCTCCACCTCCCTCACATTGTTTCCTCGGTCAGAGATCGCTTCCTTGTTCCGAGACGCTCGCGATTCCTCTTCCTCTTCCTTTTGCAGCTCCACAGATATATCCTCAAGAAGTTTAATGCAAGCCTGCACATCATTGCTCACAACCGTAAACGTATCCGACGAGGTTTGCAGCGCTCTCGCTCTCTTCTCCATCGCATCGATCTGAGCCTTTTCGCGCAGCAGATTCTCCGAAAGGTCGGTCAAAGTAGCCTGGAGGGTACCCGGGCTTTCCATAACGTAGGGACGAAGCTTTTCCACCTCCTGCCGAGTGCGGACGACCTTCTCCGTCTTTTCTTCCAAGCTTGTTTGCCGTTTCCCCTTGTCTGTCTTGACCCGCTCCAGAGTATCGGCGACTCGTTCCTGGTTGCGTCTTAATTCGAGCAGTCGCGCCTTGAGCTCGTCGTTTCGTCGAACTTTCTCCTTCACTTGGGTCTCATTGGCCTTGAGGTTGCGCCGCATCTCGTCCAGATGTCGTCCCATATCCTGGTTTTCCTCGTAGAGGGTCTCGATGCGCGTCTTGATTTTGTCGGACTTGTTCAGGTGTTCCTCCACGACGGCGTTTTGGGACTCGCGGAATCTGACGAAGTTGATGAGGTATGAAAATATCTTAACTAGTCGGTCGTGCGTGGGTTTTGTCATGTCTGTAAACGTGAAGTCGTGCACTCCGCACTGTGTTTAAAAGATCGAGTTAGCAAAAGTCGGGTAACGGTTGCCTACGAATAGAAGCAAGATCCCAGCATCAAGCATACATACCTCCATCATCAACCGCCGCAAGCTACCAAAAAAACCCATCAGATTGCGCGTTTCGGTAGGCACGATGTCTGGATAGTCACCACCAACGTCCTCCGCTGCGACGCGCATCCCAGGCTCTACCGTATCACGGGTGATATTCATGACAATCTTCGCAAACCATTCGAAAACCTGTTGGATCTGTTGCGGGTTGGGCTTGACCAAGTCCGCCGCGGTGAAAGGAATGCCGATATCATTGATACATCCTGCGATTTCCTTGTCAGGCTATTCTTGAAATTAGCACGACCTATGGATTGAGTGCGCGCATGGAGAAGGCAACCCACCAGGCGCATTAGAGCATCGTTGTCATCCTCCTTCTTTCGACCGCCGCCCCTGCTGTGTTGCTGCTGGGAGCCATGGAATTGTTGGCTCATTCGATGGCTGTACGCCATTTCCGTATGTAGACCCGGTCGCGATGACAAGATTGGAATGTATTACGAAGAAGAACGGAGAGGGAGGACGCTCGTCAACGATTAGGGGGGAGCTGCTTGATCCGCTCAATGTTATGATGATTGTTTACCGCAACGGCCTCTCGCATGGCAACCGGAAGCGGACTAGCGCCGTTCGGGAGGGGCAGTCAATGCAAACGGAGCAAACATCCACTCCACGGTCTCTTTTCGATGACTCTTTTGCGGCGCGGTGACTGCGATAGAGGTAGATTTGCGTCTGCTCCACGAAAAGGTTCCCTTGTTCTTCCTAACGAGCTTCCTGGTCCGCTAGAATTCACCATGGCCGCTGCCGATTCAAGCTCGACGCCGGCTAACAAGCCATTCGAGTACGTTTCTTGACGATGACTTTTTTGCTCCTATAAATGTCTGCTAATCCCACTCCTAGCATTGTTGCAACATACAATGACCTGCTTCGCTCCGACCCGGACCTGACGATGCCAATCGCGGCCATCGAAGCGTTGGTTCTGCTCCTCACACACTCGCCCTCATCCACGATATCAGAGACGCTCGACCTGCTGGAAAAATCCACCGCGCACCTCAAGAAATCCATCCCCAACCCCATTGGACTGTCCGCCGGAACCGACCTGTTCCAACGATACCTGATCACCACCCTCCAAAGACCGGGCCAGCTCGGACCCGCGGGCGACTTCAACGCCATCCGCGCTCATCTCCTTTCGAACGGCCGGCTGTTCATCCGACGCGCGAAGGAGAGCCGAGACAAGATCGCCGGGTTCGGTCGAGGCTTTGTGCGCGATGGCAGCACGGTGTTGACGAACGGCGGATCGCGAGTCGTGGCCTCGCTCCTGCAGCAAGCTGCCGACGACAAGGGCGGGCCGTCCGCCGTTCGGTTCCGCGTGATCTACGTGCTCTCTGACGCGGCGGAACCCGAGGGCATGGAGACGGTGCGGGCGTTGCGGGAAAAGGGCGTGCCTGTCTCTACGATCCCCGAGTCGGCCGTCGCGTATTCGCTAGGGAAGACCGACACTGTCATCGTGGGTGCGGAGGGTGTGGTCGAGAACGGCGGCATCGTGTCGCGCATGGGAACGTATCAGATCGGTCTCCTGGCCAAGGCCATGGGGAAGCCCTTCTACGTCGTGGCGGAGAGCCACAAATTCGTCCGGCTCTATCCCCTGGGACAATATGACCTGCCTATTGATCAACACGTGATCGACTTCAAGACCGAAGAGGAGATCACCGACGGCGACAAGCAGCAACTGGCGCACAGCTCCGAAGTGGTCGACTACACACCGCCTCATCTGATCTCTGCGTTGATTACCGACAGTGGCGTTCTGACTCCCAGTGCCGTTAGTGAAGAGCTCATCAAAATCTGGTTTTAAATGGTTGTTCTTTTACGATTGCGAACTTCAGGCCTTAGTTGCTACGAGGTTGATAGAGGGGACACTGGCGTTTGAGTACCAAAAAATATACCCACACCGAGGGCTTCTGTTAGCATTAAGGCATTTGGATCTTTGAATGAACCGAGAGTGCTCATGAAGGAAGAAGAATACTCGGGCCGGAACGCCGGTCCACGAATTACGCTATCGTAATTGCAAACGCCAGCGCCTGCACATTCTTGATGATCTTGCTTGGTTACATCACAAACCACTGTCATTCGGTTGGTTGTAGATGATCGACTGATCGCTCAGACATTCCGATGAGGTCACCGTTATTATCTGCCATGAGAGGGGCGTCAGCTGGAAGTGGTGTTGGCGTTGGTATTCAGTCAACCTAGAATACCCTGCTGCAGAGAAGGGGAACAAGAAACGATACTAGTCTATCAGAAAAAGATCCTCGAATGTCTGAAAGGTCACTGTTCAGAATTTATGAAGCATGAGTAAAGAAACTCATCACATTCTTGGCATATTCGTTTATTCCGCCGTCTAGACACCCGAATCCCATTGGCGCCATTTCATATTCCAATTCGACTTAAACATAAACAATCGTCACATCATCAATCATTAATCATCAAGAGCTTTTGTAAAATCATCAACCAGAAACCCAGCCGAGATATGCACTTGAGTGTCCCAATATAACCCTTCCCCATCTTCCAAACGACTCCGTCCGTAGTTCCCTGGCGAGGAAAGGCGGAATCCAATGCCATCTAGCCTCGCATATCATATAGAAAAGAGCGATGGCCGAGCTTTCCGGCATAGAAAAGGCCTAAATAGACCATCCCAGTCTATTCATCAACACATTCACATTCCGCATGATTCCATCGCGGTAATCAAACGAGCGACTGCAGTCGGCAACCAACTAACCAACAATGAAGGCAATTGACACCGTGACGTGACGAGACGTAAAAGCCATCCATCAAGCCCATCGTATCCAACCACCACTCAAGCAGTAGGTATGAGGTAATAAGCGAGCGATTCCGATCAACAGAATACCTCGGAGAGGAATGAGTCCGTCGATCTCGTCAGGTAGGAATAACCTCGACCACCAAAACGTCATCGGAATGTTGGATTCGAGAGACCCCCAGCATCATCACTTTTCATCCGATCCAAGAAAAGGAAAACAATCTGTTTGTCTTATCCTCCGAGAACCACAACCAATCCGGAGAGAGAACCTAAATCAGGCGGTTTCAGTTCGCAATGGGCCCGAGGTGGATGATGACGGGCTGGATTGGCTGCAGCGAGGCGAAGGCGTATAGGAGGAGGTAGCCGAAGGCGACGAATAGCCAGAGAGCATCCATGATCTCTAATTCTGTGTTTTGGTGTATGGTCCGCTTATCTCATAGAGGTACGAGGGGATGGATGAGTGAGTGGAAAGTCATTCAAATCATCGATGACTTGAAGTTCCGAGCAAAGGCAGCCAGACAGACAGTAAATATAGTAAGCGTGCGGTAATAGATATAAACTCGAGCCAGGACCAGGAAGAAGAAAAGGTACCCGAAGGCACGGTAGGGATGGAGAGGGCTTAAATGACACCCAGGGCTGGGACTGAACAATTGGAAATTCCCCGGGGGTTGAGTCAACGTGCATAAGGATATCCCGTCCCTGAACTGATCAGGTAGCAACGGGAGCACATCCGTGTCGATGGCTTCTCGTACATCCCTGCACGAAGATCGGAAGGGGAAGGAATGGAAGATGCGGGGTTTCTTTTGGGTCTGGAGGAATTTCTTCCTCTTCGTCCCGCTCCGTTGACAATGGACCTGATTGGGACCCTTGAATGGGGATTTTTCGTTGATGGAAGAGTGATGTACTCCGTACGTATGACTGTTGGGATCTACCGTGCTTACTGTCTATTAGGTGGAGTACAGTAGTACTTCAAATTCCAATGTGAGGCCAGGCAGATCTACTCAAGGGAGCACTAAAGAGTACGTGAATTTGTGTAGACTGTGGTCTAGCCAAGATCAATCAAAGTACTTCCATTCTCTGCCTGATGCGTCTCTTGTGATCTCTTGCCCAATCCTATTTAGTAGGAGTACTTAGTCAAGCGATCTGGCGGTGTGTTGATCGCTTTATCAGATCTCATGCGGTGAGGGTAGGAAGAATTTGCCTCCATGACTCCATCGTGCTCGAGAAAGTAAAGTGAGGGGTTCCCTGCTGCACTCTTAGGTCATATTGAACTCATTGTCATTGATTTGGCCATGTTTTATCCGATGTCACATCTGCCGTTGCCGCAGTCTACCGTGAGCATATTTTGCCGCGAAACCGGAACCCCCTCTGACAATATACTTAAGTGTCACCTTTCATAATTCTCAACCCGACCAATTTTTCCAACCGATCATCAATCACGAGACTAGGCACGTGCTGCTCACGGGATCTCGCCAAAGAACGGGCGAGGAGGCCTGATTAGCCCGAGGCGAAATTCTGGAAGGCCAGCCGTTTCACTGCCCCTCCGAGAGCCCCGAGATGGACCAAACTTCGTCCCCACGGCCTGTCTCATTGGCATCCTGCTGCTGAACCATGGTACGCCCGTAGTCAAGTAAGACCCAAGTCAACGACAATAATAATAGTAAACAAGTAGTTAGTGGTTGGGGAAGTACGCGTAGTCAGTCAGTCAGTCAGTCAAAGCCAAGCAGGAAAAAAAGACACCCCCCACAACACTCCCTGCTACACAACACAGCACTCTTTGCTGCGACTGTACCGGTTCTTCCTTTTGGCATTCGATTCTTACTATCTCTGGTATAATCCTGGCACCTTATCTCATTGCTGTCCAGTGGTTTTGATTCAGCTGGATCAATACAAAGATCCCCCCACAGTCCACACCAAGTACCTACTCCGTACCTCCGTTTACAACCGACGGATTATTCCACCCGACAATACCCTGGTTCGCCGACGAAATTCCGATCCTCTAGTATTTCTAAGTCTTTCGCGACAGATAAAAAAATAAATTAAAAAAGAGAGAGAAAAAGCTATATCAATATATTCATTATTGATCATTTTTTTTGGAATTCTGGCCCTATTCGTCAGCATTAAACCCACCATTAGCGGAGGCACATACAGATACATCATAAACTAAAACCAAAAAGGACAAGAAAAACCATTATTATCTCTTTTTATTTTATTTATCTCTACCTCGAATTTCTTGATCCCCAAGATCTAAGAATCCCTATCCTATGAGATAATGGGCTCAGAGTCATTGATCACTGCCCTCCGATCCGGACGAGACCAGTACTATCCACCAGCCGGACACAATCACAATCACCATAACCGGCGGGGTTCGCCATCATCTCGCCCTGCAACTGGCAGCGGGGATGGAGACCACAGCAGCGACGCCGACAACACCAATGAAAACGACAAAGCGCATGACTCGTGGTCAATTAAGAGGCTTCTCAGTCGCCACGTGAGTCGCCGATACCGCGTTCTGGAAAAGGAACCAAACCGACTCCGGAAACGCTCGACTCGTTAATGTTAATTAATGCGCTGCGATGGGTCGGGTCTTGTTACGTTCCTAGTTGTATATACGAATGGAGTAGTCTATACGGAGGACTGCTGCAGTTAACAAGGGTCTTGCCCTCTTTCTTTTTTTTTCGCTATTCTCTAGCCACATCTGGCAATCTAGATTGCTGGGTATGGACGTGGCCGAGAGACCAACAACCGAATTGCATTCTGAGTGCATCCTCCGTATGGATCCTTTTTACGTACTGTACGGAGTACTGGAGGAGAGAAGAGAAGAGGACCTAAATAATAAGGCCCAGAACACCGATCGATAGATCGAGTCTAGGATTATATCCGTATCATCATTCGATTCAACAAGTACGCACTTTTCCTTTTCGGAATTAGGTGGTCATTCCTGGCGTTCATTTTTTGTCTTGATGCTGCTGTTGTTGCTGCTGCTTTTGTCATTTTCTTCGTGCCCACCCAAATCCACTACCAAGTACATACATACCAACCCACACGAATGCTATGTCAAAAAACCTACTCCGTATATACTAGTACATACATACATACCTGGACATATCAAATGCCCCCATTCTCGGGCATCTATTAGGCTGGCGCTGTCTTTTCTTTTCTTTGCTCCCCTCTGTCTTCTCCGTTTGCCAGCAACCGCCTGATTCAATGGGTGTTGGCTTGGCGTTGATGTATACTGGTTGAATTAGTACGGTGTAGGTAGAGTAGATAGAAAGGATAACCCTGGAGTTTATTATTGGTCCTGTGTCGGAGGAAAGTTCATATTGAATGTAGACTTCCGTCGGTAGTTTCGTTTTGTTGCGTTTGTTTCAATACTCTTTATTTCATTCGCATTCGGAGAGGCTCGATTCGGTTTGCGGTCTTTGTTTGTATGTACCCAAGGGAGAAAGAGAGAGAGAGGGAGGGGTACGAAGGAAGAATTGAACTAAGTTAGTTCGTAGATATTTGGAATTGGAAAATAAAAAATGGGGAAAGAAAAAAAGCCCAAGAAAACAAAGACAAAACCGTTGAGATGTATGAAAACTCCAAAGCCACAAAAGAAAAGCCAAGACTTGTTCGGAGTAAGTGCCTGTGCCTAAGTTCGAGAAAGAAAACGAATCCCCAAAGCCGCAGGACGGACGGAAGACAACCTACCCCTCTCTAGGCAGGTATGGACAATTAAGAACCGAAAAACCAAACTCTCAAGCCCTGCCGTACTGGATAATTCGGACAAAATTAATAGAACTCTACGAGAATTCAAGTCGGAGAAAGTAACCTAGTGGTTGTACTGTATTCCAGACCAAATAATAATGATCATTACGGAGTAGTTTTCTTCTTGACCACTGCCAACGCAAACCAAACGTGGTGCCTTACAACGCTCCGTTGCCAGTTCTAGGCCCCATGCGAGAGCGTCTAACTAGCGCCACAGCAGCTGCAGGTAACCCGAGCTACCAATGTACTGTTCTGTAGGGACTACTAGGGTGTAGTAGGTAGGGTGATGT